CGCGGTCGCCCGGGCCATAGCAATTCTGGTTGCGCTCGACGTTAAGGAGGACAGAATCGTGCATCAACTGGCGCGACTCGTGTTTCTGGTAACATTGCCAGGTCGAGTGGAACTCGTGCTTGTCGATGATGATGGCCTGGGTAGTGGAGATGACCACCGGCTTGCTTCGTCGAAGGAAGCTCCTGTACATCGTTGTCAACACGTTGGATTAAGATGAAGAAAATGCGAGACGCACGTCTTGCCCTGTATGCAGACCTGGCCGACAAGCTCATATTTGATACCAGCTATGTACAAGTCAGTATAATTCACCAGTCATGAGTGATACGCGACGTACCGTTCTTCTCAAGGGACAAGCTGGGAGGGATAGCCTCGGGTATACGAATAGTAAATGGTATATCTTGCTGTAGGACCGTCAGATATATGTCGCTTGGAATATGATGTATGCAACTCACGCTCTGGAGGACGCCCCACTCCTCGCTGGCCTGCCAGAGCACGGTCGGGTTCTCGCTGCCGACGATGGAGTAGAACGAGTTTGGGGGTGGGGCGGGGAGGGTCTCGATCTTCCTGAGCTCGACGCGGACGTACTTTGCCTTCGCGCCTGCGGGACCGAGCCGGACCTCGACTGCCTGTGTGTGATCGTCGTCAGCATCGGGCACGCGTGTTTGGGCGCTAAAGCTCATGACGCCGGTGAACGCGTAACTCACCCCCTTGACGGCTGCCTGTGGTCGGTCCTGTGCGCCAGGTGGAATACCGGGATACCCTACACCGTCTATGAGCATGTATATTTATTAACATTACATCGAACGCACCCTCAACGAATTCAACGTTGGGCGGTGGACGAAGCGTGCTATCAATTCCAATTAGAAACGTCAGACGAGAAATGGAACATTCTTCAGCTCACATCTTGGCCGTAGACATGACGAGAAGAAGAAAGGAGTCGGAAGGAAAGTGGGCCGAATACGGGTTCAGAACATGCACGCGCAGGCGCCGGACGGGAAACAGAGGCGCGTCGTCGACGACGAGGTCGAGGTCAAGAGTGAACGTCCGTCGGTTAGTTCCCCGAGGCTGTGTCTATTCATTGGGACTACCCGGTACACGCACGGATCATTCGGCGCGGCGCGCCCATAGTCCCTCTTGCTGTTGATCAACATCAACCGCGTCTTCCCCATCAACGTTCCAAAGTTGCCAATCGCCAAACTGACACGTAGCCCGAATCGCCGACAGGGACCATACAATGTATAATAACGACTAGCTATAGTAGGAGTAGACAAGATGTACAGAACGTATACGACTAGAACTTGAACTGCTTGTCCTTCTTCCCCCTCTCACGATCCTGCATCTCCTTCTGCCGCCTCCGCGCTGTCTCCTGTCCAATCATGTCCGAGAAGTCTAGACATGGCCATCACAATGTCAGTGACACGAGGAGATTAATGAGCGCTTCAATCTCGTACCTTCCGTATTCCTCGCGCCCGGCACGCCTGCGCGGCCCCGAGACTGCTCGTCATACCTCCTCCTGAGCTCCTCCTCCGACATGCCCTCCAGCTGGTCGGCGTCAATCGACATATCAACGCCGTTAGCCTTGCGCTGATGAGCAATACAGTTGTCAGCAATCCCATCGCAACCAAAGCAGCAAAATCGCCGCTCACCCTGCTACCACGCTCGTCGCCAAGGACGGGCACGGACGACGGGTTGACGCCGCGCAGATCGTAACCGCGTTCGGATCCCATGAGACCGCGAACATTTGTTGAGCGCTCTTCGACGACCTGATACAGCTGCCGAGGGCCCCTGTCGGGTTCGGGCTCGCGTGCACCGGGTCGTTGGGCGCTCTTCCGCAACTCCAAGAAGTCGGGCGTTTCGAGCCCACCGGCCACCGTTGAAACGACCGAAGTCATACCAGATGGTGTGGCCAATCCCGACGGTGTCTGAGTGCCCTCAACATCCATCGCCTGCGGTTGCTCCTCCTCTTCCTCCTCCTCTTCGGATTCCTCTTCCTCTTCCGACTCGTCCTCTTCCTCGGGCTCGAGCTCACCCCACAAGTTCTTGTCAACGGGCTCGCCAGCATCACCGTCACCTGCCTTTGGCAAGACACCAAAGACGTCACCGTATAGGGGTCGGTTGTACTCGTCAAGCGGCGGCTTGCCCCAACCACCAGGATGGAAACCCCACTGCGCTCTAAGGAAACCGGTTAGCCATATGCTGAAAGAAAGCAAGTCAGATGCTTACCCCTCAGGAATAGGCGCATTCAAACCTGGAATCCTCAAAGTGGGGTAACTTGGCGGTGGGCCGAAACGCTGCATGCTGATCAACCATGGTGGCGGAGCAAGCGGAGGGATGGATAGCGCTTCGACAAGCTCTGGCGACAAGTCACCCGGTCGCTTCTCTTTCAAGGACGTCTCAAACTCCTTGCCCTCGTAGTACCTGTAGTCACGTTAGCTCTAGTGAACCACGCTGATAACATACGAACACACATTTCACCGAAGCCAGAAACGACGGGCTTTGTCTGGAACTTGAAGAATGCGTCGTGCAACTTCTGATAGTCGATGTCGATCTTACCCATCTTCGGCTGTACCCTCTCCCTCGTCTTCTGCTTCAAGCTCATGTTTGCCTCCTTCTCTTTGACCGCGTCTCTCTGTGTCGCAATGCCCGTATCCGCGATGTAGGCCGGCAACTGGAAGGGTGGCTTCTCGATACCGCGCTTTCCCTGCAAGTAGTCGCGTTTTGCACTCCAGTGTGCGGGTACAGGTACGGTGTTGCGTTGGGCCTTCAACGTGAGGAGTAACCGTGGGTCAGCGGCGGAAGGATCTGTCCATTCGACGAGTTCGGGTTTCTTGGCGAGCTGCTTGAGGTCCGCGACGGTAATCTGCTTGAGCTTTCGCATCTTCTTTTTCGAGAGCGGCTTCTTGTCCTCCGCGTCAGAGTCGCCTTCCGACGGCATGTCCTCGTCCGAGTCGATCAGCTCGCCCTTGGACGGCGCGACTTCTTCCACGTTCGACTCCTACAAAATATAGATTAGATAAAATTGTTGTATATTGAGAGGGGACGTACTACAGAGCTCAAGGCGTGTGCCTGGAAACGAGCAAATACGTCGGAGAATGCTTCAAGGGCGGCGCCCTCTAGCTGCTCAGACACGTACTCGACATTCTCAACCTTGTTCTCCTGCACGTCCTCCATCTTCACATCCTCGCCATCGGCCTTCTCCTATAAGATCAAGTTCAACACATAGTCTACAGACAAAGTCAGTACACAAGAACGCACCGGCGCAGACGCGAGCGCGACCTTCTTCTGCTTCAGCTTCTCGCGACGGAGCTGGTTTTTGGACTTGGCCTTGGATTTTGACGCGCCATGGCCGTTGATGCCGTTCAAGACGGGCGCAGTCTGTACTTCTGTCGCCATGGCCGGATATAAGGAGACACGCGAGGAGGTGGTGGCGAGAGGCAAGGCGCGTCTCTGGCTGACGTAAAGGGAACTGTTGATCTCGTTGGGCTTCGTTCGGCGCTTCTTGCCTCTGGCTTTCATCGGGCTTTGGCTGAGCGCTATTGGTATGCAGAGGTACTCGCACCGCCCTACACACACAATGGACCTTGCGCCTCCCTCCTCTCGCCTACAGACATTAAAGATACCGTCGGCGCTCACGCCGACATGCACTCGTGCTTCGCTGGGATTGTATTGAGCTTGTTCTTCCGCAGCGAAGTCAAGCGCCGCACAGTATCTCTGAGTTAAAGTGTGCCCTAGCAGTGGCCTCTAATCGCCGTGAACACATATCTTTCTACCCCATGGTCCCGCGTCTTTTCCGGGATGCTATGCACAGCATACCCGTCTTCAGGCACTACAGCGGACTATATAAGGGAACGTTCACTCTCGACCGCTCGACTATCGATGCCTTTGTATCATCATGGAGTTGCACTTCACTCGGCCTAACCTGCTGAACACCGTCCTTCGGGACGCTCAAGGCACACCCGTCTACAGAATCGAGACAGATGGCACCGCACTACAACTATCTGAACGAACGACTACGATCTCACGGTTTCTCAACGTACCCGCACCTGGGTCAGCTGAGCGCGTTCTCGCGGACAACATGTCTGATACGGACATCCTCTTGAACGCGCTTGAGGAGCAACCCGTCGGACAGATCGTGTGGCGACGGGTGAAGCAATCGATCCTCAAGTTCGATGGGAACGAGGTCAAAGTGAACGACTTCATGCCATTGTCGAAGACCTACGCGAAGTTAGTGTTCTCGTTCACCGCCAATGTATTTGAGTGCTAATTGGCTCCAGACGACGCACCTTTACTGCACAAGATGGTCAAGAATACACATGGGTGTTCACAGATGACCGCTCCATCGTACGTCCAGCCATCTGTCGTATTCTATGGTGTTCGAGTTTTGACTCATCTACTCCTGCAGCTGGAGAAAGGTCCGCCCAACACGACGCCACGGCTGTCAGTTGTCGAGTACAATAGACGTAAACGCGGCCTCTTGGGCAAAGAGTCTAACTTTCCGTGGCTCAGGATCGCGAAGGAATGTCTACCTATTCTCGACGAGATCGTTTTGACATTCGTATGGGTGGAGAGGCGCCGAGGCGAGAAGGAATACATGGACTTTGACGGGAGCGTGAACGGTATGGCGATGAGCGTTGACAACTATTAGCGCCATGATCAATGATAACACCTGTGTCAACCTTTCCGTTCGTCTGCGGAAGTTCGAACTATTGTCGCTACTTTTTCATATGCAGCTCTGCACTGACAGCAGAGCATCGGCTCTCCGTTCCGCGAGGGATTGGATTAGTTCCCGCACGGGAAAGCAAGGCGCTAAGGTATGTATTCGGGTAAAACACAGTCGCCATATGTGGTGTCTCGTACAGGCTTGGCAGGTCTTGCGACCCTAGCCAGGTATCTGCGCTGAACTTTTCCCTAGATGTTTGGCGCCCTTACCGCGCTATACACAGCCTGCGGGTGGGATTCCTGGTCCCTAGAAGGGAGCAGGTTTCATTTGAGCATTGCAAAAAATCACGTGAGCCGCGGCACGCGGGTCGGGCCGAGTGTCCGACGTCTGGGGTTCGAATCGCAACCAACGTCTTGTTCAGCTTGCACTGAAGAACTCGCGGTAGCGCATCCCTTCGGCAACGGCAATTGCGTCTGGAAAGTAGTGGCAGTACTGGAAAGCCTTTCAAAAGCTACTACTCCAGGGACCAGGCTCGCCCGGAGGGCCGTGCTATATATATGTAGGCCAGCTCTGGATACGTTGGCTCGCATTCGACATGGAGCTACACTTCACTCGCCCGAACCTTCTCAACACCGTCCTGCGTGATGCGCAAGGTACACCGTTTTACAGGATCGAGACAGCCTCGGCGCTTCGCCTCTCAGGGAAAACTACTACCGTCTCTCGTTTTCTCGACGTGCCGAAGCCTGGATCCCCCGAGCGCGTTGTGGCGGATAACATGTCGGACACAGACATCTTGCTGCAACGTCTGGAGGAGAAACCTGTGGGACAGATTGTATGGCGCCGAATGAAGCAATCGACCCTCAAGTTTGACGGAAGGGAGGTCCTGGTGAACGAGCACATGCCGTTGAACAAGACATATGCCACGTATGTTTGCTTGATATCTTCCGAGATGTCCTGCTTATGAGCTGTAGGCGACGTACCTTTACCGCTCGCAACGGCCAAGAATACACCTGGGTCTTCGATGGGGATCGCTCCACGGTACGTCTTCATTCTTCCCCACTCGCTGAGAGATTGATGAAGCTCAAACGGTCCGTCTAGCTTGAGAAGGGACCGCCGGGCACCTCGCCTCGCCTGTCCGTCGTCGAATACAACAAACGTCAACGCGGCTTATTACCAGGCAAGGAGCCTTCTTACCCATGGCTCAGGATCGCACAGGAGATCGTACCGATACTGGACGAAGTCGTCTTGACTTTCGTTTGGATAGAGAAGCGGAGGCACGAGAAGCAATACGCGGGTTTCGATGGAGGGGTCAACAATATGATCCAGAGCATCGATAACTGGTGAACCAACCGCTTTGCACTGTGTTTCGATACTGTTGTCGTAGTCTCATGGGACAAGCTTGACCCTGTTACGCAGTAGCCACTCTGAATGCAGCGAAGCCCAGTTTGCGGGACCGAGAAAGTCCTGCGTCCAGCCAGTATCTCGAGTCTTGTGACCGTTGAACCCGTTCGGCGCTAACGTCATATATAAAAGAGGCGCCGCGCATTCAAGCCCTCTATCATCCCTCAGCACACCACTGAGCTGCACTTCACACGTCCTGACATTCTCAACGCAGTTCTGCGTGACGCGCACGGTACCCCCTTGTACCGGATTGAGACAGACAATACGGGTTTCTCAGAGGGCACAACAACCATCTCTCGTATCATTGATGCTCCCGTGCCTGCTTCTCCCGTCCGCGTCTTGGCCGAGAACATGTCCGACACCGACATCCTGCTCAATGGCCCCGAAGAACGTGTCGTCGCTCGAAATGTATGGCGAAGAGTCAAGCCGTCTATGTTCAAGTTTGACGGAAGGGAGGTTCAAGTGGATGAATACATGCCGCAGTCCAAGAGTCACGTAAAGTATGCGTTGAGAATGGCCCCTATGAAGACTTTGCTTGATGGCAAACCGCTAGCCTTCGCCGCGATGGATGGCCGAGAGTATACCTGGGATTACATCCAGGACGGGTGTAGGGTGCGTTGAGTTGTGGCGTGAACGCGACTTCGACGCTCATGGACTCATTATCGACCTCCAAGTTAGAAAAAGGCTCGTCGGCTAGGCCACAAGATCGCGTCGTTGAGCTTCACAGACGCAGACGGACCGTCTCGGGGAAAGAGTCGCACTATCCGTGGCTGAGGATAGCCGCAGGGTGTCTTCCGATACTGAACGAGATCATCATGACATTTGTTTAGATAGAGAGGCGAAGGTCATTATCTTACGTCGAGCCGAAAAGTTGGGGTGAAAGGAAGCCGATGGAGGGACGCGACGAGCAGGGTCCCTCTACCGATTGAGCTCGTGCCAGTGGCTAAGCGATGTGATGTTCACTCAACGACGCGTAGCTCTTGCATAGTATCAGCTTCCATGCCTGTACAACGCTAGAAACTTCCCACCTTGCCCGTCTCATTCTCAATGACATATCCCATGACAGTAGTTCCTTCGAGTAGCACACCCTCCTGCACGCGCTCCTTCAACCAGCGCACGTCCCTTCGCACGCCTTCCTCAACATCACGAAACTCGTGAAACTGTAGGTCCTTCGGTATGTTCTTGGGACCAGCATGGATCTCCTCTGTCGAGATGCGCAACGCGCCGCAGTCGGTATGGTGCACGACGGCAATCTCCTTCCCTTGTTTGAGCTCTTGAAAAACGATAAGCGAACGGAGCACGTCGGCGTCGATGCTATGGACACACCGTCAGTCAGTAGGCTCTGGTAGACGAGACAGGGACGCGTACGCTATGCCGCCAGCGCTGCGGATGATGGCCGCGTCTTCGAGACCGAGAGCGCGTATCGGGCTGTAGGCGTCTTTGTGAGCCTCTCGACGCGCATAGCAATCACGGTCCTCACTCAATCCGGTTATCCATGCAGGTTACTGGAATGCATGCACATGAGGGAAGGTGCCATGCGAAGACATGAGAAAGGTTACTCACCAACGATGTAGCGCGGCTTGTTGTCCTTCAGGACTTCGCCCTTGGGAATGAACAGCGACTCTTGGAAGTTCACAGTGGGCACTATGCCCTTGACGGCGTATGCGGTGTTGTTGGCGAGAAGGAACTCAGGTTGAGACATCCTTAAGGAGGGAAGTGTGAACTACAGAGGTGTGTTCTGTATGTTGAGGTCGTCTGGTGCTGTCTTGATATATATAGCAGAGTCCATCAGCGCCGGACGCTCAACTCCACCCCAAAGTCTGGTATGGGCACCCGGGCACTGCTCATGAGCCCGGACAATATGAGTGAGGCCACGTTGATCAGTTGCATCTGCTTAGTAGCATGCCCGAGCCAGAAGTCCGAGTCTTTACGGAAAGCTAGAGCCGTCGTAAAAGGACTGTCGTGGACAAACGTACGGCACCTCATTATCCGCTTGGGGCTGCAGGCAGTTGTATGCTCCGAATCGCGGGCCCGCTCCGGGCTTTGAATATAGAGCTTAGCAGCGCCGTTCCACATTCGCCTTCACAAGCTCCAGTGCCTAACACTCAGCTGCGGAGCAGAGGTGACAGCAGCGTAGAGTATCGTGTGCGTAGACGCGTCGGAGGCACGAGCGGTTCAGTTCAGCATCGCACGGTGGGCTGCGAGATCTTCACTAGTCTTCATTCGCACTACAATAGAAGCTAGTCCGAGCCTCATTAAAGCGGTATGATTCACGCGCTCAATCATCGTGGTGGCGGCAGAAGTCAAGGTGTGCGCCCACGCCGCGTCGCGGCGCGTCGAGTTGACGCGCTCAGCAAGGTACGATGACATCACGCGTAGAGTGCGACGAACGCCATTAGCATTGACATCGAGCAGTGGTCTTCGCAGCTTGAACGTAACCACCACTACCACCTCGATCGAGCCAGCGGACAGCCAGAATGGCTTCCTCCTACCTCTCCGTCTTCTCGCGTAATGCTGCTCTTCGCATGCCCCTCGGCCCACAAGCTCTCTTGCAATGCCGCTCCAACGCGACCCAAGGGTTGGCCCAACGCGCACAGTCCGCTTTCCATACGGCTAGCAGTGTGCAATCAGCTGTAGTGCGCCAGTCCACGCGTTCGCGCGGTATGGGGTGGGGTGTAGCCGGAGCCGTGACCCTTGGGCTCGGAATCTCGGCGTTCTCCAGTAGGAGCAGCGTTTACTGTGAACGTACGTACAGCTTGAGATACCGTGTCTTGAATCCATATTTCCTAACGATGCTTTCGTTCCAGCTGGTAGCAAGGCCGGTACACCCACACCTGCGGCACCGCCCAAGGGCGCTCCGGCCAACGACGGGTTCCCCGATGCACCCAAGTCCAACATCAACCTCTACGAGTTGTCCTTCGGTTCAGTATGCGGAGTCTGTGCTGGTGTCTTTGTGAAGAAGGGCGCGAAGGCTCTCGCGTTCATGCTCGGCGGTGTCTTCGTACTTCTACAAGTAAGACTTCCCTCTCTGTCTACTGTGCAAGGGCGCGGCTGACGCCATGCAGTATCTCGGCTCCGCATCCATTGTGAAGGTCGACTGGGCCAAGGCCGGCAACCGCTTTGAGCGCCTGTTTTACAGGACAGACGCCTCGGGTGCGCGTCACCCGCCGACCGTCGGCTCGCTGTGGCGCTGGCTCGTCGACTTCTTGACGGCCGACTTCCAGCCCCGCGCATCTTTCATTGCGGGCTTCGCGCTCGGTATCCGCATTGGCTAAGACCGAGGCAATACTACGGCGGTGAATGAACGTTGGGGTTGGGATGCAGAGGGAGAACTTGTGGAAATGCCCCGGACGCGCCTAAAGCCCCTATTCTAGTCCACGTGTGATTTAATGTACCATCAAAGTTTTTGAGCAACTGCACTTGCTTCGCGCCTGCTTCACGCACTTTCCTTCTCCATACCCTTGCTTCATCTACCACCATGGGCCGTCGCGCAAAGAACAAGCAGGGAGACCCCGCTCCTCTCGTCGACAAAAATGCTCCGCGCGAATCCGCGAAAAAGCTCGGCAAGCGCAAGGCTGACCCCGAGGCCACGCCTGAGAGCAAGCGACCTGCTAAGAAGGCAAAGGAGTCTGCGTCCGGTGCTACTTCCAAACCGAAGGCTAGCAAGGGGAAGGTTGCGAAGGGGAAACCGCAGGCTAAGGCCAAGGGCGAGTCTTGGGATGACTTGCCGGATGGAGGGAGCGAGGGGTGGGAGGATGTCGAAGACAATGCGAATATCAAGGCGCAAACAAAGTATGTTTTGTGGTACTCGAGCGCGTACTTTGATATTTACTCTTCATTAGATCCCTCTTTGATGATAGCGACGGCGATGAAGCACATGGCTTTGTCGGTGATCTCAACGAGTTTGAGGAACTCGAGGACGAGTGCGTACCCCATTCACGTCTATCTGTATTGTATACTAAGCTGATTGCTATGAACATCAGTGACGATCTCCGTGGGCCGGCAATGGAACTAGACCTAGGCTCGGACGAGGAAGACGACGAGCCAGCCGTACCCGCGACAAAACTGCGCTCAAAACGGTCGAAGCAGGCTGAGCGTCCTGCAAAGATCATCCCTACCGGCTCCGACTTGTCAGACTCTTCCGACGAAGATGAAGACGAGGATGGACCCGTGACTATTGCGAACATGGAGGCGCGCTCGCGTGCACTCGACGCTGCGGCCGCCCGCGAGGCAGAGCTCGACGAGGCAGAGTTACGTGCGGCCGCGGAGGGAGAGGATGATAGTGACTTCGAGGGAGCGGACGATATGGAGGGAGACGAGGCGCTTGACGAGGACGTGTTCGTACTGCCGACGGCCGAAGAGCGTGAGGCGGAGAAGGCAGCCGGTGGCCCGGACGTACATTCCGTACAGAGGCGCATGCGCGAGTGCGTGCGCATACTCGGCAAGTGGAAGAAGTTGGGCACCAAGACTGGCAGGTACGTATACGTTACTTGCTATTGGATCGTCAATACTGAACTCACTCTGCAGACGCCGGGTCGAGTTTGTCGACCAGCTCTTGGCGGACATTGCGAGCTACTATGGCTATAATGACTTCTTGACCGAGAAGCTGTTCCAGCTGTTCTCGGTGCCAGAGGTCCGTATCCTCACATCATCTCAAGGCGTCCAATATTGATTGCGCCGTCCCCAGGCCATCGAGTTCTTCGAAGCCAACGAAGTTCCGAGGCCAGTTACCATCCGCACAAACACCTTGCGCGCCAGGAGACGCGATCTTGCCCAAGCGCTCATCAATCGCGGGGTCAACTTGGAGCCCATCGGCAAGTGGACGAACGTCGGGCTGCAGGTCTTCGAGAGTAGTGTCCCAATCGGTAACGCTGCCCTTGCATGCCCACTTACAAGCCAATCTGACGTGTTACTCATTAAATAGGGGCAACGCCGGAGTACCTCGCCGGACACTACATGCTTCAGGCAGCATCGTCTTTTCTGCCCGTTATTGCGCTTGGTCCGCAGCCGCACGAGCGCGTACTGGATATGGCGTCGGCGCCCGGAGGCAAGACGACGCATATAGCCGCCTTGCTACAGAACACCGGCGTCGTGTTTGCGAATGATTCGAACAAGGCGCGCGTGAAGAGTCTGACGGCGAACGTCCACCGTCTGGGATGCAAGAACGTCGTGGTGTGCAACTACGACGGCCGCGAGTTCCCAAAGGTTATTGGCGGCTTTGACCGCGTGCTGCTCGATGCGCCATGCAGCGGCACGGGCGTCATCAGCAAAGACGCATCTGTCAAGATCAACAAGGTTCGTCTGGGCCAACATGATAACTGTTCAGTCTGATGCTGATGTTTGCGCCTGCTGCGTCTGTTCTTGCTCCATTCTGTTCTGTTCTGGTCGTGTGCCACCACCACCGCCCATCACCCACGGTCTTGTGCTTTATCGCTATCTATGGCGTCGGTCACGCCAGTCGGAGCGGGACTTTGCACTCCTATCGCATCTGCAGAAGCAGCTGATCCTTTGCGCAATCGATAGCGTGAATGCCGGAAGCAAGACGGGCGGCTACGTCGTCTACTCGACTTGCAGCGTCACCGTGGACGAGAACGAAGCGGTCGTCGACTACGCGCTCAGGAAGCGCCCTCACGCGAAGCTCGTCGACACGGGGCTCGAGTTTGGCCGCGAGGGCTTCACGAGCTTCCGCGGGAAGACGTTCGACCCTAGCGTGAAGCTCACGCGCCGGTTCTACCCGCACGTGCACAACATGGACGGCTTCTTCGTCTCGAAATTCAAAGTGGGTAAGCGGAGCAAGGCGCCGTCTAAGGACCAGGACGCTGAGGCAGCGGGCAACGCGCCGATGGATGTGGACGGGGAGCAGGAGCCCGTCGGGTTCAATGATGAGGAGGATAGGCCGTACCTCGAGGGTGAGCGCTGTCCCCTGTTCATATGCTTTATACGGCGCAGCCGCTAACGGTGCTTCTTTTTCTCTCTCGCAGAGGCCAAACGGACACGCATGAAGGCCAAGGGTCTGCGCGTCAAGCCGCGCAAGGTCGAGGCTGCGGCATAGCACTGCTGCTGAAAAGTATCGTGTACTGTAGTAGCTACTGTACCACTGCTGTACTGACTCGATTCGCTCAACTCGGGACACGAGGCGATCTGAGACAACGGAAGAAGTTTATCTGTGACGTAGATCGGGCCCGCTAGCTTCATTCCCGCGTAGACGCCCAAGACCAACTGCGCCTGCGGGGCATGCTTAAGCTGCGAGCAGGCTATATGCGGACGTCTATCTTACGGTACGGAGCTGCTATGTGGGTACCACGTACTACGTATACGTGGGTAAAAGGTCGAGAAGGCGAACGCCCAGTGCGGGTGAAAAAAGAAGTAGCGAATGAGCATCTTCCAGAAGTGGCGATCAACGATCTCATGTGCGTGGACGTCCGTCGCAGAGCAACCAAACGGCCGATAACGGCAAGGAGCGTTCCAGAAGGGGCCGCGCTCGACTGAACTCTGAATTGGAATATCAAATAGATCCGATGTTCAGGGTTGTGAACCAAAGCCTGTTCATGCCCGTGCAGTACCCTCCCCGCGCGCACCGTGCTGCACGACGACGTGAGCGGCGTGCGGAAGGCATGAAGTCGGACGTAAACACGCGGTCGGCAGCGAAGAGGCGATCCGGCAGCCGTCGCGAGGGAGGAGGAAGGCGGCGAGCAATACTAGCGTCGTGCGATCAATTTAGGCGAAGCGGCCCCGTCATGCGGGCGTGATGGGCTGGGCGTTCGCGCTTTCTCATGGCATTTTTTCGGTGTTTTCCCTGGGTTATCTGCGCGCTCTAACTACAATACACGTATACGAAATAGCTATGAAAAACGCGTCCAACTGGACGGGAGAGTTGAGCTGGAGTGACAAGCGAGAGAGAAGGCTGAAGTTGAAACGTGTTGTTGCGCGACGGGCGGCTAAGCCGGCCCAAACCGGGAGTTGCCGCGGCGGTAGGTATAAGGTCTGTTCCGGTACTAATTCGCTATCAGCCTCCCCTTGCTCCCAAGCCCCGACCAGCTCACTCCTTTTTTCTCGTCTCCCTTCCTATCCTCTCTTCACTAATGTCGTCCGAGGCTCCCGTCGTCGCTGTTCCCGCTGAGGAGGTCAAGGCCGCTGAGCCCGCCGTAGAGGCGCCCGCTGCCGCCGAGCCCGTTGCCGTAAGTTGGACTTTGCTGCTGCGCTGGCGCCAATCATGTCTGAACATTATTTTTCTGCAGGAGGTCGCCCCCAAGGCCACCGAGGAGACGCCCGCCGCTGAGCCCGTCGCGGCTGCTGAGACCGAGGCGCCCAAGGCCGAGGAAAAGCCCGCCGAGGAGGCTGCCGCCACTGAGGCACCTGCCGCTGAGGCTGCGCCTGCGGAGGAGAAGCCGGTGCGTTCAAACATTCACCTTATTTCCTTTGTTCGAAATGCTCATGTGACGTGTTCTAGGCCGAGACTGAGGCTGCTAAGGACGAGAAGCCCAAGAGCCCCAGCCTCTTCGCCAAGCTGCTCGCGCCGTTCAAGGGCGAGAAGAAGGAGAAGAAGCCCAAGAAGGAGAAGGAGGACAAGAAGGCCAAGAAGGAGGAGGCCAAGGTGCGTTCTGCGCTGCATTATTTCTTCTACCCTTTCTCATTATTTCTTAGGCTGAGGAGCCCGCCGCCGAGACCACCGAGGCTGCTCCCGCCACTGAGGCCGCTGCTGAGCCTGCCGCCGAGGGCGCTGCACCCGCCGCTGAGGAGCCCGCGAAGGAGACGTGAGTCACGCGCCTGTTGATCCACCTGGTAACGGTTGCTGATTTCATTGATAGCGAGACCGCTCCCGAGGCCGCCGCTCCTGCCGAGGCTGAGGCTGCTCCCGCCACCGAGGCGCCCGCCGCTGAGGAGGCCGCTAAGGAAGAGGCGAAGGAGGAGCCCGTGAGTGTCTTGTGTATCCCAGGATTCGCTTTATTCTGACTCGCAATGCAGAAGGAGGAGAAGAAGCCCGCCGAGAAGAAGGAGAAGAAGGTCACCCGCCGCCTGTCCTCGCGCGTGACCGACCTCTTCAAGCCCAAGCCCAAGGCTGAGACCGCCACCCCGGCCAAGGTCGAGGAGAACCCCCCGCAGATCGAGGAGCCCGCTGCCGTCGCTCCCCTCGAGAACCCCGCCGCTGAGGAGGCCAAGCCTGCCGATGCCGCGGAGGCTAAGCCCGAGGCTGCGGAGGAGGCGAAGCCGGCTGAGGAGACCAAGCCCGCAGAGACTCCCGTCGTGACTGCATGAGCGTCGACTTTTCTGACGTCTCATTCACGTCCCTAGACGCCCTCTGAACGACCGTTACGAGCCACATTTTTCCGTCTCGCTACTGCACATCCCGCTTTGCCCATCCTTATACCTCTTAGCTATCTCCCTGTCTCCCTTTACTCGTCTCTGCGCTCCCCATACTGTTCCATGTTTTCGTACGCTACACGCGGATCCTGGATTCTCCTTGGATGACTCCTTTCGCGCGCCATCGCTCCCTTCCAGTTACCCGCGGTTTTCCTACTTCACTAATAGCGATCTCAACTGATACCCTGGTTTTTCCTCATTGCCATGTCGGATCGCGTGCACGTTCTTGGTTATACATGTCCGCACTGCTCAGTAAACACATGTCGTTTGTTGGCCACATTCGGACAGCGCGCGTGAAGTCGAAAATCGTCTGAGCACTCGAGTCATTGTACCGTGTGGTTGCCGCGAGCATGCGACAACATTCAGTCCCGTGCCGAAGACGTTGATCCGTTGACACCTTGTTTCGTGACTTCATGGCTCCGAAATCATCAGCTGGTAAAGAAAAGCTGGTGAACGAGGAGGACGAGGTTCTACAGGCCGTCCTGCTCGCCGACTCGTTTGACTCGCGCTTCAAGCCTCTCACTACTGGAAAACCGAGGGTGCGCTGATCGGCGACCTTCACACCGCCCGAACTAGTATGCTGAGACGCGTGCTACCTAGTGTTTGCTACCGATCTGTAATGCGCCACTATTGGACTGGACGCTTGAGAGTCTTGCGCTTGCGGGTGTACAGGAAGTATTCGTGATCTGCCGCTCGCACGCCGATCAGGTCAAAGAAGCGTTACAGTGCGTGTACATCTTGCTATACCCAATGGTATAATCCGCCGTACCCAACTGACCAGACGTCTACAGAAAGAGCAAATGGAATGCGCCAGGCTCGGGCTTGAAGATCGTACCGATCTTAACCGCGAAGGAGACGTTCTCACCCGGCGACGCTCTGCGCGATGTATACACCCACGGCGTGGTTACGGGAGACTTTGTGCTGGTATACGGCGATCTTGTTAGCTCCATACGCATCGAAGAGGCTGTAGCCGCGCATCGGGAGCGCAGGAAGGTCAACAAGGATGTGATCATGACTATGGTAGTCAAAGAGAGCGGCGCGAAGCATCGCACAAAGTACGTCAACGCTATGCCCATACTGCACGAGCAACTGTGTTGACCGTGCGTAGATCGCAAGGAGACTCTGGCGTATACGTAATTGACCCTACCACGGACGAATGCCTGCACTACGAAGCCGTCACCGGCTACCCACCCGCCAAACGCGCCCGCATCCCGCGCGAGATCCTCGCTGACCACCCAGACGTCGAAGTCCGGTACGACCTCCTCGACTGCGCCATCGACGTCTGCTCCGTCGAAGTGCCCTCGCTCTTCCAAGACAACTTCGACTACGCAGACGTGAGGCGCGACTTTGTACACGGCGTTCTGACGAGCGACCTGTTGATGAAGAATATACATGTGCATGTGGCGCGAGAAGGGTACGCGGCGAGGGTCAAGGATACGAGGAGTTACGATGCTATCAGTAAGGATATACTGAGCAGGTGGACCTTCCCGCTTGTGCCGGATGATTATCATCCGGCTGGGCAGGCGTATGAGTTGTTGAGAGGGAATAAGTACCATCCGAAGGACGGCTCGATCACGCTTTCTCGGTATGTACATCCGCGTCTTGTCCTCTGCGTTGTTGACTTTTGACCGCAGGACGTGCAAGATTGGGAATAACACGCTCATCGGACCTTCATGTCGTCTGGAAGACGACGCTCAGCTCATCGCTTCGACACTCGGTACAGGATGCACTATCGGTCCTCACGCGGTTGTACGCAACTCTTACTTGCTAGACGGCGTGACCGTCGGTCGTGGTGCCGTGGTCGAGCACGCGATTATCGGCGCGAACGTGAAGATCGGAGAGGATGTACGCGTCGGGCGCGGTGCTCTCATCGGTGACGGCGTCGTGCTGGCTGCTGGGTCGAGGTTGATGCCCTTCGAGCGTGTATCCCGCTTCAGAGAGGGGGATGAGGCCGAGGACTCTGATTCTGAGTACGATGAAGCAGAGACCCGTATGTTCATTCTCTTCTTTCTTGCGTGGTCACCGGAACTGACATGCTACATCGCGCAGATCAGGAGCATCTGGCAGCCGCTTTGGGCAAAGGCTCGAACGCATTCATCTGGCCAAGAAAAGCAGCGACCTTCGAAGACGAAGATCCAGACGATGCGCCCGTGGACAGCTTCAACAACCTACGCCTCATGCGGATCGGTACGCGTCGATCCCCTCGTGGCAACCCATACGTATATGCATGCTAATGATCTACACGTACTTCTACAGGCGACGACCATAAAGACCTCGAACTGTCCGACGCAGGCTCTATTACGTCCTCCGAAGACTCCGAATCCGACGAAGAGTCGGACGTTCTCCTCCCGCGTGCATCAGCGTCTTCGTCCGCCACATCATTGCAGACTGCCAACCTTGCCTCTGCAGCTGTATCGGCTGGTGCACAAGCAGCGGAGGATGAGTTCAGGCATGAGGTCGAGCAGAGTCTCGCGCGTGCCTTCGCCGAAGGACACAGTCTTGACAACGCGTCGGTCGAACTCAAGACATTACGCATGGCGAGCAACGTGCCGCTGCGCAAGGTGCGCGAGGCAGTTGTGGCCGCGATCGTCGAGCGCATCCCTCTTGGCGGTGGTGCGGTAGAGCAAAGAAAAGGTATAACGACCGTTGTCGAGCGATGGGGTCCACTCATCAATCTAATTGGCGGCATCGACGGCGTTGAAACAACCACGATTCTGCAGGTAAGCCCACGGCTCGCGAACCGCGTCGGTTGGCCAGTTGTCTGACTCGTACTAGGAACACTGTGCGCAATCGGATCGGTTCCCGCTTTTTGGACAGATACTGGTAGCGCTGTACCAGAACGATGTGGTTGAGGAGGACGACATCCGTGCATGGCATGCGCAGCCGCAAGCTAAGGGGATCAATCTGCCGGATGGGGAGACGAAGGAACGCACACAAAAGTGCTGGCTCGTCGGCGCTCAGATGATACACCAGTTTGACGAGCAGGAGAGCAGCGAGGAGGGTTCGGGTTCGGACGAGGAGAGCGACTAGACGCATTAGTTTCAAAAGCAATCTCTTGTAGCGCTAGCTCAATTGTACGTTGTGCGCCTTGTCATGTAGATCAGTTTAGGGCCCGACGGTTATTGTGATGACCCACGTTCCTGCTGCAAGATACGGGACGCCTTGCCTAGTTTAGATTGCCGAAGGCACGCATAGCGTGTCGCGTATGGCGCAAGTTTCGCGCTTGGTTTCGTCGGCAAGGTCCGAAATCGTTCGTGCTCAAAAACTGAGTTTCATGCAGGACGTGTTGTTCAAGGACCCCCACCTCTTCCCCTCCGCCCTACGGACTCCTTTCCTTTCCTTCTCCTTTAGACACCAATGGCACCCAACGCAGCGCTCGCGCCCGGCCACTTCCTCTTCACCTCCGAGTCCGTCGGCGAGGGTCACCCTGGTATGTTTGCTGGCATGTTTTCCTAATACATCACAGTGTACTGATTTATGGGTTACAGACAAAATTTGCGACCAGGTCTCTGATGCTATCCTCGATGCCTGCCTCGCACAGGACCCGTTCTCGAAGGTTGCCTGCGAGACCGCGTCCAAGACGGGCATGATCATGGTCTTTGGCGAGATCTCGACCAAGGCGCAGATCGACTACCAGTCTGTCATCCGCAACACGATCAAGGAGATCGGCTACGACTCGTCCGACAAGGGCTTCGACTACAAGACCTGCAACATCCTCGTCGCCATTGAGCAGCAGTCGCCCGACATTGCCCAGGGCCTCGACCACGGCTCGCTCGAGAACATCGGCGCCGGCGACCAGGGCATCATGTTCGGCTACGCGACCGACGAGACGCCCGAGCTCATGCCGCTCACCGTCATCCTCGCACACAAGCTCAACAAGGCAATGACCGTCGCACGCAAGTCCGGCGAGCTCGCGTGGCTCCGGCCCGACACCAAGACGCAGGTGACGATCGAGTACAAGAAGGACGGCGGCGCGATGATCCCCCTCCGCGTCGACACCATCGTCGTCTCCACCCAGCACGCGGAGGAGATCTCGACCGAGGACCTCCGCAAGGAGATTCTCGAGAAGATCATTAAGCAGGTCATCCCCGCCAACCTCCTCGACGACAAGACCGTCTACCACATCCAGCCCTCTGGCCGCTTCGTCATCGGTGGTCCCCAGGGTGACGCCGGTCTTACTGGCCGCAAGATCATCGTCGACACCTACGGTGGTTGGGGTGCGCACGGTGGAGGTGCCTTCTCCGGAAAGGACTTCTCCAAGGTCGACCGCTCTGCCGCATACACCGCACGCTGGATCGCCAAGTCGCTCGTCAACGCCAAGCTCGCCCGTCGCGCCCTCGTCCAGCTCTCGTACGCCATCGGTGTCGCAGAGCCACTCTCCATCTACGTCGACTCGTACGGCACCAGCCAGAAGACTGACGAGGAACTTGTCGAGGTCGTTCGCAAGAACTTCGACCTCCGGCCCGGTGTTATCGGTACGTATTCCTGTATCTGCATCTCATCTCCGAATACAGCGGATCTGACGGCGTCCCGCACTTTTCACAGTCAAGCAGCTCGACCTCCAGAAGCCGATCTACCGCAAGACCGCATCCTACGGCCACTTCGGCAACCCCGAGTACACCTGGGAGCAGCCCAAGCAGCTCTCCCTCTAATCTCGTTCTCGGCCCTCTATCTCGTCTCGTCCCACCTCGTCTGTTTGCTTTCAACCACGCACTTGCATACCACCGCACGCATTGGGAAGTTCATCCTTCCCCGTTATCTTTATTGCACATCCTCCTTGCTACACACACTAGATACGCTTAGGTAGCGTTCTCCCGCTACCGATTCTCCTCACGACCCCGCCATTCCCCTGTACGGGCTCATGCTCCCCCGCCCGCTCCTCACGTCCGCCCCTACTACCTTGCTCTATCTCTAAACACCAACCCCTGCTGCCGCTGCTCGTGTACTTTACATAGGTCTCTTGGATTAGTCGCCGCCGCACACCCGCTCCTGTACAGCCTCGCTCGTTCGTGAAATACTAATCGCGCTCAACCGCGTCTGTTTCACCGTCGTAACCAGGATCCATTGTCTGTGTGCTTATCCATCGATGTCGAGATCGCGCCGAAAATGCTGCCAACCCGCATTTTCGCATATTGCAGATCGAGAGTGGCAAAGGATTTACACGCTCAGGGCAAGGTTCGGAGCACGGGTATCGCAATTCATCGATGCCTGCGCATGCGCGGCGGACCGTCACCGGACTCTGCGTCCGACAGGGAATTTATACGGGCAAAATTTCGGGCGATGAGGGTTTCAATGTGTCCGTCATCGTCCTCTGACCGACGTCGCCCGTCGCTGCAACCGACGTCGTGCGCACGCTCGCACGGCTAGCTCTTGAACAAACAGTGCGTTATCCGGACGTCATTGATGGAGATGAATGAAGCGCTGACACGCGCGCTTATGCCACACAGTGTGCGGTATCTGCGGTTTGTTATTGCATGATCCCGCGCAGGACGCTGCACCGGAGATCTGGGAGGGGCTTTCGCTTCTGCAGCATCGCGGACAGGATGCCTGCGGTATTGTGACTGGTGGGCCTAAAGGCCGCTTTTACCAGTGCAAGGCGAACGGTATGGTCCGTGATGTGTTCGACGCGGCCGCTATCGCACGCCTCACTGGCTCCATGGGCATCGGGCATGGTATGTTCGAAATGTCATAAGTCCATATGTAACGTTCTTATATCCCCAACAGTTCGCTATCCTACCGCCGGGAGCTCAAACCACGCCGAGGCCCAGCCGTTCTACGTCAACTCGCCCTATGGAATCTGTTTCGCCCACGTCCGTCGTTCATCTCCTCTCCATACCTACTCAAACTGACACGACACAATACATCATAGAATGGAAACCTGATCAACACGTCGAGCCTGCTCCGCTTCATGGACGCCGAAGCACACCGACACATCAACACCTCCTCAGATTCAGAAGTGCTCCTGAACATCTTCGCCAACGAGCTCCAAAAGACCGGCAAGTTCCGCATCAACGAGGACGACATCTTCACCGCCATCGGCGGGCTCATGAAGCAGGTCCGCGGCGCGTACGCCTGCGTCGCGATGCTCGCTGGTTTCGGGATTATCGCTTTCCGCGACCCGAACGGGATAAGGCCGTGCGGGATGGCGTCCCGCAAGTCTGCGACTTCGGACGGCCGCGACTGGCTTATCTCGAGCGAGAGCGTTGTCGCCGATGCTGGAGGATTCTCCGACTGGGAGGATGTACGGCCTGGGGAGGCGATTATCATCACTCGCAGCGGCGGCGTCTCGCGCAGGCAGGTGTCCGAGCCGGCTCAGTTCGCTCCGGACATATTTGAATATGTCTACTTCGCACGCCCGGACTCCGTCCTCGATGGGATATCGGTGTACCGCAGCCGTATGGCCATGGGCGATGCGCTCGCCGATGAGGTTCGCCGCGTGCTCAAGGAGAAGAATATCTCGGTCGACGTCGTCATTCCTGTCCCCGACACGAGCCGCGTCGCCGCGCTCAACCTGGCACAAGCGCTAGGCCTACCATACCGCGAAGGCTTCGTGAAGAACCGCTACGTTGGGAGGACGTTCATCATGCCTGGACAGCAGATGCGCAAGAAGAATGTACGGCGCAAGCTGAACGCGATGGCACTGGAGTTCGCAAACAAGAATGTACTCTTGGTAGACGGTGAGACTCGTCCACACGCCGGTTTAAGATCAAGATCGCTAATCTGGCCCTCGTAGACTCCATCGTACGCGGAACAACATCCAAGGAGATCATTCAGATGGCCAAAGACGTCGGCGCGAAGTCGGTCATTATGGCTTCATGCGCCCCGCCCATCCGATACTCAAATGTCTACGGCATCGACATGCCCTCACGCGTGGAACTCGTTGCGCACGGTCGTACGGACGAGGAAGTGGCGGAAGCCATCGGCGCCGACCTCGTCATCTATCAGACTCTACCCGATCTCATCGAGTCCGTGCGCGGATTAAACCCCGCGATCAAGGAGTTCGACTGCTCAGTGTTCTCTGGACAGTACGTGACCGGCGGCGTCGACGAGGAGTACCTGGCTGGCCTCGAGCGTGTGCGTGCGGATAACGCGAAGGCAAAGCTTCAAGTGGGCGGGATCAGCGCGTTGGAGGGTAAGGGAGGCGGAGGTGTCGAGGCTCCGGGCGAGGAACAGCCTGCCGCTGCTACTGGGCCGCCGGCGAATGGAGATGATACTGTAGGGTTGCATAATTCATGGAGGGCGAGCTGAGTAGCAGCAGCACAGCACGCATTGTATCGCTAGTCGGTTCGTCAAGCTGTATCCAGTAGATCGTAGAGGCTCTTGGCATCTGTTGTAGAAAACTGTATATCCGTATAGGAAAAGAAGTCGAATGTAATAGACCTTTAGGGGTACCACGTCCGGAACAACGCATGTGCGGGTATCTGAATGTTGGACGTTGAGCGCTGCCTTGCTGCTACTGCGTGTAGTGTAGAGTTGCCTGCTGTCGAGTTGCTGAGTTCCCTACCATAGGGAGCTGGGAGCATTAAGGAGACCTGCTGGGCGCGCGAAACGGTTTGTCTCCCGCCTTCATCTCCATAAGCATCGCTGTAATCCAATCGCATAGCCTCCTGGGGTTACATTCCAGCCCGAGCATGCCCCATGTACAAGTCAAACGCACTGCGTGCAACATGCAGTGGCGTCTACCTTCGAGTTATTGGACATGGTCTGGGAAGACCCTCGCGCGGAATATCTTGTGGCCTGGCAGTTCGCCTGCACAGATCGATTGGATATCCGGCACGGCGATGGGCCTTGTCCCGCTCCAGGATCGGACCCATGGGAGTCTGAGCTACTTGGGTATACGTGTTCCTCCCAAACGGGCATTGTCCCAAACGGGGCTTCGTGCATTGCGCCCTCAGTCACTTCGTCCGAAACATACAAGACGGCCCAAGTCAGGGCACGCATACCCCTCGCCGCAAACACCCTCGCGTTCTTCTCATAATGGAAGCTGTTATTCTGAATCTCCCTGTGTAGTATGCCAGTCAGACTCGGACACGATGGCCGTTCGTATTTGGTTTGTACCGTATTCGTCGGGGCGGCTACATATGAACAACATCTACTCATTACACACTCCACACCTCGGGTAAATCAGGGGCAGAAGTCACAGTGCCTCGCGGCTCACAGTGGTGCCTCTGCCACAGAAACAGTGTGGGCTCCATTGACGTAGCTCTCTGCTCAGACAAGCGTCGGGATGAAGCGCTTCTCCACGGTGCATCTTCCCAGCCCGAAGCGCGAAGGCGGCGGATGTAGGGCGGAACCCCTCGCTGGTTCACCGATCCTCCAGGGGAGTTGCATCATGTGTAACTCAGTTACGCGATGGATTGAGTTGGCTACCGGATGAGGCACCTCGCAGCATGGGGAATGGGGTGACCGTGCTTTGGCCCATAGCTTTGGGAAGGTCTATAAAGTGTCCCTCCTCTCTCGATTCGGGGACTACCCAAACCAGGAGTTTCCCATACCTTACCGCATGACTATTCCTTTCACTTCACGACGCAGGCGGTCAGTACATGTCGTACCGTCTCCAATGCAGTAACTGACTTGCTTTCACTCAGTTCGACGTTCTCGTCGCCGGCCAAACACGATGCCACTTTATGCCGGAAACGGACACTTCACCTTCAGGACCCTTGCCATGTTCACCGTCTTCCACTCGAGCTCCTCGAACTCATCTTTCACTTCACTAAGGAGCTCGACCCTCCTCATGCCTACCCAAACTTCATGTATCCGGGCTGGTTCCGCGTGCTTTCAGTTTGCCCATGGTGGCGTTCGGTGAGCTCGGACATGTTCCTGCCATATCGTCATGACGCTTGCTGATGAGAGATATGTAGGCCGCCATTCAATGCAGTCGACTATGGGACATCGTACCTGGGACTGATCTTACACCGTCATGGGTGTTCCGCATGTTGACATACTCAAAGTCTCTTCCGCTCACCCTCACCCTCAACTCGTCACAGTTGTCTCGCGCCCTCCCTGATCAATCCCTATCCCGTCTCCTGGACACGGTTGCTCGTCGTATTCGTGATCTTCATCTCGTGATAGACGGGGATGCAGATGAAGTGGTGGTTGCACTTCGAGAAGCACCTGCGGCGCCTACCCTCCGCTCTCTCAGCATCACTACGAATGGCGTCGCCGTCCTGTTACCCAGAGACATATTCTCTCATGACACACTCGCTCTCAAGAGTCTGACATTCGTCGACTGCTTCGCGCCATGGGATGCCCCTCTCTATGCTGGACTCGAAGATCTTCACATACATCTAACGCCGCATGCGGCCCGGTCTATTGGGTTTGCGGAGGTGCAAGATAACGCGTGTTCGCGGAAGGCCTACGGGACACTGCAGCACTTGGCACCAACCCTACGCTCATTGGCCTTGCGCAACCTCCAGCCCTTCACCTCCGATGCACCGCACGAACCAATCAACTTCCCCATCCTAGAACATTTCACCCTAGAAGGGTCGACTTCGGATTGTATCGCCATCATGAACACACTCTCCTTCCCTTCATCCACGAACATATCCCTATATCTGTCTTCTGATGACTCGACCGCCCTTGTCAACACCATGCACATCCTCGGCATCGCCTCAACTCCTGTCGGCGCCCTCGAATTGGACTTCGAACACGAGTCCGGATACCAGTTCACGATGCGGTTACATTCTCTCGCACCGCGCGGCGGACGCACGTACACCCTATACGTCAACGGCATCGCCAACGGCTCGCGGTGGACTGCTTGCGGCGAGTATGTGTCCTTGGTACAGGCGCTGCGCCTCGATGCAACGACCACGCTCATCCACCGCGCATCCAACTGGCGTTATTGGGCGGCTGATGTGTGGCGCTCGATACAGCTCCCCGAAGTACGTACAATCGTGGCGGTGGGCGCACCTGCTTCAATCAGCCTGCTGGATGGTCTTGCCGGCACACCGGTGCTTGCACCGAAGGTCGAGCACCTCAGGGTGGCGCGCGTACCGCCTGGTTACGCGTTCTTCTCGCATCGACCCGAGGTGCTGAGCCTGGAGGATTTCAGGGAGCTTAGGGAGGAGGCGGGTCGCCCGATCGCAGAGGTAGTGGCTGTCTGATGAGGATAGATATTTCGGACTAGAGCCTAATGGACTCGTTATGCTTCTCGAACTGGGTACATCTATGTAGCACTCCGGACACTCATATGATCGCTCGTGGACCCTCTGTATAATAGCATGTACATTCTTTGAGATCGGCGTGATCTTGGTACTGTCAAGCACGCCCGATGTTGGCGAAAAGTACATCCAGACTGTAACCCGAGACCAGAAGTGACAGTTTGATGATGGTCGGAGGATAAGTCGCGTGGGCGCGTCTACTGCGAGGACGCGCGTCGCGTACTACGCGTCGAGACGCGCTTTACACCTTCACCAACATCTGACCTCGCCACACCGGACTACGCGCAGCCATGGTCGCAACTACAGGAGAACAGGTATTTAAATATCTACCCCGGCGAAAACCAAAATAGGATACTAATCTTTGTATCTAGCTCACTGCATTAGCAAACACGACCGTCGGTGAGCCGCTCGTTTAGTGCGCTCTACTATAACGCTGACGCGCGTTCGTAGTCGTGCACCCTCTCGTATTGCTCTCTGTAGCAGATCATCATGGCCGCGCACTTGCGCGAGGGTCGTCAAAGCGCGTCATTGGCGTGTTACTCGGACAGGATCTGGGCAAGACCATCAATGTCGCGAACTCGTTCGGTATTCCTTTCGAGGAGGACGAGCGCGACCCGAAAACGTGGTTCTTGGACCACAATTATATCGATGGCATGTACTCTATGTTCCGCAAAGTAAATGGTACGCGTTTAGACGCTCTTCGTGTGACTGTGAACGCTAATGTGCGGTTGCAGCGAAGGAGAGGATAGTTGGCTGGTACCACACTGGCCCTAAGTTGCGCGCGTCTGACTTGGAAATCAACGAGTTGTTCAAACGTTTCGTACCACGACCGGTCATGGTCATCGTAGACGTACGGCCTCACACGGTCGGCATACCCACGGACGCGTACTTCGGCGTGGAGGAGATCAAGGATGTGAGTATCACGCTCACCGGATCGCTTAAATCGGTATGCTGACAATCTATCTAGGACGGTACGGAGACTAGGGCCACCTTCTTACATGCACCATCAGCTATCGAGGCCGAGGAAGCTGAGGAGATCGGTGTCGAGCACCTCTTACGTGACATTAAGGACTCGACCACTACAACGCTCGCGACGCGCGTTTCCGAGCAACTCGCTTCTCTTCGCGGACTTGCATCACGTCTGGGAGATATTGAACGATACTTGAACGAGATCGCGGCAGGAACAATGCCCTTGAACCACCCAATCGCGTACCACCTGCAAGATGCTCTGAACCTGCTCCCCGACCTGCGCGAACCGCAATTGACGGGCGCGTTCGCGACGAGCACGAACGACGAGCTGCTCGTCGTGTATCTAAGCTCGCTCGTTCGCGCCGTGCTTGCGCTACATGCGCTCGTGGACAACAAGGAGGAGATCGGACGTGCGGAGATGGAGGAGGGTACGAAGAAGGAGGATGTGAAGGAGAACACAGACAAGGAGAAAAAGGAGGATGCGAAGGAAGGCGAAAAGGAGAAGGACGCTAGCAAGAAGTAGATGGGCGTGACGCCGTTGTATCTCTATATCTTCTCTTGTCCCGCGTTTTCATCTGGGCACTGAGCGTAACGCCTGTTACTCAGCTTCACTTCAAGCACGAGAGTTAGCCCGGTATGCGGCCACGTGGGCTCTTAATTCAGATTTCCAATTCACGATCACCTCAATGAAAGTGGACGGACGAGTATGCGCAGGCATCCGCTCAAGCGTTCGAGCATCAATGCCATGCACTCGTAGTATATTATTCAGTGAATAGAGGAAGGCTACGCGAGACTTCGTCAATTGTATCTCCCTTTCGCCACTACACATTACTTGACTTGGAAGAAAACACCCGTCGCGTGTCCTGAACGTCTACGAGATCCAGAAGGGGGCCATATAGATCAAGGTCGTTAGCCTTGCCATCCGTCCCTTCGATTGTCCCACACAGCGTGAGAGTTTGTACAGGCAAGCCCAATTTGACGCGAGCCTCGAGCCATTGCTTGACTTTTTGTATGGCGTCAGCCACAACAGCTTTCTTGTATAGAGTGACATAGCTGCTGATTCGAACGTGCTTTAAGGCAGGGTATGTGGCGGGCCAGTCGAGAAGAAAGTCGGGAAGTAAACCCCTACCAAAATGAGCGGGGCCCAGTTCGCCGGTTGACAGTCCAAAGGGAGGTTCCAGGCTGTAGTAGAGCGTTTCGACGGAGGCGGAGAGCGCTGATCCGTGAAAAACTGCGGGCGTGTCCGCTGCAGTGAAGGATTGATCAACTGTGGGTGGGTCCACGTAAAGTTCATGGATCGTAGAAGAGGGAAGCTCGGCGAAGATGGCCTCGTAAATAGCAACTGACGACATTGAGCCATCCTCTAGGCGCCGTTCGGAGTCTTCGATGAATATAGAAATTGATGCGCCCCTTCGATCCTTGTGGAAGAGTTCGAAGAACGCGCTTTCGTCGCTGTAGTCGCAGCGCGACGTAACGCGCACGGAATTGCACGAGGATGAGCGCATGTAAGGGGCCAGCTCTCGACAGAGATGCTGAAGTTCGTCATCCGTCGAACGCGGGAAAAAGGTAGAGAAGCGTATGGATGTCCTCGTGGGTATCGATAGGGCCAAAAGGAATACAGCGATATGGCTGCAGTATTCCTTGCGGATGGACAAATATTCAAGATGATTGAGAGTGACAATAGATTGCCTGCCATTCTCACTATCCCACTCTGTGGGGTCCCAGTCATCGGAGAATATGCAGTGGTGTATCTTGAGATGCGTGAGCAGCGGCGTCGAGCGCAACATCCTGATTAACTGCGTGGCCGGGATGAAGGCTTCGACTGGAACATCCTGACCGAATGAGACTGCTTGTTCGACTTGCCATTCGAAGGGCATGTAGATCGTTAGGCTGGTCAAGTTTGGTGCAGTGAAGTGCACGGCGAAATGGTATAAGCGAAGGCTTTGAAGGTGATCGGCCTGGAAAGATATATCGGAGAAATATCCCGGCTCTCTATTGGCGAAGCTGGCCTGACGAAGGTGAGGGAAGACCTTTCCGGGGAGATGTTCGATCCATGAAAGACGTAGATCTTCGGGGCACATAATCGTGCGGAACCGTTCAACGTGTGCCGTCAAGTACGAGGTCTGTGCGCTCCACCCATCATGATCCCATTCATGATGTGGGCCAAACGTGAGGGGTATGCCTCGCGCGCGTTCGAGACGCTCTGGGAATCCATCAGGAAATGCGGTCACAATGCTGGCCCAGAGTTCGCTCATAGATAAGGCTAAGAGACGCCACGATTTACAGACGTGACTGAGATGGACCACCATCTTCCCTCGTGATAGGTGGTCCCAAGGCGAATTGCGACCGTAGCCGTAGTCAATTTCAAAGGCACAGTTGTAGAAGATCTCCGCTAAGCAATCCTTGTTCAGTCGAGATATACTAGGCCTGCATTGGTGCTTGTCAGCCAGAATCGTTGAAGAATTGTCAAGCATGAGCGCACTTTATATGCACCATCTTAATACAAGCATCCGATGCCATTAGAGTGCAGTTATAAGCACTATAGATTGTTTCCGAGTCTATGGGTTGGCTTGAGCCAAGTGGACGTTCGCCGTCAAGGAACGGAAGCGAGGGAGGTGACGGGGCGCGTTTGCCGCGCGGGCGGCGCGTGTCGTCACGCGCGTTGCTGAGCCTGGGCGTAACCGCTTCGCGTATGACCTTGCGCGTACACATAGCTCAGACCGAACTCTCCTTGCGACTTGGCAGCAGTCCGGGGTATCGATTTCTCGGCATAGATTCATGGAAAGCGCATGATTTTCCGCGTCTTGAGGTCGCCGAAGCGGGGTAGCGTGGTCATGCGGGGCGCGTCGTAGCCTGAGAAGCTGGCCTACATCCGCGGTTGACGACGTTGATCACCTACTTTAGCACCTGCATCGACACATTTGACTTCAGGCAACTGCCAGACTTGAACTCTGACCGGTCCTCATAGCTTATAAAGGCCAGCCACTTCTCCTCCGAGTGCTACGTATTCCCTGCCGCGCGGTCCTCGACTCCTATCATGGCCGCTCAACCCGTCGTGCTTCCAACATGGGCGCCAACTCCGCTCGACACTATCTCTCAGGTGCGTATGTTAGTCCACTGCACGTGTGAGACATACTTACGCGACACGCAGATACGCTCTGACTTGGAGACCAACTTCCGTACTGGCAAGACACGAGATATCGAGTTCAGACGCGACCAGCTCCTCGGCCTGGCATATCTTGTGCAGGAAAACCGTGTAGCTATCCACGAAGCTCTGAGGAAGGATTTGGGACGAAGTGAACACGAGAGTGACATGTCAGTGCGTTTTGCCCTGTCCGAGCCGTACGGCTTAGGCTCACGTCTCATTGCAGTATCGAGATTGGCGGAACTCTGGGGGAGATATTGACGGCGTACAAGTCAGTAGGGAAGTGGTCCAAGTCCGAGCGACCGCCCTTCGCTTTCAACTACTTCGCCATGCGCCCGACTATCCGCAAAGAGCCCAAGGGCGTCGTTCTCATTCTCGTCCCGTTCAACTATCCCATCTTGCTCTCATTGGGACCCCTTGTGCGTATACCCATCGATATCCACAGAAAACAGCTTACGGAAAGTCACAGGCCAGTGCAATTGCAGCCGGATGCCCCTGTGTGGTGAAGCCATCTGAGCTGACTACGGCAGTCGGTGCCCTCTTTGCCGAGCTTTTCCCCAAGTATCTCGACCCGTCGTTCTATCGCGTTGTGAATGGCGCCGTTCCTGAGACTACTAGGTTGCTGGAGCAACCGTGGGGACACAGTACGTATTTGACATTTGTGAGAAAGTGACGGTCAATTCACGCAATGGTAGTTCTTTTCACCGGTTCTGGACGCATTGCGAAGATCGTCCTTGCTGCGGCTGCGAAGACGCTGACTCCAGTGACTACCGAACTGGGAGGGAAATCTCCTGTCATTGTCGACCCGTCGTGTGACTTGAAGACGACTTGCCGGCGCATACTCTGGGGCAAGACTGCCAATGCAGGACAGACGTGTGTGGCGCCCGACTACATCCTCGTCCCGCGCTCCTTCCACGACACCTTCGTCACTGCGCTTAGGGAAACACTGAATGAGTACTACCCGGGCGGCGCTGCAAGCAGCGATAGCTACTCGCGAATTGTCTCGCCCGCTCATCATAAAAGGCTCGTCGAGCTCCTCGACAATACCGAAGGCAAAGTCACGTACGGCGGCAAGACCACCGGCGCGACGGTTGACGGCGAGCGCTTCATCGAGCCGACTGTGGTCACGGGCGTGAGCATCGACGACTCACTCATGCGGGATGAAATCTTCGGGCCGATCCTACCGATCATCGCTGTCGAAGATATCGACGAGGCTATTCGTATCGTGAATTCAAGGTCAGTATGAATACCCATCAACTGTGACATGCTCTGAGTGTGTCAACAGGGATTATCCTCTGGCATTATACGTCTTCGCTCGGGACGCGAAAGTCAAAAAGAAGGTCTTCGAGTCGACGCAGAGCGGCAGTGTACTTGCGAACGATGTTCTGCTTCAAGTGACAGGTACGACAAAGCGACCCTCTGTCTCTCCGATACTGAAACGGACGGTTATAGCGGATGGACTGCCCTTCGGCGGTATTGGGCCGAGCGGATGTATGTCCATTGGCCGTGATTGTCCGTTTATGTTGCTGATCAAATGCCACATCCAGCTGGCCAGCACACGGGGAAGTACGGGTTCGATATGTTCACGCATATGCGCGCTACCCTGGATAACCCGAGCTGGTACGTCTTGGACCGTTCATTCTAGTCAGCCTACTTGACTGAGCTGATCAATCTCAGGCTCGACCTGATCATGAGCGGTCGCTTCCCACCCTTCACGGTACGGCCCATCCTCGTCAACTAAGTAGGAGATCATTGACGCATAGCCTCCTAGGACAAATCGACGAAGATCATCCGCGCTATGGCTACTCCTTCACTCCCACCACGGAAAGCGAGCAGGTGGGGATCTTCATGGGTTGTTGCCGCTGTTGCTGTTGCGGCAGCTGCGTATAGCGGCAGTAAGCTGATTGCTGCGCGGAAATAGCGCGCCAAACCCAGCCCTCAAGACGTGAAGGTGCATGTGCAGAAAGCGTAGTGCATGTGACAGCGGGCGACGGCCCCTCTCATCTCCTTATCATGTATCGTTGGACATCTACTCTCCGGTCTCTGAACATTCGCCGGGGTCTAACCTACACCCTCATTTCTCGGATATTACTCTCCTGCTTTCCCGTGTCATCTTGAACTACATGGAACTACTTGTACGATAACTACCGATAAAGACACATGCTAGCGCTCAAACAAAAACTCAATAAGTGCTTGTACAACCTGAACATTGACGCTATTTCCCATCAGCCTGTACTGCACTTTGCGTGATACCCCGGGCGGCCATACCCAGGCCTGATCGCCGCCAGCTTTGTCCTCGCTCAAATCTTGCGGCGGCATGAACGCGAATAACCGCAGCAGTTCGCTCGGGGTAAAGTAGCGCAGGTGCAACGGATGAAGCATCTCAACAGCCTTCGGATCCCCGCGAGATTGGGCTGCAAGAAAGGCATCAAAGATCTCCGTAGTCTGTGGGTCAGGTCAGTCATGCGAATACCCCTTCATACTAACAAGAAGACAGACGCACGTCAAGTTCGATGTTCTCCTGTAGGATTGATCCAGCACGCTCGACGAGCTGAGTGTATCCACGCGTGAAGCAGCATGTGCGTCGTGCAGAGGGCATTACGATGTCGAAAAGCCGCCCCCACTTCTCAAGTACCCGATCCGGTATGGCGTATTCGTGTCTTTTGGAGCCTTGATCATGAGAGGTACTTGGCATATCCAAGTACATCGATATCTCATCGACAGGAGTTTGCGCCTGCTCCTCGTTGTCGTGACGAGGGTCAACCCATGGTTCGCCCCGGCCTGGTACGTGCCGGTGGATTGTGGGAGTGGACGAAGCCATGAACGGCAATCTTCTAGCAATCATGTAATACCGTAGACGCGAGTTGGGGATGCCGAATTGTAGCGGAGTAAGCAGAAGTTCAAACGTGTGGTATCCAAGCCCGATCAAGGTATCACGTAGAAGTGTACGAGTCGTCGATGCCTGAAGCCACAGCTCAGTACCAGCGTAATACACCTGAAAGAGTGAGTGATACCTCAAAGCCAGCAACATTCTCAACGAGGAGTTGTTCCGGAGCCCGATTCGCACGCGCGAGGTCGGGTAGCACCGAGGTGATGAGATGTAGAAAGGAGACAGCGCGAGGGTCGCGATCACCCTTAGCGTCTGGATTGAGCACAGTATATGGCTGACACGCAGGCGAGCACAGCCATAGGTCGGCGTCAGGAATATCTTCAGCTTTCATGTTCGCGATGTCTGTCTGCTTCTTTCAGCTGGTGGTGAACGCAGGGGATGCAGTTTGACGACCTTGTACGCGATGTTCGGGCCATGGTTTGCCGAGTATACCGAGCAAGCAAGGGGGTCCCAGTCATAGGCGCGGATGACTGCTGCATCGACGCGACTACGCGCGAGTGCCAAGTGCAACCCGCCAATGCCGGAGTAGAACTCAAGAGCCCGTATCATCGTTACTTGACGATGCCGTCAACAGGGGTACGAGTACTGTCTCGCTTATGGTGATGTTATATGCTAGTAATGGTGCAAGCGATGGAAGCACTCGGCTAAAAGCCTATGCTAAACGGATGGTGGACGAGTGAAGGCAACCTACGGCGCATCATGATCCGGGCCTTTGCGCCGGCCCACCCCATGCGCGCGGTCGAAGTTTTGTTCGCCATTAATGGTACATCACCTCCCACCATACGTTCACGCACCTGGTAGGTATGCATACTTGTATCTTGAGCCAAAGCATAATATTCGATGAGGGACGGGTGTGTTATAGTACAGCATTTATGATACAGTTCAGCAAACAAGCGTTTGTTGCCGCAATAGCCTATGGGCGTCATACACGATACACAACGTGGACCAGCCAGCATTCCTATAGAGCAGTCTGATCTAACCTCAAATACACCACAGAGACCTAGGAAGGAGACATGAGTCATATAGCATACGCAGAGTCCAAACAGTACAAGCTCTTGACGTCGCCATAGTCGCTTTGCGTATCTGATATAGCCGTAACTTCGGTTGCAGCGTAGCTTCCGGGGTTGAACCCGACTATGGGTAAGTCGGCCTTTACGAGACTTGGAGAACGAGACCTACACAGGTTAGCAAGCCAGAAAGTTGAGAGTATGAGCGAAGCAGCCGGACGTACCCCATCTCAGCATCCAGCGAGCGGATTGGAGGACGCGCTCCAAACTCGATAGCGCCTATCGACGTGGACGCGTCCTTACGCGCCAGACGCGCGTTTGGCCTCCAACCGAGCCACCCAGCAACCGTCCAGAACATGCGCCAGTACGATGCCCGTGCCTCCACCGTGCAACCGAACAGAGCGAAAATAGCAAACGCGAGCACTGGGCTCACCCAGTGCGCAAAGTATTGCAACACCAAGGATGATGTGCCAGAAGCTTGGAGTTCCGCGTATGTTATACTTCTGGGGGCCCAGTCTGAATGTGTCGCGTGCCAGCCTGAATAAAATGGAATAGCACCAGACAGCGATACATCCACCATAATATAGAGGAGCATGTTCGTGATACCCACAGGCAATGTGAGTGCAACGTCGATACTCGCGAGCGCAAGGATGCGGTAATAATTCGTCCGCGATACCGAGTTATTACTGCGCAGAAAGCTGTTCACGTCTCTACTCTGACGGTAGAACATTCGTATGACTTTGGCTAGATGCAGAGTCAGTATACAACAAGGTTTCGAGGAAACGCGAAATCGCACGATAGTAGAAGGCGATGGACAGAGAGGGCGGAATTACGCTCCAACTCTTGAGGAGGATCATATTCAGCGCAGACGGTGCTGCCGAGTTTATGCACCCAAAGCCTTCGACCACTGCGAATCGCATATCTTGTACCAAGTAATCTACGAGATGTGAGATTAGTACCCGTTCAAATTCAAAAGTCCATCTGTTTCTTACAAATGGGCAGAGCTACGAGCAGAGGGATCGCACACGCCATCATCCACTCTAATAGGATATTCCAGCGTCTCTGTTGTAGACTGACCGTCAGCGTTCCAGTTCGCAAAGAGATGGCATGAACTTACAGCCGACAAACTGGGTAGTTCTATTGACTGCAGACTGACAATCAGATACAGCCGACGTGTGATGATGAGAGTCGCCATAGGCTTGACGACGAAGCAGACGATGTCCAGATGCGACACTGTGAAGCCCGTTGAGCATACGTATAGCGCAACGATGGTGATTGACTGACCGATATCACAATACACGTGGAGTTTGATATCAGCATTGCCTGACCAAACGATGGCATTCACAGCGCCTGTGACATTCTCGAAGAACAGCCAAAAGCACAAGAAGGCGACGCCGAGATTACAGCTCTGGCGGATGAAGCTAGTCAATTGCACGAGCAGTAGCATGGCCGCCGCCAGGACGCATGCGATAGGGTAAAGCGGATATGTTGGGTCGACTGCACCCATATCTGAAAGAGTGGATGTCGATGGCATTCTGAAGACTGGGCCTCCAGGGCTATATATGTAGGACATCGTGTCCTTGGGGTAAGCATGTACCCATAACAGAGCCGGACAAATGATGGGCCTACTTTGGTTGATCCTCGAACGGGCAGACGAGGACAGTTAGGATGCCACTGACACAGGACGCAGCGTTGACACCTTGTCGACAAGTTCACTCCTATATGCCGGCCTGCCGAAGGACACACTATTCCTAGATTGGCCATCTAGAGTCAGAGCCTATTATGACTGTATAAGGGCTAGGACACCGTCGATAGGGCGAGATCTTGCGGTGACGCCTACGACAACTGTTACCGTAGACGATGCGGAATCGAGGCGATAAAAGGTACTTGGGGGCAGGGCGTTGTGGCGTACGAGAGATGATAACGCACACGCCGGTGATCCTCGTGCCCACATATCCAGGTCCAGTTCATCGGTGGTGGGCGTGGCAACATAGATCCACAAGTGAATGATGAACTTTCGGGGTTGTCCGGCGTTCTTCGGCCATGCAGTCAGACACGGACGCCGGTACACGTCCTGGTACGCCGTTCGTCACGGTTCCCCACAACGAGCGATGAGTATCGCCGGCGGACTAACACCGATATCAAGTTCACGCAGGAAGTTCGACCAGCCAGCAGTGTAGTCTGGGAGCGAAACAGGAGAAGTGTATTATTCCAACAGCAAAGAGCAGTGGAGAATTGTATGCCAGCAATCACTTGTCCTCCGTGACGAAACCCTTGCCCTTGTACTCCTCTGATGAAATACCTGAAAGCGACGCGTGAGTTCCGCCCCAAACCCATACACGTTGGGCGGAAAACATACCGGAAATAGGGTTGATGCGCATCTCCTTGGCGCGCTCGTTCGATGCCTCTTGCCACTCCTTCGACATCGTCTTTGGCGGAGGGGGAGCTGTAGCGAATATATTCAGTATTTGGATACCGCATACGAGCTGTCGGAAGCCGGGACGCACCAAGAGAGCGGGTCGTGAACCAAACGACGCCGGTTGCGGCAAGGAGACCGGTGACGCCGAGTGCGACCTTGAGCGTCGTGCCGGGAGGGTTGATGGGTGCGCGCGGGCCGTGGGGGCCGAATGAGACGTAGTAGGCTGTTGGGATGTATGAGAAGGATAATTCGACGCGTACGAATCGGGAAGGTGACATACCGGCCTTCTTCTCTGCGAGGGAAAGCTCCTTCCAGTTCTTCTTCTGGAGCTCCTCGAGCTGTTCGTGGACCGCAACCTGCTCCTCGTTGCTCATGCGCTCCCACTGAGCCTCCAAGTTAGCGAGCGGAATGGCCGCCCGCGGCGCGCTCGACGCGGCGGCGGACGCAGTGGTCGGGTGGGCGGCGGCGGTGGCGAGGCCACGACGAGCGACGCGGACAGCGTAGCGAGCGGCCGACATGGGTGTTTTGGTTAGAGAGTAGAGGTCTAAGGTAGAGAGGAGGAGGAAGAGGACGTTCAACTCCCGACCCGCGGCGACGAATGACATTCCGCGAGTTTATCTCACGTTCTTACACCCGAAACTTTCCGTTTGCGGCCCCGTCCTGATCTCTCGGCCGCCTTTCATTTACGGTCTCGACGCTTTGCTCGCACTCTAGATCCCACAATCATCAGGCGGCCCCGCACTAAGGCTTTTGACTAGAAATACGACAAGGCGAGGCTGAGCCTATGCGAGTAATACAGTGACGGCGTAATCGGACACTACAAGATCGGGAGCACAACTCATACAGACAATCCTTCAAGCAGCGGGTGCAGCCTCGTCCGCGCCGGCGCCGGGGCAGTCGCGCGAGATGTGGCCCTCAGAGCCGCAAGTGTAGCACGCGCGGCGCTGGGGCTGCGGGCAGTCGCGGCTGATGTGGCCCTGTAGATAAAAGTCAGCTAGTCATGCGCGTCCGAGCAGTACGAAGTCAACTGACAACGCCCGAGCAGTTGTAGCACTTGGAGCCCTGCACGCAATCACGGGACAAGTGGCCCACACCACCGCAGGTGTAGCTGGATATTCGATCAACCAATGCTCCTCTACACGCGAAAGACAACATACCAAGTCTTGCCAGAGTTGTTGCCGAAGGCGGAGAAGTTGCCACCATCGCGGCCGCCACGGGCAGACGAGCCACCGCCAGGCGCCTCAGGGCAGGAGCGAGCGATGTGGCCGACCTTGCCGCAGCGGTAGCACTCGGTGCCGCTGCTCGCGCCGCCAGAGCTCGAGCCGAACGCGCCACTCGACGTGTTTGCGCTCTCAGTGCAGTCACGGGAGATGTGGCCCTCCTGGCCGCAGCGGTAGCATGACTTGGCCTTCTGCTCTTGCGTGCAGTCGCGGGAGACGTGGCCCTCCATGCCGCCTACAACGCGTTTCCGGGTGAGCAAGGTTGCGCAATAGGGAAGCAAGGATACTGACAGTTGTAGCTGTGAGAAGCAGTCCAAGATCAATAACCCAATTACCTTCTTAGGACTGTCAAACTTTACCAGGTGGGGGTACCGGCCTTGGGGCAGTTGGCCGCCTGGTGACCGACTGTTGTTCAAAGTTTACCAAGAGCCGGATATGTCGTTGACGTGTCGATCAAGCCGAGACCACCACGCACGCCCCCCGACACAACCCCACGGATGAAGGAGGTGAAGGAATATATTGATTGCGTGCAGTGATGGTATTTGGCGTACATGTGAAAAGAAAAGAAGACAACGTCCCCCGTCAGCACCGCGCCTCGCACCACACGACCGATAAGATAAGATGGATAGGAGATGGAGGGAGTTGGCTAAGGTAAAGGTCGACGCGATGCACGACGCGTCGCGACGCGACCCGCGCACCGCGTCGAGGGAGGCGACGACACGACGAAAACACCACGCACAGCCACCACAGTTGAAACATCCACGAGCTCCAGCCATTTTTCGTTGAGATCGGGTAGAGGGGTGAGAGATCTAGGACGATAGGCATGGCTGTCAGCGCGTCTTTTCATCCTAGGATAACACAGAGACGCGCTTACCGTGGAGTTGGGGGATCTGGTGAGAGTTTCCGAGCAAAAGTGGTATCAGTCGAGTACTTATAGTAGTGCAATGCTAGATCTTACAGGACGCGGGTTTGAGCCGGAGTGCTGGGCGATGGAGGTCGGGAGCAGGGGGTCAGAGGAAAAAACGCTGACAGACGCTCCGCCTGATAAATTCCCCACGTGTTGACTGCGTGCGCCACGCTCTGCAGTGGCTCCCTCTGTTCTTCTCGTCTTCTCGCCTTCTTCTGCCAGGAACATCCTGCAACGAGTCTAACATACAAGCCGGTGATGCATAGAAAGCGCTATGAGCGGACTCGCAGGCTATTGAGACGTAAAAGAATTGAAGGCTGTCGCCACTCCTTACTGCTGCCTTCCCGCCTTGCAGTCGCTCTGTCCTGCAGACCCGGCGCCTCTGGCGGATCTCGGTCCTCATGTGCGAGTCAGCTGTATGATCAAAGCGCGACGGATATGGAGTATCATCTTCCTACCGCCCTGAGGCAAGTCGCATGCCGCGCGCCACACGGGTACGCGCCTCCTTTCGTGCTCTTTTGGGGGGCTTCGTCCGCGTCGTCGGACAGATGTCGACCAATTACCGTATACAGTAGGGCGATCGCATTCGAATGTATCCTGATAGATGTTGATAGCGCACCTATTCGGTTCTCTGTGGTCCATATGATGGTCCTTCATATGAACCCGACCCGCGGTCCCCGGTACTTTGCGAGTGGCTTGACATTGGTCGCTACCACCCCAGCTCTGAAATCATAGCTGCGAGCGTGGCCAACGTTATATCACACAATGATCATCTGAATGTGAAAACCAGTTTTTGGACACAATGTCTCCTAGTTATAGGTGTCTGTGGAGGGCAAATCTCGCGTGGCGACTATACGGACGCGCGGATATTGATGACTCGTCTGTGAAGTGAGAAGATCGCCCATCCAAGACTAGAAAATGGTTAGCGTATGCTCGGTATCATATTCACCCTGAGTGCCCGAGGCGCCATACGTGTCCAATCACGCACCTTGGCAAAGAGAGTACCACCGCGTCTGTGAACTTATGCTGCGGTCTTCGCAGAAAGGACAGCCGGTCAACTCGCATCTATGCATCTGCGCAGTATAAGCTTTGTTACACGCTCAAACGGCGTGAAATATGAGCAGCCCTGCGGGTTCTAGCCGGACGGCAAATCCACTAGAACACCGTGAAACAAGAACAAGTGGCGATGCGCTCGAGTTCGTCAGTGAGCGGTGGTGATCTTCGTCGGCCTTCTCAAGAACGCGTAAAACTGAAGGATAGATGCTCAACATAGAGAACGGAACTCTTGACCGATGGTCTAGCCGAGCATCGGCTTTGTCCTTCTGAACGTCTTCAGTTTCACTCGAAGACGCAACCTATCACGACTCTCAGGCGGGGAGGTTTACTGGACGCATCGTCGGATGACCCTTTCACGAGAGCGAACGCCTCTCTGCAATTAGTAGAGACATTATTTCAGGGTCACGCTTACGTGAAGTTCCACCACCTCTATCCACTTTCATGATCGCACACGGGCTATTCAGAACAACAGCAGTATCCTGCACAGCTTCATTTTTCGGCACGATTCGTGCCGGTAGCCTATATTATTGTGAGAGTTGAAAGATAGGCGAAGGAGGCGAGGCTGATCAATGTGCCAGCGTGCAGAACGAAACCGCAGATCGCGCGCTCATACTTCTCTCGAACAACACGCGTCAAACTGCACTATGTAGCCGCACAGAGGGCGCACACGCCGAGAGTATAATGAAGGTGTTCTATTCAAGTCGCTTGGAATCCATCAAACACGGTACATGTCTAGACGGCCGCAGACTTCGGAGGACCGCCCTCCTCGGCCTTGGGGTTCAGCACAACCTGGCACACACGGTCAGAATAAGGCAAAATGACCTGCAGATCATGCACGCACCTGCTCGCCACCCTTTCCAGCCTCCCACTTTTGGTAACGAACGTCCGTGAGTCCACGGCGCTCAGCGGCGACACGCTCCGTCTCGTTGAGCGACTGGCGCACAGCGCGGGCAGCAATCTGGCTGTACTTGTTGAAGCTGCACAAAGTATGTCAGGTTAAACCATAGGTATAGCCGCATATGACGCACGAGAAGAACTGGCGCCAGGAAGCAGCAGACATGACGGTGAATTGGTGGTTTGAGCGGACGCGCGAGGGCGAACCGTCGCGGAGGGAGACGGGTCAGACCGGTCGTCACGCTCATCACGTCACATCCCATTTTTTCTTCATTTTCTGCGTCTTGCGCGTTTACACCAAGCTTGGATTCGAGAGATATAAACCAAGTACTGTATTGTACGATGATGAAGACCAGGTGATAGTATACATGTGCAATTCGATGATGTGTATAACTACGACCTATTCGCCTTGAACCTTGAAACCCTCGCCGGTGGGGCATCCGGGGAGGCGTCGCTCCTTGGTTGTGCAGACCTGGTAGGCCCAGATTTGCGCTCCAGGACCGACGAAGAGACAATAGTTGGAGGCCGTTGTGGCCGGTTCGAGATAGATGGGGGAGCGAAGGAGGGAGACTCGACTATCATCGAAGGCATCTGCGCGCCGGGTTCAGGTGCACGGAGCCAGGGTTTGTCTGTGGGAGCGGACGGCGTTGGCGCCGGAGAAGGCAGGTCGGAGGGCTTCGCGTCCATGGAAGTGAGCGTAGCGGGCGCTGTCACAGATGTGGCGGGTATTAACTGCTCTTTCGCGCTGCTCATCGACGGAGGGGCGGCTTGTCTAGAACTGCTCGGGGCGACTGGGGCCCGCGTTCGCTCCACTACGGTAGGTCCAGTGGGCAGCTTAGGCGAAGACCGCTCTTCTGCCGTCAAAGGTGTTGTTGCAGGCGATTCGTATGATGAAGTACGAGGCGCGGGATTCCGTGTGATCTTGAAGCGTGAGGTCTTAGGTTTTGCAGCACTGGTAGGGGCGGGCACGGGCGCTTGAACCGAAGGACCAGGCACAGTCGAAGTTGCTGCTGCCGTCGACTCGACAGACGCAACAGATTTCTTTACGACGTCCGCGGGCGCACCATATGCTGCGTAGAGAGTCGCCATCAACGCGTCGGTGTTCGCCTCGATGGTTCCGGCATTGGTGACATCTCCGCGCCGAAGGGCGTTCATGAACTCACGCACGTCCTCGCCGTCGTCTTCTGGGTCGCTGCCGCTCTCTCCGCCTTCACCGCCAACAAGCTTATCGCCGTCTAGTTTGCCCAGGCGTACGGCACCTTTGACGCTGGTGCCTTCGGGAAGGATGGATGCGCCGAGGGAGGTCGAGGGCGTAGACGACGGGACAGACGTATTGAAGGCTTTCTGGACTCGCGAGGACTTGAAACGCGAGGCGATCTTCGGCGCGGGTTGAGATAGCGTTGCTTCCAGAGGCACATCCTATGCGTGTGGCTAAACATATGCTATTCGGAGTAGTGAGGGGGAAGACGTACAGGTTGATCCCATTCATCGTCTCCTGTATGTTCGCCTTGATGAGGCTCGTGTGAATGGGCACTCATCGCGCGGGCTGCCTCTTGACCTAAGGACGCTCGTTTCTCGTAATAAGCCAATGCTACTTCCCGCTGATGCGCCGCCTCGTCGATGTCGATGTCATCCTCCAAAACAGGATCCTCCTCGATCTCGTCGTCCGAGAGTTCATGCTCCGAAGTTAGCGGAGACTCGTGGTCGGAGTGTATAGCGCCGCCATCGTCCGAGTCGGCGGGTACGGGAGAGCCGGGTGCGGACTCGTCATCTGAGTCCACCTGTGTTGCTTGTGGAGGCAGGGACGCTATTTGTGAAGGCTTTGCGGGGCGCCGCTCAACCACCTGGAATTTCATGGGTTGACCGGAGTGAACAGCGCGAAACCCGGGAGTGAGCGTGCCGGTGGTAGGTTTCTCTTCTGCTGTCCCTTCAGCAAACGCGACCTTCTTGCCAGTCTTAGCCGACGTCTCGCCATGATGTTCTTCGGTGGCAGTAGGTGAGGGTGAAGGCTCCTCGGACAGTCCCCCAAGTAACGCCTTTCCCATCTTTTTCTGCATCTCTTTCGCCTTGCGCAGGCGCTCCAGCTCTTTCGCCGCGTTCGCTTTCCTTCGCGCGTGCTCCTCCCTCGCGCGCTGCTGCTCTCGTTCCACGTCGCGGGCGGTCTCAATCTCCTCTTCCTCTTCCAACATATCGAAAAATTCGTCCATCTCGGCGTGTTCACGAGCACGTTCATCTTCAGGCAAGGCAAAGGTTGGAAGAGGAGTAACTGGGGCGTCTGGGACGGTGAACGATTCTTCAGGTGCGGACGAGGCATCCGGACCAGCTACAGGTTCTGTTATGTCGATGATAGGTAGTCCCTCCTCGTTGAGTAACTGAAACTTCATGAGTACTCCTCAATCATCAGATTAGCGTCTGAATACACACCTCGGAGCCATCACCTTGTGGCGCGTCCTTGACAGCTTCCCCAAGCAGATTGTCAAGCTTGTCAGAGATCAGCGATAGCTGTTCTGGTGTCATTTGAGGCTCAGATGTAGCATCGTCCGGAGAGATTGAAGACAGAAGGGCCTGAAGCGCTGCAGCTTACAAGTCAGAGCTTGCTTACAACCGGCGCATCACAGGCAGAACCTTCGGCACGACTTTCCGCCATATCTTTACTTGAAGAGCCCGCAGGAACAGCCATATATCAAGAATCCGTTCGTAAAGGTCAATGTGATTGCCAAAGGCGGGAGGTTTCTTGGAGGCAAGAGGCAAGAGACAAGCGCCGAAGGAGGTCGTGTGGCCCATCACGAATATCTTGATTCCCACGTGTTGTGCTCAAACTTTCAGCAGCTTGCTTTGCCTCCTGCACCCATCGCTCCAGCCGCTCTACCCTCTGTATCTTGCCTTGTGTATCCCTACTGTATACTATGGTTGTCGTCGCATCTGAGCCCAGCACCTCCACCACGGTGCACAAGAAAACGCGCCGGTCGACGAAGAAAAAGGCGCCGCGTCTCGCCCCTGCTGATGGCGAGGACATTGCGATGGACGGCGCACCGGCACCGGCGCCCGCGCCGAACGCCGGAGACGACGAGCTGATGATTGACGAGGAGGTGGTCGCTGTCCCGACAGATGCGCCAGAATTTGGAGCTGCACCGGCATCAGTCACAAATGGCGCCCTCAAATCCGAATCTCGACGCATTCCCATTCCTCCACATCGCATGACCCCCCTGAAGAAGGAGTGGGTCAACATCTTCGGGCCTTTGACGGAGATGCTTGGGCTGCAAGTGCGGATGAATGTTCAGAGGAAAGCGGTCGAGATCAGGGTACGTGCTCAGTATATTTCCATCACTCCCTGTACTCAATCAATATTATCCCAGACATCAAAACACACGAAGGAGGTTGGCGCACTTCAGAAGGGAGCAGACTTTGTAAAAGCGTTTGTGCTTGGGTTCGATGTCAACGTGAGATCCGTGCGCTCTGTTTCTTCATCCGGTCATTGACCTCCGCATCAGGACTCTATTGCACTGCTACGCTTGGATGACCTCTACCTGGATTCATTCGAAATCAAGGACGTCAAGACTTTACATGGCGATCATCTGTCTCGAGCCATCGGTGAGCCTGAATGGACCTTGACACTTCTGTGCGGGGATACTAACCTACTATAGGTCGCATCGCTGGACAGGATGGCAAGACCAAGTTCACGATCGAGAACGCGAGCCGCACTCGGATTGTTCTCGCCGATACGTACGCATTGTCTTTGCTCACTCACTCCGTTCTGTTCAACGTCATTCTTGCAGCAAAATACACATACTGGGCTCGTTCCAGAACATCAAAATCGCCCGAGACGCTATCGTCTCACTCATCCTTGGTTCACCTCCTGGGAAGGTCTACGCAGGCTTACGCACCGTTAGCAGCCGCATGCGCCAGAGGGCTTTGTAGACCATCCATTCGTCATGTCGTTATAGGATCCTGCTTGTAGTGTTCATCAGATGCACCCTTTTATCGATGCATGCATTACTCTGAACGACATACGCCTGTGGGTCATAGTGAGGCATCTCAATATTTGCCCCGCGTAGATCGACATCCCATCATCGGGGCACGTATCCTTGATGTAAGCCCGCCTCCCATAATGGTTGTTCTCAACACTGTTTGACGTATCACGGTCTCCTTCCACAGCCACGAGTATGGCTTGATATCGCCGCTTGTGAACAGTTATCGCACATAGGTTGAAACTCGGTGCGATATCTTCACCGCGATATTCATCAATCACTCCCGGCCGAACGAGACGTTCGGCCTTCGCGGTCGGTATCGCATCTGTTCTGAGCGTCTCTGTCCTGCTATATAGAGTACGCACGAATGCTTGGCGACCCTCAGTCTGGTACTCACTTTCCGCCACTCTTACGACCCCGACTTCGACATCTCCCAAGAACATCATGCACGCCTTCTTCACCACGTTGACCATTTGCGCTGCCATTGCTTCCCCGTGTTTGGCAGTCATCCGCGGAATGCCCGCCAATCCCGAGGACAGACTGCGCCTTCTTCTCCCTAGCTCGCGCGACGTGGACGGTTCCATCCGTGAACGGTCCCTACTCCCCATTGAGCTACAGCCCGGCGAGGCCAACCCCTACATGAATCTAAACATTGCAAACTTCCCATCTAAGTACGCGCCCACTGAGCCTAACAAAGTATCGAAACTTACTATGGCTTGCAGGCGCCTATTTTGCACCCTTCCCGGATGCAGGGTCTTTTCTCCCTCCTCTTTCCAGGCCGCCAAGAAACGTGATACTGGTATCCTACTGGGTTTCCAACTTGGTCCTGAAAATGTACAAAACCCTGATCTTTTCGGCGACACTGCTAATAATGGCGGTAACGAGAGGTCAGTGCACGGAACCCGTTAGGTTTGAAGGTACATACTCATACTCAGTCAGGCGTTCTGGAGCCACGGCTGTCTCAGTCGGGGCCCTGCGCAGCGAACTGGTTAGGGCTCGCACGGTCACCAACAGTGGGAGCGGCGATGAGAAGTGCGTGCGCAAAACTCTGCGATGACAGCAAGCTGAGAGTGTCTTCAGACGTGCCTTCTGCTCTATTCCTGGATGCAACGTTGGTTACAATCCTAGCTACTACGGGACTGGTGAAGGAACGAACAAGTGCGACCGTGTGACTTCGCTCTTGGACGTGTGTGCTGACTACATGCATAGACGCTCCGCAAACTTGGTGGAGAGGGGAATCAATCTTGGCCCAGAAATGTCGCCTGCCCTCGCCGAGCTTCTCAGAGGCCTTACTACCACTGGCGATAGCGAGAGGTACGTGTCTGAGTCTCTTCAGGTGAGACGATAAAGGCTTGACAAGAGAATGCAGGCGCAACCTCTACGGCGGCTTCGCGTTCACTGAGGAAGAAAGGCAGGCGATTACGGCAATGATGGGCTTGTGAGATGACCTCTGTCAGCTTTGTGCACTCTTGCAATGTTCGCGTGATGGTAGCGGTTATGAAGCATTATGTTCACACAGGAGTGACTTATGTCCGCGGGCAGACGTCCGATGTGACGCAACGCGCTCAAGCATTGACTAACTTCTTCACCAAACATTCACGGTACTGGGGTGACCGACCTCATGGTCATGACATTACGAGCTGGGATAGAAGGATACGGGCTACATACAGGGTATCAGGTAAGTGCTATAGTCATGCGGGAAAGTGAGTTAGCGATGCTTGCGCGGGAATAGCAATGGCGCGGGGATGCGCAACAAGTGAGTTCGAGCAGCTGAGAGGTCTACTCTGAGCCATCATCCTCCTTCTTGCCCTTATCTTTCTCGTACTGATCAACTTGTGTGCTCTTCAGAAGACTATAACTCCTCGTCAGTGGCTTGAAGCATAACCTTCGGAGCATGCAACGTACTTCTCAATCGCGCCTTTGTCGACGGGCGGGCCCTGCCCATCGCCGATCAGAAGCTTCTTTCCAACGCTGGGAACACCGTCCGCGACGACATATAGCCAGCCTGGTCCCGGAGGATACACTTCGCCGTTGGGGGGTCCGGTGACGCTGAGAGTGGTACGGTCACTCGAGAGCTGCGCCTTGAGATAGACCACTCGAGAGTTGGCATGCACGGCATGCGTCACGAAGCCGAGGTCCACGAGCGCCACTGAATCGCAAGGTTAGCGGCAGACTTATCGACGACGACAAAGTACTGACCTTTGACATCGGCCGCAGATGCAGGAAGATGCACCTTCAGCTCGATAGTCTCTCCGAAGCCCACCTTTTGAGGTATATCGTCGACAGTTGGTCTCTCAGCGTTCATGTAGGGGGGCTCGAGCCACTCGACACGGTACTCCGTTCCGAATTCGACCTCCGACCTGTCGAGGTTCGGATTGGAGCCGGCGATCATGATATCGCCCTTAGGGGTTAGTGTCGCAATGGAGTGGTACAAGCGCGGGATATCGCTCGTGGGCATACCCGCACTGTCGAAGCGCTGGCCGGCGGGCGCGTTGGGATGATAAAGGACAGGGGTGAACACCGGGTTCGCTGCATTGGATGCGCCAACCTGATCCTTGACGTTGCCATAGCCCGCAATGCCCGACGCGCCGCCGTTGATGATCAGGATGTCGCCCGTGGGAAGGAGAACCGCGTCAGGCATGATGCGCGCTTGCGGCATCTGCTCGACCTGCCATCCCGCCGCGATGCCCTGTTCGTTGAGTACCATCCGTACACATTGTGTAGACGCCGGGTCTTGGCTTGAGAGCTCCCAAGATGGCTTGGTGTCGTCGATGGCTGAGCCGCCGCACAACAAGACCTCGGGGGTATAGTCGTTCGCGGGATCGAGCGGGAGAAGAAGGCCAGTGCCGCTCATGGGGTATGTGACGCGCACGCCGTTTGGAAGAGACGGGAGACGCTGTTCGTTGTTTTGCTGCCAGTCATAGATCATGGCATCGTTATTCGCCGCGACGAAGACACGCCCGTCAGGAAGAGCGAAGGCGATGGGGAACAGGTTGGAGTTCAGCGTGTCCTCGAGGAATGGCAAGCGTATGGGAAGCCCGTTCTGGCCGGCGATGTTCTTTGGGGGGAAGTACTCGAGGGTCGGGTTATTGGTCGTCTCGTTGTTCATCCACCCACCCTTCTTCGAACCGCCCATGACCATGGCGCTTCCGTCTGAGAGGCGCAGGACGGTATTGTACCATCGCGGCGTCGCCATACGAATACGCGCATGGTTCTCGTAGAAGTCGCATCCACTCGTGTCCTCGCTATCGCAGGGCTCCAGGATGCGCACGGCTTGCAGACCATCGACATCGCCAAAATCGGCCGCGGCCGTCTTGTCTTCGACGACTGGATTCCCGCCGACGTTGATGAGCGTTCCGTTGGAGAGGAAGGTCCCACCCGCGCAGAATGAGTTGCTCTGAACGTGAAGCGCTTTGACCTCGTGTGTGTTGAGGTCATACAGGGCCGCCCAGGCGGGATGTCCGTCAATGGTTAACGGGTTATGCTCGACCTTGTCCACGATGATCGCATGCGAATCGGAGATGATGGCGAGTTGCATGGCATGAACGCCTGTCGAACCTTGCTGCTTTAGCACCCACTGTGACCCGCTCTGTGTAGAGGGAGGTCCTGCCGTCGCGAGGTCAAGGTTCTGGTGGGGAGAGGCGGCGAAGTTCTGAGGTGACTGAGCGACCGATGCGCTCTGTTGCTTTGGTGGTGAACCCATCGTGACGACGAAGGCGTCGAGGTCGATAACCTTGCCCTTGGATTGTTTACTCTTCCGGCCAGAGTGGACGATCTTGATGGTGTGCTTCCCATATGGGAGACCGAAGCTCCAGAACACGCGCTGCTGACGGCGCGAGACCTCGCTGTACGCGTCGACATGATCGACGAGTGACCCATCGATGTAAACGTCCGCAATCCCATGGCGCGCATCGACGTTCCCGAACCACTCGATTCCAGTCCCTTTGAATGTGAAGGAGACCGCGGCATTCTTATGCGTTGTGGAGCGAAGAGTGTGGGCGACATAGCCTTGTGCGTAGGAGTCGGTCCATTTGCCCGTGTAGTGGACCAGAGGGGATGATGAGTCGTAGCTTTTCGCACCAGGCGGGACGTAGTAGGGTGTGAATGATGATACTTCTGTTGATCCTGGTGTTAAATGACCATTCCAGGCCGACTCCGTTGCAGCCAGTGCTGTCGCGACGAGGGCGGAGAGCGAGAGGAGTCCCAACATGTGCGGGCGCATGCGATAGAAGGTGCGCCAGTGCGCTGCAAGAAGAGGGTAGAAGTCAACAGTGCGAGCACCGGCGATATCAACGGTTGCTCGCTGAGACAGATACGACGAACGGGTGAATGAGCGACATCTTGACGTGAAAATGCATTGCCGAAGCGGGCGGCGTAATCGGGGTTCAACGTTCAACATACGATTCGGATTATGGATTTATGATGAAGAGGGGAATACGATAGCAAAGCGATATGTATGGGCTTCAACGTCGACAGTAAGGCAGCAGCGAGGGAGATACAAATACATGGGCAGTACGAGAAGTCTCGTGTGTAGCGTATGATGACGAGACGATGAACACCAGCCATTTGTCCGTGGGGCTGGTGAAATGCGTGTGTGGGGACCAAGAATGCGATGACCAGGAGAGAGTGAGAGCGAGGAGTCGATGATAATACAGTGATGGAGATGCAGAACGAACGTCTTTATGAATGCAGTACAATGAATGGTCTAAGGTGGGACGACGTCATCGAGGGGTTCGGCGACACCCTCGCCGCCACTCTCCTCGAACTTGCGCACCTTCTTCGCCCAGCGAAGGCCGCATGCATTGCAGAGAGTCTTCGGTCCGCGCGGACCCTTGCGCCACTCTGGACTGTCCGTGCGACCGCAAGTAGTACAAACGTGCGGCTCGATGACCTTGCGCCTTTTATGTGGCGCACCGTCAGCATCGTCACTTTGCCCAGAATGCAAGTAGGACGGCGCGTGCGCTGATCCAACAGCACCGAGAGCAGTGTAGAATGCCGTAGGATCGCGGCTGTCGACTGCCGATTGCAGAGCTCGCTCCACGTTCGCGCCCGCGCCGTCTCCTACGAGCGGACCCTGAGACTTCAAGGTTTGGACGCGCGCTTGCAATCGAGCGTTTTCAATCTTAAGCTCCAAAAAGGTATTGAGCCTGAATGCCAGAACATATCAGCAGGTGTATTGTGAGAGCCGCAGGGATACGAACATGGCGGTGTTCCGATTCGGCGTAGGTTTAGCGACAGCAAAGACACACCGTGCCGTCTGCTCTCCAGGGACGAAGTGCGGACGTCCCACAAACTCCAAGAGTACGAATGGCGGAGGTGGCGCAGGGGGTACAAGTCCAGGAGGACCAGGCAGCTGATCCGGCTTGCAGCTCAGGCGCGCGAACGTTTGTAACGAGCCCCCACTGTAGCAGCAATCAGAAAGACTTGAGCCAAAAGTATCCCGATCAGCGTCTGAGAACAGGGTGCCATTAGCCCCGGAGTCGATATTGATGCGCAGCCAACGTACGGTGCATTATCTCAGAGACGTTGTGATCGACGAGCTCTTCGTCGCGCCAGCCAAGAAGCTCGAAAGAAGAGTGTGAACAGAACAGAACCTTTCCGGTACTGCTTAAAGCGAAGATGATGCCCTCTGAAAGTTCGTTAATCAGGAGGTCCGCCCAACGTTTACGGCGTGTAAACTCGAATGCGGGCGGCGTGGCTGCTTGGGAGGCAGGCACTTGGGCCGATCCTGGTACTGGCGTGACGGCGGTCGCCATAGATGGCGGCTTCGGTGGAAGGACGACTGGACTGGCCATGGTGGGCACCGACAAGACTGGTAGAGCTCGAAGCCACACCCCTGTTCTTATTCAGAACCGCCCCGAGAAGACCGGACACGTCTCACAGCAGCTGTGGACGTCAATTCAAGACAGACAAATCGTAGATCGTGTTCGGCTTGGCGACACCGTGTCTTCGATGAGCCAGACGAGAGAATAGTCCACCCAATAAAGGGTTCGGGCTCGACTTTGGCCATACAGCCCGGGGAGGAATTGATAACGGACAGAGTCCGAGAGAAGAGTTGGCGGCGATCATCGCCATTCGAAGCGCCAGCGGGGATTAGTTTGGGCACGGCATCGGCCGTGGCTCTCACTGGCCCACGTGGTTGCACTCCGAACACTCACGCATGTACAGCAGCCACTCCGGTGTCCGCTGCGAAGTACAGTACTTACCGTGCCCTGCGTGCAACGCATCGAAACCCAGTTTTACCAACAATCATGGGCCAAACAAAGTGCGTATCATTGATACGGAACGATTATACAGAGTACAACAGAGGTGCTACTACAAACACGACCTTCCTAACAGTCCTACAACCATGAGTATTTGCGTACTACAATCCTGCGAGTCCATCCATCGACATTTGATCATACAGTTCTACCCTCATACAGTTTCTCCCTGAGCGGCGGCGCTGCGAGCCATGCCAGGCTCGAGGTCGACGCTCTTCTTGTATCCGTGGCCAAGATCCTTGAGGCCGCCCTTCTTCGCCTTCTGAAGTACACGCTCGATGGCGTCCAGTCCTAAAGAAGTTTTGATTAGAGCGATGCCAAGCCTGAATGACTGTCCGCGTACCCTTGTCCAGATCCTCCAACGGCGGGCCGAACGAGATGCGCACGAAGTGGTGGCAGATTGAGTTAAAGAGGTTGCGGCGATGCGAAGGGTTGATATCAAAGAAGATGCCTGGAATGACGATAGTTTTTTCCTTGAGCAGCTCCTCGAAGAACGTCTGAAAGAATGTGAGAGCTAATATGATTCACCGCGAAACCAGAACGTACGAGTCCGTTGTTTATCGGAGCCGGGAGCTTCTCGAGGTTGAGCCAGATGTAGAAAGTGCTGACAGGCGGGACATCGCACTCAAGGCCCAACTTCTTGAGGCGCTTGAGCACATGGTCGCGCTTCTTCTTGAAGTGCCTCTGAAGTGCCATTTTCTCCTGCTTGACGTGCTGCGGGTCGAGCAAGGGAATGGCGGCGAGCTGAAGAGGGTGGTTCGCGCCACCGTCGAGGAAGGAGCCGGACTGCGATAGGGCCGTGATGAGGTTCGCTGGTCCGATCACCCAGCAGACACGCCAACCAGGAAGACGCCAGTTCTGGTAAGGGCGCATAAGCTATGGCTACTCGCGATCATGAGCTGCCTTGAGTCTTGCCTTGGTCAAACCATCGACTATGACCACAGCATCCTTGTTGACATCGTCTACGTATTCTGCGGCAGAAATCGACTTCCCCATGTCTGCCTCCTTCTCGTGATAAATGTACCACGAGTAGAACTGCAGGAGTCTGAGAGTCACATCAGAGCCCGCAAAGGAACTGGACGAACCTCATCGAGGATGACAGTCGTTGAATGTTCGCGACTAACATTGACAACCTCCTGGAGGTCTTTTCCCCTAAGGATATGATGTCAGATCCTGCGCGATCATTATCGGTGTATATCCACGTACTTAATGACCTGCCCAGTCGGGTTGCGAGGGTTGCTGGCAAGGATGACAGCGAGACCTTGGGTCTGGATATCTTTCTACATAGGTTGTGAGATGCACGCCCTCAGTCTTGTCAAAGTATGTAGACCCACCTCGACCTGCTTGATGTCGAGTTTGTAGTTGTTCTTCGCCTCCAGTCTGGATACTCTGAGTACGGTGTTCCATAATTACGAAAGCGAGCAACATACGCGGTGGGAACTGGAACCAAACGCTTAACGACATGGTAAGTTCATATGCAGCATACCGCAAGCCTGAGAACACACTTTGAAGGCACTGCGTCAGGGTCAGTGCCCGGATTATCTGATAGATATTGAGGTAACACGTACGAGAGCATCTGATCGTATGCCGTGTAGTCCGGAATTTGGTAGGACTGCAGAAGTGTTAAGGACTTGATACTTCTAGACAAGGCGCTTGGACTGACCGTATAAACATCGCCGACCACGGCCGCAATGCGCGAGAGACCCGCGCGACCGCCTGGCACGATGCAGACGTTCTCGTGGGTGTACTTGGACGCCTTATTCTTGCGATAAGTATCGTTGTACACTAGATACGTAGTCAGCGATGAAGACTTGTAAGCTGTACCGCGGGGCGTACGGTTTGCAACAGCCTCGCGAAGATCTGAATGCGGTCAATCAATGAGGATGCCGGTTGACTATGCTGCGCACCTTTGACTCCGGTGGTAGGAGCGTACTCAAGTGCATCCATCGGGTATTCGATGTGCGTGGGACGAGAACCAGCGTCAGGGATGTCACCGACCTCCGGGGCGCCTAACAATAGTCAGGCGCGCGAATTGGATCTGTTCACTGATGCACCCACCTTGACCCAAGTTCGCCCACTCATGCGAGTTGGCGTAAGAGAAACCATTGGCGATGGCACGGTCAGAGCAGTAGATCACACTGATGGTGACGTTCAGAATTCGCCAGCCATGAGGATGGAGTGAAAGTACAGTACCCGGTAGAGCCGGGATGGTAGATGCCTGGAACGGTATCCTCGTCCTACTTGGTGGGTCAGCGGTACGCTCGTCCAGCCAAGACTACGTTCACGGACCGGGTTCACAGTTTGGGGAAGCACGCCGCCCTTGGGCTGATGACCACCGGCTTCGCGGAAGATCTGCACGGCACGACGTCAACATCAAGCAACGTGAACGTAGAAGTCAACCCGCCAACCTTGTGGGCCTCGGAATCATCTTCGTGCTTGAACTTGCCCCACGCTTCGAAGACCTATTGACGTGTGGAATGGATGTGGAAGAGAGCAAGAGGCGCGCGGAGATGAGCTTCACGGTCTTGGACGGGCTTGGCAGTGGCCCGCGATGATAAGCAACACGCACGATGTCTTTGAAGTGCGCGAGTGGCGTAGAAGCCCTGGACGGGTACGTGCTGGGAGTGCGCGATGGTGCTTTCGAGCCCATGGTCGGTGCTGGGTGGTTTGGTCGTAACGACGATGCGGGGCAAGAAGAGCTATATACGCGCCGCCATGCGAGGATCTATCTGATCAACAGCCCGCATTGGACACCTGGCGTCCCTGCGCGCCTCGCGCGCGTCTTCGCCTGCGTCACGCCCAACGCCCATCCCCTTCGCAATGCCCGGATACAACTCGCGCTGCGAGTATGTTCTAGTTACAACACTTCGTGTACTTGGAGTCTATGCCCTGAACCCGTTCCTTTTACTTCTTGTATAGAAGCGTTATTTTGGCCAGCAGCGCTTGATGACGTAGGTTGATTTGAACCTTCATATGGGCATGCAACTGCCACGCCACCAGTAGTACATCTCAGTTACAGGTATTATTAGCATCACTCATGGGAACATATCTACAGCTGCGTGTCCGTTGCATCAAATAGTACCATCCGTTCAATGCCCTTGAGCGTCATCTCAGAGAAGAGTCTCGCCTAGATTGTGGAGAAGCGGTCAGGAACCTAGACGGAGAAGCCGGACTTAAGCACATACCAAGAGCGGAGCGCACAAGGGAGCAGCCAACAGCGACGGTTTGCTCGACCGAGACTTCGTCTTGGAGGGAAGGGTTCACCTCCATGATGTCGACGGCAGCGAGCAGACCAGTCTCATAAAGACGTTCGCAGATGTAGTGACCTTCACGGAAAGTCAAGCCGCCACGCACGGGAGTGCCGGTACTAGGCGCAACCGTCGGATCCAATGCATCGACATCAAAGCTGAGGTGGACGGGTAGCGAACGCTCTGGATTCACGCGGTCCAGTGCCATCTCAACTACCTGACCAATACCGTAGCGATCGACATCGTGCATGGAGAAAGCTGCGATCTTGTGTTTGCGCAGTATAGCTTTCTCCCCCGCGTCTACGTCGCGAAGGCCAATGTAGACGAGACGCTCTGCGGGCAGGTGGATCGAGTCGAGCCAGGCAAATGGAGCTCCTGAGTTTGCCTCGACAGCGCCTCCGAGGGACTGGGAGTCTGCCAGCGAGAGCAAGAACGACAGTGGCATGCCATGGATGTTGCCTGTAGAACACCAGTGAGGAAGTATCCTAGAGGTGTCAAGTTTAGAATACGTACCGGAGTCGGTGGTCTCTGGGGTGTTGATGTCTGCATGTGCGTCTATCCAGATCACGCACGCGTTGGGGTGCTTGCTACTCTCGGCTATGGGTCAACATAAAGGTACAGGAAAGTCTCCGCTCAGGGCACGTACGACAGCGTTCCTGCTATCGTCCCCATGGCAAGCGAGTGGTCGCCTCCGAGGGTTAGCGGAAGTTGACCCTGCTGCGCATGTCCACCGACAGCTTTAGCGACCGCCTCCGTGACTTTGGAGACGAGACGAGGATTCTTGAGTTTGCCGATGGGAGGATCGGACTCTGCAGAGATGTCCTCGAACTGATGATGGCCGTCAAACTTCACTTGCCAGCCAAGCCCCTTGAGCTGATCGACGAGGCCGGCGTTCACAAGATGAATGGGTCCACGATCGACTCCGGCGCGGGGCTGTAGTAGGGATCGTCAGACGCCTCGATTGCATTATGGAGCGCAGAGATGGTGTACCTGTCCACCACTAAGATGAAAAAGCATCCGTGAGCCTCCAGATCGTAACATTGCAGACGGACAGGGCACAATCGGATACGATAACGCACCTGAACGGGCAACCGACAATCTTGATGAAGAGCGCCCAACACCTGGTCAGCCAGGCTTCGCGATTAGACCCAGGCGAGGCCGTGACGTACCGCTACCGTCTTGGGTTCAGCGATGAACTTGAGTTGCACTGGAGATTCGGACATGGTGGTAGTGGTTGAGTCGTCTGAGAGAGCTCGACGAAGTGCCTAACGTCCGCGACGAGATCCGGCGATGGCAGGCTAATCGCGCACCCTGACGGACGTGGCGAGCGCTCGTAAACGTGCCCGGCAACATGGCCCGTTGTCCGCATGGTGACAGATCGACCATCGGGCCTTCACGTACATGGTGACCGCGCAGGACCGCATACGCCGTCGATAAAGGCGCGGACAAGCGGAGGTTTTAGTTCCGTAAGTACGTGACATCGCCGCTTCAAAGGCGCAGGGCCGCTTGAAGTGACTCCGTCGACCACACCCAGCGGACTGAACCTTCTGCTCATCTTCACACAAAACGATGACCGCCTCCTCCTGCGGATACCAGAGATGCATAGACGGACCATCGAGTACAACCATGACTGCTAGGAAATGCTAGATAGTATAAGTATACAGGCGCTGCCACGATTAGGGCAACTTAATTCCGGAACCACGTGCACATGCAGAAAAGGATACTTGCGAGCGGATCAATTATGAGCGTACAGTACTTTTTGGGGTAAGTGTTATTTAGTATGTGGGCTGTGTAAGCACTGTACGTGAGTGGTAAGACAACATGGTCCGATGCAGGGTGGGTGGTGTGATTGCAGATGCAGGGTGCTCTTGGAGGGCGCGAGCTAGAGAACAATGTCCGAGCTAAGTCCCGATCGCGAAGCCTGAAGATTGAGATACTGGGAGCTCGGGCGCTTATGCAAAGGTTAGGTGCATGTGGTAGAGAAGCCGAAGAGAAGACGCGTGGGGAGTGCTTAATAGAGTCCGACCCAGAGGGAGGAGAGGGAGATTTAATTATACGTCGAATTTTTGAGATGACCTGCGTTCCTCGAATAACCGGGGCAGTAATGCGTATTGCGGAGCGCACGGCTGCGGCTGCGCGTGCGTATGCGCATCGACCCGCCTGATCTTCTGAGGGAGCTCGCCGGCGAGCCATTGTGACTGCGGATGGTTGTCTTGATCGACACCTTCCGGGCCATGGATGTAGGGGAGAGAAGTAGCGCGCGAGCGCGGAAACGGCGCGCTGGAACCCGGGCTATTTGCGCTGGCCGACGATGGTGATAAATAATGTGACGAATGTAGTGATTCTTGTTCGGAAGTCGTGGATACAGCGGAGATAGGTGTCGAAGGCAACGCCTGGACAACCCTCGCATCGTGTAGATCGCGTCTACAGGTCGCGGCTGGCGTTAGAGGGTATACTGAGCGGACTGCGCCGGAGCTGAGTAGTGGTTGCTCACCTTGCACTATCGTCGTCATCTCCGTAATAACGGGGCAGGGACGACGACTGACCGGGCCACTGCGATGACGACGACGACAAGGGAGCACCCTCCCTTGAGCTGGGCCTGGCGCCGTAGTCCATATTGTGCTGAATAAAGCCGCCGTCTACCGCGGAGAGCGACGGGCTTCCAGAAGGAATATCTTGAGTCGTATCATGGTCACCGGCGCGAAGCGTATTCTCGTGATTACTGAGCGCAAGGGCAGCCTGGCCTTCGCTCTCCGTAAAAGAAGGAACCTTGCTGGACGAACGGCGTGGCGGTGACGCGGACGAAGAAGAAGCGGCGATCGTCGACGTCGGAGTTGGAGGGACGTCAGAAGTACCCGCATCGGCGCGGCGGCGCGCCTGGGCCTTACTTTCCGGATATCGACACTGTAATCCGCGCGCTTGACACCGTTCGCAAACGGGTCGCGTGCCGGAGCACTGTATACCAAGATTCGGGGTGAACCGATTGTAGCGTGTGCGAGAGTTACTAATAGCGCACCTTCGTCTTGCGTCCGCGACAGCTCTCACATGCCTGTCCAGTACGCTGAGCGCGTTGGCGAAGCGGAACGGGTGCACGCTCAGTGGCAGCTGATGCGCTGGGCGCGGCGGATGGCGCCGGCGCGGCGCTGTGCGAGGAACGACGCCGGATGGAGGGTACATCCAGTTCCGGCAGGGTACGACCGTGCGATGCATGCTGGTGGGCAGAGCTATGTGGATGCGACGTAGGGTGCTGATGTGGAGGAGGGATATGTTGACGAGAGGCGAGTTGTTGTTGCTGCTGCTGTTGATGTTGCATATACTGCGCCACAGATGGCAGACCCGTCGATGACGCGTGAGGTTCGGACCACAGAGCCTGGCTTTGCGGCGGCGGCAGGTACGACGCGGATTGGGGATGCGACTGCCAGGGATGGGATCGCAGTTGCGGTTGAGGCGCGTACAGCATCTCTTGCATGTAGCGCTGGTCAAACGTCTGTCGATCATCATTCATCCAGCGCTGCTGATGCGGTTGTGGCACTCCCTGCGGCTGCTGGGCAGGCTGTCCAGGCTGTCCGTTCTGAGGCGTTGATTGATAGGTATACCCCATAGACGGGTGATACTGGTGACCACCAGGGAAGCCAGGATCCATGGCGGTGGCAGTCGTGATGGCCGGAAAGAAAGAGGAAGGCGGCGCACGGTCGGGCCGGGAGATATTAAAAAGGGAACGTCACGAGCGGACTAAATAGGACTGAGGATCGACGAGATTTTGGAGGGCATGCTTGTCCTGCGTGCGGATCGGGATTTGGTAATGCTGTCGATTGGCAGCGCACCTTTCTCTCCCTCAATTGTGCGAGCGAGCGCACAGGTTGCGCGGTGTATCTGCCTCCGACGTACGCGGAAGCTCTGGGTTACGTGCGCACTATATGGTCGCTGGGGGTATATGGGCGCTGTATTCGAACCTTGGTTGCGTTAGCAGCTTCGCTGTGCAGAGAAAGAAGTAGTGGAAGCGAACAATGAAAACACGCGTCCCGCTGACTTGCACGTTTGACGCGACCGGAGAAAAGATCGATCCGATATACAGACGTTTGAGGTTAGATTTACTTCCTTCAAACACACAGGTACGGTTCGGAGGCCCGGGCTGGATGGGGGTGCCAGCCCACTGAATTTTCAATCGGGCTTGCTGTGCGCCGAGAGGCACCGACGACGGACACCTCGGCCGTACGAAAAAAACCCAAGTTCAAAAGAAAGTGGGCAGCAGCAGCAAATCCTGGTGAAGACCATGAGGCTCATTAGGCTAAATCTTAGCCGAGATCTCCACTGAAGATGCTTACCTAGAGGACATAACACGGCGGCTTGGTTATCATCTGCAACTACAAGCTAACATCCCAATTCAGGCCACTCGCCAAGTTGATGTAAGATGCCGTAAAGGCAGGACCGCAGGCTGACTGGAACGGAGGTAAATCGAGGATCTGAGCGGCGATTGACTTTGTAGCGGTGACGTCGGTAACGAGCCTACTCCAGGGTCTCAGCAAAGACGTGTAAAGCGTTCTCCCTTAAGCGCGTACCTTTTCTCGGCTCCGGTGACGTTAGTAACCGGCGCTTGGAGGAGAGCAACCAGTCCATGAACCTGCACTCGCTACGAACGGCTCAATGTCCTCCCTCACCCCGCGTGCTGGCAAGGTACTAGCCAGATCTTGCCGGTAAATTCGCGGTTGATGAGCAAGAGAACATCATTCCAAATACGGCGATGGAGATGATCCCTGAGTTCTGTGCACGGTAGGTCAATTTCGGGATGACCAAACTCATGGCGATGGACGTCTACTTAGAACGGGACCTACTTACATAGGCGTACATCCGCCGAAGCTCGTCCAAAAGCGTAACAAGCGACAGCCTGTACAGGCCTGTACCTCCATCAGCTGCATCGGAAATGCTCATCCGTGCGGAGTTGATGACCATCCTCGCAGATCTGATAGTCCTATATCGCAAGCTGCCAGGCGAGTTCGTACTGTTGACTGCTCGATCACGCAGACTGGGGATTCCTCCCATACAGACCCTTGTCATCATAAACCCGCTTCATTCAACTGCGCAGAACGTGCAGCGTACACGGGAGGGAAAGACACGAGTAAGTTACAACTCACAGCGGGGTGCACAGCGCTTGTCATGCGCATCAGCGGCTCCCCTCACGCCGCCCCGAACTCCTGGTTGAATTCACGTCCAATGAGCATCCTGCGGATCTCTTGCGTGCCTGCGCCAACAGCATATAAGCGTGCGTCGCGCAGGAAGCGGCCCGTAGGATAATCTGCGGAGGCTTTCATTCAGCACAACGTCCACCTTTCGCCCACACGACGAGCTAGGGTTCTCTGGTCGAGAAGTCGACGTACCGTTGATGTAGCCGTTACCGCCGAGAGACTGCATGGCTTCCAGCGCGACCTCGATGGATTTCTCTGTCGAGTACAGGATCGCCCCGGCGCAATCCTTTCGAGATATCTGCCCCCGGTCGCAGGCTCGCGCGACGGCATAAACATATGCGCGACTCGCGTTTAGACGCGTGTACATGTCAGCGATCTTGCCTGTTCCAGGTCTGAATCAGCATTCTCGTCCGCCTCGCAAGCGAGGGATCGCTAACCTTGCATAAGTTGGAAGGTACCGACTGCTCTGCCGAACTGCTTGCGTTCGTGCACGTAGTTGACGGCGTAGTCAAACGCGGCCTGCATGATACTGTATGCACGTATCGCTTAGGTGAACTGTTTCTTGACATTTGGAACGAAGACTTACCCAAGTGGTCCGCCACTGAGAACAAGTCGTTCTAGATCGAGACCGGACATGAGCACAGCTGCACCCTTATTCACTGCACCGAGTACGTTTTCTGCACATCCCGTGTGTGTCAGTCCGCGGACAGTTATTAGTCTTCACTTTGAAGCTCACCATCCGGAACCTATGTCAAGGCAAAGTGTAAGCTACCACGGCGATGGAGCTCACATGGCACAATTTACAGACCAGACAGTCCTCGAACACGAGTTCGCACGTATCGCTACCTCGCATACCAAGCTTGTCGAGCTTCTGTGCCGTACTGAAGCCAGGCGAATCACGCTCAATGACGAACGCGGTGATACCCTTCGATCCGGCTTCCGGCGCCGTCTTCGCATACACTACGAAGGTCGATGCGACAGGCCCATTGGTAATCCTGCGCCACATCTCTCAGCGCAATGGACGTGAATTCATATGGCGCCAGACATACCAGAACTTATTCCCATTGAGCTTCCATCCGCCTTCGACCTTATCTGCCCGCAACTTCATCCCCACCACGTCGCTACCCGCACCTGGCTCACTCATAGCGAGCGCGCCAACCTTCGCACCAGTGATAAGCTCTGGCAAGTACTTCTCCTTCTGCGCGTCTGTGCCGTGCCTCGCGATCTGGTTGACACACAAGTTTGAATGTGCGCCGTACGAGAGTGCCAAGGAGCCGCTAGCTTCGGACAGGGCTTCCATTGCGAGTAGGTGTTCGAAATAGCCGAGTGCAAGACCGCCGTAGGCCGCCGGGACCGTTATACCGAGCAAGCCCATGTCACCGAGCTTGGGCCATAGATCCTGGAGTAATACATGAACATGAGTTTTTGCCAGTTATTGTGTGATTGCGGGGAAGCGTACCATTGGAGACTGGTTCGTGCGGTCGATCTCGTCCGCGCGCGGTGCGACCTCGCGGGATGCAAAGTCGTGAACAGCGCTCCTGAACTATGAGAGCGTCAATTCACAAATAAGCACCAGTGGCAGGAGACGCACCTCCGCTTGCTCGTCGCTCAACCCCGCGACAGCTGCATTGAACGTCGACGCCTGCCGTTTGCCGAGTGTGGTGCCGAGTGTGCGCGCCGTAGGGCGCGCAGTACGCAAGATCCTCGTAGCAAGAGACATCGTATTCAACTAGTGTCGGCTAGATATGTGGCTCTGTGAGGGGTACGAGGAGAGCCTGGAGATGACAATGGAAGTCTGCGGCGAATCCGGAACCTGACCGTTGCTTGTGAATGCGGGGTATCGGTTAGCGGGCCGACGGCATAGGAGCTTGTGGGTGTCAATGTCGGCTGGCTTGCCGGGCCCACCGCGTTCGGTGCCGCTCTGCGAGGCACAGACATTGGATAGTTTGGGCAATTGCAGTAGAAGAATCCAATCAAAGCAACGTATAAACACAGCAGGGTGGGAGAAATACAATAGAATACATATGACTATGCACCATGGATCACGATCGTGCCTTCACGATTCGAGCAAAGCATCGACGCAGATCCTCCTTTCAGCTTCGCTCAAGTGACCGTAGCTCTCGACGATCTCTTCGTCAAGTTTGACCCAATACGCGAACTTCTTCACGCTTTTCACGTCAAGGTCGACCAGTTTGATGTATGGCTCTTCGCCCTCCGGCAGGCCAATAATCATACTGCAGTCTTTGAACGTAGCGCTGAGCATGTATGCAAGTGGCGCATCTTCTTCGCGAACTTCATCTCTCTGGAGGCGCCCAATGAACTCAGCCCACTCTTCCAGCGTCGGTTCGGCATCGGGATAAGAAGTGGCGGTTGAGATGGGTTCCCCGAGAGCGTCCAGGCGTCGTTGAAGTGAAGCGAGGAGTGGTTGGACGGGCGTAGTTTGAAGGGCGGGAAGGAGACGCGCGATGAAGGCTTCCCTGCATCTCGCTATATCTGCGTCCTCGGGAAGGTTGAGGCAAGTCGCCTTCCATTTCTGCATGGCAGCCGTCTAGGAATGGGGTTCATGACCGAATACGAAACGGATGAAGAGTTTAAACATACATCAGTCGGCAAAAGCATACGCCAAGGTATGAACATGCGTAGTTTATTCTCCTTGCCATCGCCGCGTATCCAGCGCTCCCACAGAGCACCCAAAGCCATTCGTAAGCGGTCCGCGTCCCCTGAGAATAAGTCGAGCGGACAATACGCATCTACGCCCTCTTCCGCCTCCACCGGTACCGTCTGTACGTTCTCATGCTTCTTGACCCGGCGAAGATGATCGTGCATACACGTCCGACAAGTCCGTGACTTCACCGACGATGGCGATGCAGCGGGCAGGAAACCCCATTTCGGCTGTCGGTGAAGTGTCAGTGAAGGACGGGAAGACAAGATGAATCCAAGAATAGGATGTGGCCCGAGCGCCTACACGTGCGATGGGCCTCGTCCGCCCCGAAAGGGGAAGAGGAACATCCACGAATGTCAAGCGCGTGCATGGACCCCGGCGATTGACGTCGATGAGGCGGCGCCGTGGCAGGTCTGAACGCACCTTGATCTCGACTGCCCATGGGAAGCCGATGAGGTTCTCTGCGAGCGTCGCGCGCGAGCGACGAGCGTCGATGGCCTGACCTGGGCGTATGTTGTGCTCATGTACTCTGGCGAAGGAGGCAAGCCATGTAGGATCAAGGATAACGCTTTCGATACGCGCTCGGTATTCGGGGGGAATGAGGGGTTCGATGGCTACGTGCTGAAACGCGAGCATGGGGTCTTCGGCTTCATCTTCATCTGTCGCGAGCGCTTGTTCATCGACTTGACTGTGATTGTGTGCACCCGCTGAGGTCTTGCGCAGACGAAGAACGGTGCGATCGAATCGTTCATGATGCGGACCACAGTATGCAAAGACTGCGGCAGCGTTCCCTTCGTTGATGTACGCCCAGTCTGTGCTCACGTCCGTATCCGTCAAAGGGGCAAGTGCTGTGGTCATTGCGGCACCGCGTTTCGCGCTATTTCGACGGAAATCAATATTATGTTGGATTTTGCGTGAAGACTTGCGTACTTGATAAAAGGCGCAGGCGGGAAGCTGAAGGATCGGTCAGCCGCTAGGGGCGTCTGACGGTGTGCTGACAGAGTTCGAGACGAAGACTGGGATCAGACTTTGGTGTTGATGTAGGCACGACGGGCGGCGACGGCGGGCGGCCTGGTCTTGAAATGAAAAGACGGCTAGCATGGAAGACTAACAGCTATATGGCTGTGGCGCCGGGCGGCGCATGTAGACTGTATATAGCCATTGTTGTAGTCGAGGGAAGCAAGTAGATGTTGTGCATGGAAGAGAGCAACTCTACTGCGGGCGCTAGAGTAAAGTTGTGCGGCGCGGCACGGTTCGAGTCGCGTCCGCGCGTTGTGTCTATACCACCACCATGGCCCCTTCGTCGTCCGCCAGTTCTTCGGGCACGACGTCGGTTCAAGTCGGTCAGTAGTGAAAGAGTATACAAATAAGGATATATGCTAACAAAATAACAACACAGCCCTCCGAATAAGACCGCAGACGCAACAGGACAATGTGTCTATACCCGCTCGTTTCCAACGCACCGTCCTCCACGCCGCGTCTCCGACGTCGGTCAACATGGACGCCGTCAATGCCACTCCTTCCTCATCCGGCGCTGCGGGCGCTTCCAACGCCGCCGGCGCTAACGTAGCCGCCGTCAAGAAGCAGGCCTTCACCTTTGACCAGGTCCACCCGCCAGAGACGAACCAGCACGAGATGTTCACCGCGACCGCCGAGCCCCTCGTCGGCCGTTTCTTGGACGGATTTAATTGCACGATCCTCGCTTACGGCCAGACCTCGTCCGGAAAGACATTTACCATGACCGGCGCTGACCTCGACGGCGACCCGATGGACACCAATAACCTCATGGGCATCATTCCCCGCGCCATTAACTCCCTCTTCCAACGTGCACGTGAACTCAAGGAGGAAAAGGGCGCGGCCTGGAACTACTCCGTCAAGGGCTCGTTTATCGAGATTTACAACGAGGACCTTATCGACCTGCTTAGCGACGACGGCCGAAGTGGCCGCAACGTCCAGATCCGCGAGTCCAAGGACGGCCACATCCTCTGGGAGGGTCTTCGCGAGGTTTCCGTTAAGAGTGGACAAGAGGTTATGAAGTCAGTATATTCTGCACATTCACTGCGCATATATTTACTCATTTCGCGCAATAGTCTGATTCGTCAGGGCACTTCCATCCGACGAACCAACGAGACCGAAATGAACGCCCAGTCCTCACGCTCACATGCTATCTTCTCGCTTACTCTAACTCAGCGCAAGTACACCGGATCCGGTCAGCCTCAACGTTCCCCCTCCCCTCTCCCGGGCGCTGGTCGCTCGCCTTCCCGTCTTGCTCGCCCCGGGTCTATGTTCGCAAACTCTCCCTCTCGAGTCTCTTCGCCCACGTTCAATCAGCGTCCTGGAACCCCCACTTCCAGCTTTGCTTCTGCTATGGGTCGCGGCGGCCAGCGCCCCGCTAGCTCTCTTGGCCATCACCTAGAAACTCCGAAGAAGGCTGGCGCAGATGACGATAGCGGTGAATGGGTCACCATCGTCTCCAAATTCCACTTTGTCGACTTGGCTGGATCTGAACGTCTGAAGCGCACGGCCGCCGCGGGCGAACGCATCAAGGAGGGTATCTCCATCAATTCTGGTCTTCTCGCGCTAGGGAACGTCATCAGTGCACTAGGTGACCCCGCGCGCGCGAAGTCGCACACAGCGACTTACGTGCCGTATCGCGACAGCAAGCTCACCCGTCTCCTGCAAGACTCGCTCGGTGGCAATTCGCATACACTCATGATCGCCTGTGTTTCTGCCGCCGAATGGAACGCGGCGGAGACGCTCAACACGCTAAAGTACGCGAACCGCGCTAGGAATATCAAGAACCGCGCGAGTATCGACGTGAAGGAGGAGGGCTGGGACGACGTCGAGTGGCTTCAAACGACTGTCACTCGTCTTCGCTCGCAGATTAAGACCATGAAGGATGGTGGCGCTGTCGCAGCACCCGCCGCAGGAGAGCCTCAGCCAGACGCTCCCGCCAATAAGAAGCTCCTTGCGAGTCTCGAGGAGCTCCGCCAGAGCTACGAAGACCTGCGTCAACAATACTCTGCCAGGTCTGAGGAGTTGGTCAAGCTTCGTCGCGAGCACGGCGAGCACGTCCGTTCGGCAACCACCGGCGCTGTTCCTGGCATGAGCAAGTACGAGGAAATCGTCGGACCTGTTATCGAGGAGTACGAGAAGAGCCTGTCCGACCTCGAAACTCAGCTTCAACTCGCCCGCGCCGCTCTTCGCCACACCAACGCGATCGTTGAGGAGAAAGAGGAAGAGCTCACTGCCAGCGAGGAGAAGCGACAGGCCAGCGAACTTTACGTTGAGGAGTTACGCGGCCGTCTCGCGAAGTTGCAGGAGCGTGAGGCTGGCACCGAGGCGTATGTGCGTGATCTTGAGGAGCGCATCCGGGCGACAGACGAGGGTGCGGCAAGCAAGTCTGAGGGTCTTGCAGATCTACGGCGCGAGCTACAGCGCGTGCGCGACTCAGAGGCCCAGGGTGCAGAGTACATCATCGAACTTGAGCGCCGGCTTGCCCGTGCGGATGAGAGCGTACTTTCTCTCCGCTCAGTTGTCGAGCGTCTGGAGGCCGAGGCCGAGCGGAGGCGGACTGAGGTGGAGATGCTTACTGGCCGCCTCGAGGACTTCGCGCGCGACGGCGCGGCATGGCGTGCAGACCTCGAGGCTCGTGAAGCCAAAGTCAGGGATCTCGAGGCACGCATGGCTGAATGGGAGGCTACGCGGAAGGCTGCGGGAGAGGAGCGTAACCGCCTGCAGGTCGCCGTTGCTGAGGCACAAGCGACCGCTCCGGCATCTCCTATCGACGGTCCCAGTACGGGCCTGAATACGCCGGCTATGAGCAACAAGGGACTCAATGAAACCGAGACGGCCGAGCTACTTCAATTGCGCGAGGCTCAAGTCGCGCTCGTTGCTGACCTTGCGTCTACGACGGACAAGTACCGCGACGCTCTGCGCGAGATCTCCGACCTTGCTGGCCAGATCAGCGAGCTCAAGCTTCAGGGTGCCGCGCCTGCTGAACCTGTCGGCGCACTGGAGACCCCCGTCAGTACGCCAGGGGGAGGTGGAAGAAGGCGGATTCCGCGCGAGATGAGTGGGAGTATCAGTGCGGGTGCGGGAGGTCGCCGGCTTTTTTTCCGACATGCGGCCTCGACCGAGTCCTTACATTCGAGGTAAACATCGCGCTCTCTGTACCCTCGGGATTCTTAACTGACGCCGATACGAAGGTCGCTCTCGCAGTCGCAATCTCAATCTCAGTCGCTATCACAGGAGCTGTCATCCGCACACTCTCGGAAGGCTTCATCATCTGGGACTAGCTCGCCGTCTTCCTCACCCGGCGCGAGTCATCACCGCCCGAATCTCAGCATCAGCCTCCCTCACCAGGAGCGCACCGTCAATACTCTGGAGAAGGAGATCATGCGACTTCAGGACGTCCTGCGTCAGCGCGATGAGGAGATTGCGGCCCTTGAGCGGAGCGTCAAGATGCACGACGACGTGCATGGCAATGGTCACACGAACGGCGGAATGCTCAGCCCACCAGCGAGCGAGTCTGAGGGTGACGGGTTGATCACGCCTGCCACCGTACAGCGCTTCGAGAACCTGAGGAATAGCATGCAGATCCATGCGCGCACGGATAGCAATAGTGTCAGCAATACGGATTCGGACGAGCAGCTCGAGCGACTCAACGATCTCATGCGGTATGTGTCATCATTGGGTGATATACGGGATGGATAACCGACAATCCATAGCGCGATGGCCCAGAAAGAGTCGACGCACCGTGAGGTCGTTGATGACCTCAATGAACAACTCAAACAGATCCGGCGGCAGCACGACGAGCTTCAAGTTCTCTCCAGCAATCAGGTATCTCACCCCTTCCAAGCACACAAGAGCACGTCGCTGACAGGTCAACGTGTAGACAATGCTCATGTCTCAGGAACTCGAGAGTCTTCGTGGCCACCACGAGACGGAGCTTGCACGTCTAGCTGAGGTTGAGGCGCGCGAAGCCGAGTTGAAGGCTTCACTCGAAGAGGCGCAAACTGCGCACGCCCGGTCTCAAGAAGAGCACGCTTCGCAGGTTGCTGCACTTCGTGAAGAGCATGAGGTGGCGCTGAGGGCGAAGGCGACTGAACTTGACGAGCTCGTCGCACGTCTCAAGGCCGAGCACGAACGCAATGTCTCTAGCCTCTCTGCGGATCATGAAGCCGCCTTGCTGTCCGCTCGTGAGGGTCACGTCGCGGCATTGACCAAGGTCGCCGAGGAACATCAAGCAGCGCTCAACGCCGTCCGCGACGAGCTCTCCGCCGCGACTGCTGCTCTCGAGAAGGCACAAGCGGACCATGCCGAGGCGTTCGGTGCCCTCAAGGCTGACCACGCTGCGGAGCTGAAGTCGAAACTCGATGAAGCCGCTGCTGTCCTTGCGGCCGCGAAGACGGAGCACGAGGCCACGCTCAAGGCTCATGACGACAACTTAGCGCGTACCGAAGAGGAATTCTACAACGGCCTTACCAAGCTTCGATCAGAGCATAGCGAGGCTCTCGCCCAACGTACCGCCGACGCCCAGCGCGCTGCTGAGGAGCATGCCGCCGCCTTGAAAGCCGCTGAGGCTACCCACGAGCAGGCACTGGCGGAGGCGCGCGAGGCTCATGCAAAGGTGCTCGAGGGCGTCAAAGAGGAGCACTCCCAGGCGCTCAGCCGTAAAGAGCAGGCGCTCGCGGAGGAGCTTACCCGCCGTGAGGAACAGCACACCGCCCTCATTGCGCGTTTGAACGAGGAGCACGCTGCCGCTCTACGTGTCGTTGAGATTTCGCGTCAAGGCAGTCTCAGTGACACCCAGGAGGCCCAGGAGCGGATGCTTAAGGACCTTCAGGAGGAGCACACCGCGGCGCTCGCGCGCAAGGAGGCTGCTTTCGCCGAGGACATGGAGCACGCTCGTGCGGATCAAGCGAGGACCTTTGCCGCGGCTGCCGAAGAACACGCAGCAGCCCTTGAGAGCTTGCGCTCGGAACACGCCAAGGCGCTTGCAGAGCTTACGGCTACGCATAGCGCGGAGCTCACCAAGGCCCGTGAAGCGGTCGAGGCGGCACAGCGGGAACACGCTGCCGCGGCGGACAATGCGAAAGCAGAGGCCGACGCGGCGCTTCAGGCTGTCAAGGAGCAACAGGCGGCTATCCTGCGCGAGGTTGCAATCGGCCATCAAGACGAGCTTGCGAAGCTCACGGCGAAACATCAGGCGAACGCCGAGGCGGCTACGGCTAAGCTCGAGGCGGAACGCGCGGCTCTTACCGAGACTCACAACGAGAAGCTCGCCGCACTGTCCAGCGAACATGAGCACACCTTCGGCGAGGTGAAGGCTGCGCAAGAGACAGCTCTTCAAGAGGCGAAGCAGGAGGCGGAGCGCGAACGTGCAGCGCTTGTACAGTCACATGCAGAAGCACTGGAGGCCGCAAATGCAAGTCACGCCGCCGCCCTCGAGGCCGCCCGCGGAGAGCATGCCGCAGCGCTCGAAGCTATCCACGCTGAACACGCGACTGCACTTGACGAGGCCGTCAAGAAAGCCAAGGTTGAGGCCGACGAGGAACACACCGCGCTGGTGCAGAGCCAGTCCGACCGTGCCCTTGCTGCGCAGGCTGAGCTTGACGCCGCCCTCAAGGCCGCGCGCGAGGAGGCGGATGCCGAACGCCAACGGCTGATCGAGGAACATCGCGAGCAAGTTCTTGCGCACGATAAGGCAGTGGCTGAACTCGACGCCGCGCTTGCTGCAGAACGTCAAGCACGTCAAGCGCATAGCGCAGAGTCTACCGCGGCCGAACAGGAACGTCTGGCTAGTGCCGTTGCCGAGCTCGAGCAGGCCCACGCCGTGGAGCGCGAGACTATGCAGAAGGAACAGGCACTGCTCCGGAACGAGCTCGAGTCGTACAAGGCGGTTGCCGAGGAGAATGCCCTTGCACGCGAGAGGGAACGGGTAGCTCACGAGAACATCTTAGCTCGCCATTCGGAGACCATCTCCAACCTGCACCAGGAGTTGTCAGAGGCGCATAATGAGCGTGAAGAGCTCGCGAACGAGATCGAGACATTGCGCGCTCAGCTTGGACAAAAGGAGCAGGAGCAAGCCGTACTCGTTCAAGAAGCTTCGAAACGCGTGTCGCTCGTCGAGGAACTCGACCGCCATCGTTCCGTTCTTGCCGAAACTCAACGGACGCTGCAACGTATACGCGACGAGAAGGATGCCATCCAGGAGGAGAAAGCTAAGCATGAAGCGTCTGTGCGAGAGCTTCAGGCTCAACTCGCCCGCGTGCCGAGTCCGGATGTACTCAGTTCCCCCATTCTCTCGCGCCCTCCGAACGAGCGCCAGTCGACATTCAGCCGCATCAACGGTCACGTTTCGAAGCTCCCTCCGCCGACACCACCTCCCTCAGTACCGCCGCCTCCTGCGCCCGCTCCGAATGGACCTCTTCCCCGCGCGCCCGAGCATCACCAGCAAGCGAGCATGTCTAGCACGCCCATCTCCTCGTCCAGCTCCCGTGACTCGGAGGCAATGGACAGCCCTGCGACAAGCGTTACGCCAAGCGCAGCAATGCCCGCGCCGGACCCGAAGCTGCTCGCGCAGATTGAGGACCAGAGCCGGACCATCGACGAACAGGACGCGATGATCAAGACGCTCAATAAGCAGCTCACACACTGTGAAAGCGATCTACAGGCTCACATGGACCTCGTCAATACACTCGAAACGTCTCTCGGCGACTCGGAGAAGAATTGTACGTACAATCATGATTTATGTCGTGTTTGTAGGCGCGTGATGCTAATAAACATCCAGTGCGCAAGGCGCGCATGCAGGCTACGGAGCTTGCGCGGGAGCGGGATTCGCTCAATCAGCAGGTTGACGGACTCCGGAACGAGCTCACGGTCGCGAAACGCGAGGTGGTGAACGTTCGGCAGTCAATTGTTGAGGAGAAGCAGTCGCTTGAACACCGGCTCGAGGATGAGCGCCGGCAGAAGGAGAAGGCCCGGCAACAACTCGACACGCGGATGGAGGAGCTCCAGAAGCGCAAGTCCAAGTTCGTGTGTTTGTGAGCTGCCCGCTACCTCGGCCTGTGCTGTCTGCGCCACCCGCGCCTCCTTACCTCCGGCGCTGCCCCCCATCATTATGCTCTAACGACCCCATGCCGTGCCTCACTGTTCTCCTTGATCGACGTCTCGTTTTCTTGGGCCACCCATCACTGCACCCGCACACACTAGCTACCTTCTTCTCCGTTTACCTCTCCGCGCCTTGTAATGTCCGCGGCTGACAGCTGACCCGTGGTCCGGACTTCTCTGTGGATTTACCCAGCATACGCGCTCGTGTTCTATACTTTTTCTTGCCCATTCTCCGGGCTGCGTTACCAATACTTTACTCCTCGGAACCGTCCATTACTCTTTCTCGTATACCCCAACGTTCGTTTCCGTATATATGTGCGCGCGTTAGTCTATACATACGTCTTCGATGCCATACTGCATCTGCCTATGCTACCAACAAGGAACCTGCGGAAACGTGTAAAGGTTGATCGGGGTCTGGACCGAATATATGAGAGGGCCACTCGCGCGCTCGCTTGTCAACGGCGTCCTCCGGAGGATCGGTCCGCTCCGCAACGCCCTTAGGTATTCTTCTCCACGGACGAAAACCCTGCCAGCGTTTCTTCTCACCCCGCCACCATCACCTCTCCTACCATGTCTGGCCTCGTCGCCCGCTCAGCCCGCCAAACCCTCCTCAAGTCCCAGCGCCATGCCGCCACACGGGCTCTCTCCACCCCCGCACAGGCTCCGGCGCCCCGCATTCTCCCTGACTTTAGCATGGCCGGAAAGGTTCGACTGACCGATAACACTTATGTGCTGGCAACTAATACTTATATAACTCTAGGTCGCACTGTTGACCGGTGCTGCTCGTGGTCTCGGATACGAGTTCGCAAACGCCTTCGTCCGCTCGTGCGTGTTCCAGATCATGTTCGACTTTGAACGCGCCAGCTCACGAGAACGCGTCACTCCTCCAGTGGCTGCACTCAGCTCGCCGTTGTGGACTTGAAAGGTGAGGAGGCCAAGGCAGCGGCCCAGGACCTCGTCAACTCTGCATGCGGTGAGCTACTACTGTTTCTCTGACACTCCGTCCTGCTCCGATACTCATCCATCGCGTCCATCACCAGCCGCCGATCCCAGCCTCAGCCCGTCCGACTTCAAGTTCATCGGTGTTGAGTGCGACGTCTCGTCTGAGCGCTCTGTCCAGAAGGCCTACGCCGAGACCATCGACACGTTCGGTCGCATCGACAGCGTCGTCGCGTCGGCCGGTGCGTCCTTTACTGCTTCCGGACGCGCCAACATCATTAACTGACGCGACGCGCTAACTCACAGGTATCGTCGAGAACTACTCTGCTTTCGAGTGCGTCCATGCATGACGTCGTCGTCTTCCGAGCCGTTACTGATCGCGTCACCTTCCTTTTCCTCTCTCATATTTTGATCTCGAACTTCGAACCATGCAGCTACCCGTTCGACCGCATAAAGCGTCTTTACGACATCAACGTTCACGGCGCTTTCTTCACCGCCCGTGAGGCTGCCCGCCATATGATTCCCAACGGTGGAGGCGCCATCACCCTCGTCGCGTCCATGAGCGCCAACGTACGTTCCTTGCCCCGCCTTTGTGCGCCCCGCACAGGTTATCGCATGCTGACGCCACGTGCCTTTATTGCAGATCATCAACATCCCGCAGGTGCGCGGCCCGCAACCGCAGTCTGCCGTTCCGAACTGATCGCCGTAATACTTCCTTTCCACAGCCGCAAACGCCGTACAACGCGTCAAAGGCTGGTGAGTTGTCCGATTTAAGTCCTTGTGTGCCGGCGGTACTGAAACGTCCGGATAGCTGTCAAGCACATGGCGGCCTCGCTTGCCGTCGAGTGGGCTAAGAAGGGCGTTCGCGTCAACGTGCTCAGGTCAGTGCTCCATTCCCTGCTTGGCGGTGGCGCTAGTGTATGTGGGAGGAACTGCTGACATCTCGCTAGCCCGGGTTACATGTTGACGAAGCTCACGAAGACTATCCTGGCTCACGACCAGGAGCTCAAGGTACCCACTCTGCGCCCTTTGCGTCACCGTCTTTCTAATCCTTTCGTAGAAAACCTGGGAGTCGTTGACACCCCTGGGCCGTATGGGTGAGCCGGAAGACTTGGCTGTGAGTTCATTTACTACCACGCTCCTCGGGAATAGACGTTGATGTATCATTAGGGTGCCATCGTCTTCCTTGGCAGCGACGCGTCGCGCTTCATGACTGGTAGTGAGATCCGCGTCGACGGCGGTTACTGCATCATCTAATCTGTCTGCATCTCCAAACTTAACGACCGTTTCGCGAACCTGTCTTTTCATGCTAGACTTACGCTAGGGAATCTTGATATCTCTAATTTGTTGGCTTTCTCATTCATGCTCGATATACCGAAGTCCACCTGGAGCATGCCTTATGCTTGGTATGCGGGCTGCACGTCAAAATGTCAAAGGTGCCAAGATGTCAATGAACTGCTGGTTTTCGACGCTGCGTCTGAGCCTCGAGGCTTTCACGTCCAGTTGACCGGCGTGACCGGCGAAGCGGGCTCGCTCGCTAAGCTGCAGGTCCCCCAAATCAAGGGCTGCCGTATGATCAGCGTTCTCGACATATCTTCCACCAGACGGCCAAGGTCGCCGTCGCGCAACAAATGCAGCCGGCGATATCAACTCCCTGAATGGGTCAACATACTTCCTGAAGAAGACCGGCCGCTTGTGGCTCATTCGGGGAATGGCAAGGCGATCCAATGATGCATTTGTGACAGCAGGGGGTAGATAAAGTTACATACATAATATAGCCAGTCCATTAGATGTGTCTAGTCCGTCTGAATAATTGTGACAACAGCAAAGCAAGCACGACAGATACGACAAGGGGATGGGCTGCCTATGTGACCGTAACGATCTCGCCTTTGCCATCCTTGAGAATGACGAGCTCGCAGTCCAACTTCTCTCCGGTATCTAAACAGATAATGTCGGTAGGATCGACAGGGTTCAACTTGATAATCCTCTTTTCGTGGAACGCGCGGCCGAGGACGACGTCGAAGTGGTTTTCCTCTGAAAGGTACACGGTATGCGTCGTCTTTGTCTTTCCGACCGTAATGGGCCATTTGCCGAGGCTATACGCAGGATGAGCATCTCACGTAATAGGAAATAGAACTCGCTTACTTGACCAATCCGCCATAGCCGTAGTGTCCCGGTGCGGCATCCTCGGGGATGAATCCATGTCGCATCGCGAACTTGCGCGAGATGTAGACGTGCCTGTACCCAGATTTCAGAAGCATCCGGACTAAGGACGTGCACAGTCAGCTCTGTCATTCTCAAGACAGGAGTGTACAGGGGCGCACCATCGTCCACCGGCCCTATACTGCCCATGATCGTCCGCACGCCGTTCGCGCTATGGAACTCGTCGAAGTCCTTCTTGTGCTTCATGATGCCATCCACAGTTCCATTCGTCTTCGCGTGTGACTTATTAGACTTCTTGCTGCGCATGGACGCCGCGCGGGGAGAGCCTGCGCGTACACTGCCGTCGTTCGATCCCGCCGCTGGGCGATGGAGGTAGAACGCGGGGTTACGGTAAGAGGAATCGGCCGGGAGGGGTGCGTTAGGGTCACGCAAGTGTAATGTGTTGGGTGCAGAGGAGTCTTTGTTCCTCCAGTTGAAAATCGTATAGTCCGAGTCTATAGGAGAAGCTGAGTGTGGGGTGATAGCCAAGTTCATGAGTTTACACACCATCGTCCAAGCTCCAGATGGTGTCGTTCCATTCGTACTTTAGCCAGCCTGGTCCAACACGCTTGCCATAGAACTCGGTGCTGTGCTTTCGGCTGAGCTTGTTAAAGAGCTCTGTCAGAGTCTCCTGTGTTGCTACGCCGGTACCACATCAACGTGATGCAAGATTTGAGTAAACGAGCTGCTCACTATTGTGTACTATGGCAAACGACGACGAGGGAGTGTGCACTGAGATGATAGGAGGTGAGGCTGCCATGAGTGTTGAAAGAAAGGTGTGCTAACTGCGTCGCACTACTGCTGCGAACTCAACCTTCCGAGCCTCGTGCCGCGTCTCGGATCGCCCGTTTCGGTAAAGTCCAACCACGACGTCATTGTTTAGCTGTGGCAGCACTGTCTGCTCATGAGGCCCACACATTTTATCTCGTGCGAGGCACGTCCTTGACATGTTTTGATCATACGTAAGCTCTATGCAGTACATCGGCGCTTCTACAGGTGGCGCAAGAGTAGAGGCCGAAGAATCAATCAGCTGCTCCTCCTGAGCGCAACCCTCTACTCCATCTCGTCATCGCGCAATAACACCGACCACCGCATATAATGACCAGGGCGGTCCGACGTCAGAGAAACTCACTGATACCCCCACCACCGTTGATACCATGGAACTTCACTTCATGAACGAGGACATCCTCAACACTATCGCTCGCGATCACCACAGCAAACCCATTTTTCGTATCGCCACATCCTCTGCGCTTGTGCCAATCAATCGCACTACGACTATATCGCGCTTTGAGCCGGCCGCGCACGCAGATACAAAACTCGACGAGGTATCAAAAACTGCAGCCGTAGAGGAGGATGCGGATCTCGACCAATATGAGGAGCACGTCGTCGCGCAGATCGTTTGGCATGGGATGAAGCAGAGTGTGTTCAAATTTGCTGGGGAGGAAGTGTCGCTCAAGGTGGACGAGTACCTCCCCCCGACGTCAATGATGAAGAGGTGCGCATCTTCTTTGAGATATCATCTAGTGGGCTCATAGGATGTCACCTCTTGCAGGAGACGAATCTTGAATTCTTCCCGCGGTGACGCATACCAGTGGGCGTCGGATGAGCAGCACTGCTGGGTGAGTGTGTCCCTGGTCTCGCCCTTCGACGTGTCATAGATGCTTATAAGAGTGTAGCTGGAGGAAGCGCCTTCGCGCCCTAGCAGCAAGGGTGTCACCGTAGCCAAATTCCACAAATCTGTCGCCGGGCTCAGGCAGAATTGCAAGCATCCACGCCTGGACCTGGACCAAAGTCTGTTGCCGATCTTGGACGAGGTCATCGTGTCATTCATCTGGTGCGAGCGGAGGCGAACTGAGCGAGAGGTCAAGTCGGCTATCGGAAGTTTGTCTCAGCACCTGTGAGGGCTTATAGTCTGCTTTACTGTATATGTATTGGATGTATGCGTGTACTGGCCGGTCGAGACGGCCGAGACTGTAGCATAATCGTATGTTTGGTTGATCCGCTTACACACTGAGAGTAACGGGCGAGGGACTATGTCAAATATCAAGCCCCGAAGAGGGCAGCATGGTGGTGGTGCAGAAGAAGCGACGCGACTTCGCCGCGCGGCGCGCCTCAAGCGCGTGCACATTTTTCGCGCCTCGACGCGACTTTTCAGCTCAGGTTCCTACCACCACCACACTTGACCAAGGATCCACCAGTCGTGAGGTCGCCCATACACGCTACAAGAGACGATGGCAGACCCCAGCAACCACGGACGCGCTTGGCCTCTTGCGCCGGCTGACCTGAACAACCAGGTGCGTTAAAGCAACGCATTTTTCGTCTGTCCTTGGGGCTAAATGCGTGGCGTGATAGATTCTCGACCTCGTTCAGCAGGCATCGACGTACAAGCAGCTCAAGAAGGGTGCTAACGAGGGTGTGTAGTATCTTTTATCAAAACTGTGGCGTCGTTAATAGGTTGTGGCGCACAGCTACCAAGACGCTTAACCGCGGTATTGCTGCCTTCATCATCCTTACGGCCGACACGGAGCCCCTCGAGATTCTTCTCCACTTGCCTCTGTTGTGCGAGGAGAAGGTATGTCAATTATACGCGCTTTGGCCACATGTTCGCTCAATCCTTGCGTAGAACGTCCCGTACATCTTCGTGGAGAGCAAGGCTGCCCTCGGCCGTGCGTGTGGCGTCACTCGCCCTGTCATTGCCGCCAGCGTGACCACGAGCGAACAGCGTGAGCTTGCGAGTCAGATCCAGACCGTGAAGAAGGCAATCGAGAAGCTCATGGTGTAATCGTGCCTTTATCATACTTACTCCTGTAGCAATAGAACGTTCTCATCTTGCTTTCACTGCTATCATATAACAGCACTTGATCTGTCTCTCGTGGACAGTCCGGGAGAGACGCTATGCCCCAGTCTAGCCTCCACGAACACACGTGCTGGGATGTCCGCAAAATATGCTCTCTTCGCAGAATGTACAAAATACAATGCAGTTGACGTCCATATAAACCTCGTCACGCATCCGCGAGAACCGAGTACTTTCCGGCGGTACGCACGTCGTAGCCGTAGCCTCCGCCCGTGGCGCCAGGAACATCGCCAGGGCCGTCGAAGTGCAGCTTGTGCACGTCGTAGTTGCCTACAAAGAGGAATCAGAAACTGCCAGATATTTGGGGCACGGCCACTTACCGATGAAGTCCCAGCCGTTTTCACGAACATGATACAAGTTCACAGTGTTACCGGAGAAGGCATCACGATGGCCGGCAGCGTAGATGCTTCGCCTGCCAAGTTCCTGTGCGTCCTCGTCCGACATGTCCCAGGAATAGCCCTGGTCGAGCACACCGTACGCAAATGTGCTACCAGAGCCGACGGAGAACAGGTCACCCTTGAGGCGCGTGCCGTCGGAGTCGACGTAGTACAATGCTGGACCCGTCTTGTCCCATCCAGCAATCATGGTACCCTGGAGATTGAGTCAGTTACGATTGCGCATAAACCTATAAGACTTGCATCTTCTTACCATACTGAGACCCATTCCCTTGTAGCCGTAGACCAAGTTGCTCAGGTACTTGGATGCAGCGGCGACGGAGATACGTTCGTGATTGCGGAGCTCATGTAAACGACATTGTATGCCGAGATATGTCTCCCAGTATTGACAGTCGGCTGTAAAATCGGGTGTAAGCACAACTCCATACGATACGGCATGGCGAACATACCAGCGCCACCAGCCATCGTGCCGAGAAGGTAAGGGTTAATCTCGATAACCTTCTTGACCGTCCCCGACGCTGTCAAGAGCAATCAATACAGTACTACACGGTTGATCTGGGCAGTCTTACCAATGTAGCTTCCAGCTGTTGCACGAGAGTCGACGGCGACGATGACACCTCCACGGAAACGGAAAGCAAGTGTAGTGGTACCATGCTGGATCTTGATCCTGCAGTTGGGGTCCGCGTGGTCGTCTGTGTGCAGACGCAAGAAGGCGGTAGGCTGTGTATAAGATCAGTCATCTGGACTAGTATTCTGTCAATATTTCACGCACGTCAGGGACGGATGGGACGGGGAAACCGTGTCCAGAGGCGAGTGTGCCCAAGCCAGCTTCGGAACCCCACATCGCGTCGGTCATCTCATCCTCATCTACCAGCGCCTGTGCGCGGCGCAATTCTGCCTCGACGCCCGTGGTGGAGAATCTGCTGGCTAGTGAGTTCATGGCGTGAAGCAGTCAAGATGCGAGTCCAGTTCAGCTTCGAGAACGCGCGTCGCGTCGCGGTACGCGCATCCACGCGTCGTTCTGATAAGTGGCTTACAGTCAGAATCCGAGGTTATCAGAAGAACCTCAATACTCTCATAAATATTTCGAATAAATGCATGATATCGCCACAGCTCCTCGGTTCAAGGATTGAAAGCTCACGGCCTGCATGGTTCATGTGGACTTCTTGAATTAAAAACTTGCAAGGGCCATTGGGATACAGAACTGGGTCCCGATACTCGAGTATGTGAATTCGTGTTCAATAATATATTTCACGACTACAAGGACAAGGTTCGCTTACATTACGTGAATGTAGAGCGCGTCTCATTCTCCGATGCGCCTCTCACCGCGACCGCGACCATCTCCTTTCTTTCGCGACACCCATCTCACAGAGTCGAGCCATCATGTCTGGTATCTGCCGCACGCGTCTGACCGAAGAGCGCAAGCAATGGCGCAAGGATCACCCATTCGTGCGTTCTTCTCATCGTCACGCGCTGGGCCACAGCCATTGATGTTTGAATTCCTTCAGGGTTTCTACGCGAAACCGACAAAGGCGGCAGACGGATCGATGAACTTGCTCGAATGGGAGGTTGGCATCCCGGGTAAAGAGAACGCAAGTACGCGCTTAATGTGCAACGAGGACACGCGCCTGACCCTGCTTGATAGACGCCTTGGGAACACGGTGTATACAAGCTGCTTATGATCTTTCCGGAAGGTATGACATGTGTTGGGCGCCTTGATTGCTATCCGCTGATATATGATATCAGACTACCCATCTAAGCCGCCCAAGTGTATGCACCTGTACTGTGATTCCGTATTGAGCATCACTGATGAACTGCTATTGTGTAGGCAAGTTCACACCGCCACTTTTCCACCCCAATGTATACCCGTCTGGCACCGTCTGCTTGTCTATTCTGGACGAGGAGAAGTCGTGGAAACCCGCAATCACGATTAAGCAGGTACGTATGCGGCGGATTGTGCCCGATCTTCTTGCAGCTGAACTAGCTGTGAAGGTCGTGCTTGGTATCCAGGCACTGTTGAACGATCCCAATGTCAACGATCCCGCACAAAGTGAGGCCTATACGATGTTCAAGTGCGTAGCTGTGATCTTTTTCACCCCCGCTTCTTCTGACTCGGCACATTGACAGGAACGACAAGGTCGCATATGAGTATGTATCTCGCAAACAGCTCGCATGTTTGGATATTGATCTTGTTCACTAGACGAAGGGTCCGTCAACAGGCTCGAGAGAACATACCGAAGTGAGAAGGGGGTCCTTGGTTCGCCCTATTGCTGGTATCTTCTTTACCTCTCGGATCTCTTTATATTGTTCTCTTATGCGTATCTTCACTCACATACGTCTTTACGTCTGTTTTGTCTTGTTGTCACATCGCATCTACGTACTCGGTCTACTAATGAGATAGTTCTCTGGCTATACCACGCAGAGTTGCCGTGGTAGCGATCCGCCGACATCCAGCTATGCTGCCCGCAGAACTGCCTGCAGAGCAACTCCGAGCGACAAGCACCTGTACAGCGTCCTCCTGGACCCGCCATCTCTCAGACGTGATGAAAGCGACTTTTCGTGTTTTTTCGCTTCTCAGCAAGTGGCCACTGATCGCGAGATACATACTGCGACTCAAGTAGAGGATGATCCGCCTATTGTCTGTAGTACCTCTAACCTATCGACTGTCGCGCGTGCGGGCGGGCAGATGAGAAGCAAGGATCCATATTGATAAGATCAACGCTGACGTCAGACCATCGCGCGCCGAGCGCTTGAGCAACTCAAACCGAACGCTCACCGAAGAGCTGTCTCGGGCGCGACACTGCCCTCTTGCTTCATGCCATGAAGAACATATTCAATTTCAATCGGCTGTCAAGGCCGCCTTCCGCCACTCCTTCACCGGCGCCGGCGTTAACACCAGCAGCACCGGTCGCGAACACTCTCGTGCACACGACTCACCTTCAGCCGAAGTACACCGTTCCGGCTGTCCCACATCCACGCCCGCACGATCATATCGCTATATTGGCTACCCCAGATGCTTTATTACTCAAACCCCATCTCAATGGCTCGAATCAGTCACATCCTTATGTTTCCATATCGTATGGCAAACAGTATAAAGTTGAGGAGCGGGAGGATACCGGAGAAGGGCACGGGGCAGAATGGGCTTCTGCCGCAGTCGTGTACGGAATCGTAGGCATAATAGACCTGTATACCAGTATGTTTATACGCGTTTGTTCATGGGACCTCGTTGAATGAAACACATGCTAGCATCATACCTGCTTGTAATATCTTCGAAGGCCGATGTTGGCTCTGGTGAGTCGCGGTTGACCTCCTCGGTCCTGCATAACAAATATAATGCAAGAGGACAGTACTGGATCCCGCACATGCAGTTCATGCTGTCAAGAATGTGGCGGCTATTCCTCTCGTCTTCGATCGTGCCCTCAAGGTCCTGTCTGCGTTGGCATCCAAGAACGTGACAACGGCCCGCCCGTCGCTTCTCCCTACGCCTTCGACCGGGGATGGCTTTGAAGGGATACCAGTTGAAGAAGCTACGCCACTGGCGGCCTCAGAGCCTCGTGTCAAGTTTGTAGACGAACCTGAGGTCAAGACCTTGACACCTTCGGCAACCGATCAGACTTTCAACCTCACCATCCCGGATCGTCCTGCTTCCCCCGTCAGCAGTATGGCGTCTAGCATCTCCAGCCTGAATTCTGGTGCAACCACGCCTACCAGCGAGAATAGCCCTTCGACTACGACGCTTGCGAAGACGCTGTCAGACCGCCTGTCGTTCTGGCAGCGTCCCATACGTCGTTTCTCCGGCGGGCCTGATTCTCCCGCCTCAGCACAGCCAGGAATGCAGAGCCTTGCAGCTGCTGTCGAAGCCAACAATCAGTCCACCGACGCCCTTAGCGACAAGGAAGATGAACTTCAGGCTCTGATCGCGACGCCCGCACCAACCCCCGTGACTGAAGAAGAGAAGAATAGGCAACTCGAGGAGAAGATCTTGCGCCAGACTGTGAAGGACTACGCAAGAGGCGAAATGTACTTCGCATACGACTTCGATCTCACACGCTCGCTTCAGCATAAGCAGGACCTGCTCTGCCGTACGCAGCACCAGAGTCATCTTCTCGCTGAGCTAACTGGTCTCAACGCTGGCGCAGATGTAGCCACGAGTGCTAATGTGGGAGACGAGGTTGATGTCACCGCCGAACCGACGCCCGCCTTACCTCTATGGCGCCGTGTCGATCGACAGTTCTGGTGGAACGAGCATCTCATGCGGCCCTTCACGGAGGCTGGATTGCATGCATACGTTCTCCCTCTCATGCAGGGCTACGTGCAGGTGTCAACCTTTGCAGTACCGCGCGAGCCGGAGGTCAATATGGGCGAGGAGGGAGATGCCGCAGTGGTCGATTACATGATCATATCGCGTAGAAGTCGGGAACGTGCTGGCTTGAGGTATCAGCGCCGCGGGATCGACGACGATGCAAGGGTTGCCAACTTTGTGGAGACGGAGGCGATCACTCGCATCAATGTACATGTGCCAGTTCGCCCGTGATCTGCCGTTTACTCACGCGTATTGCTAGCGTGAGGGGGTCACAAACGTCTTCAGCTATGTGCAGATTCGCGGATCCAGTGAGTTTGCTCTTCGAATCGTGTATCATACAGTGACTGATACTGCATAGTACCGTTGTACTGGACGCAGTCGGGCTACAGCCTGAAGCCTCCACCACAGTTGGAGCCTTCCCAGACTCATGCGCAGAACCTCTCGGCACTCAAGCGACACTTCGAGCGGACTGTTCCTGCATATGGTGCCGTCGTAAGCACACGACCCGCACCCGCAGCATCAATCTCTCACATACTCCACTAGACTATAGTCAACCTTGCAGAACAGCATGGAAAGGAAGGACAAGTGACGTGCGCATATCGCGACTATGTGGCCGAGGCGGATGTCCCGGACGTCAAGTACTGCGAGTACGACTTCCATGTAGAGACGAAAGGGATGAAGTACGTGCCCGGCATCTCCTCTCTGTGCACCTTACTGATCTCATGCAGGTATGAGAACATTCAGAAATTAATCACTGACCTTGAACGTACCTTCGAGTCGCAAGGATACTTCTGGGTGTCGGATCGACATATCCTCTGTCGGCAGACCGGCGTCTATCGTGTGAACTGTATTGACTGCCTCGATCGCACCAACGTTGTCCAGTCCGCCTTTGCACGATACGTGCTGAATAGGCAGCTTCTAGCGCTCGCGCTGTTCAACCCGGAGAGTGGACGGTCGGACGTCGATGTAGTCTTCAACGATGTATGGGCGAACAACGGCGATGCTATCAGTAGAGCATAGTGAGTCTGTGGCTCTCCTCGAAGATCTTCCTTACTCATTATGACAAGTGCTGGAACTTCTGCCTTGAAGGGAGACTTCACGCGCACGGGCAAGCGCGATCTGGGTGGCATGCTGAACGACGGCATGAACTCACTTGCGCGAATGTACGCTTCGACATTCAGCGACTGGTTCTGTCAGGCAGTCATCGACTATATGCTCGGATACCGTACTCTGGCTGTCTTTGGCGAGTTCTTGAATAAGCTTGCGAGCACTGATCCGCGCGAGCTCATCCGCCTGGGTCGCATCCGAGCTGAAGCTGTCGCTACGAGTGTGGCTCGTGTACTTCCGGAAGGAGAAGGCTTGCTGAGTGGCTGGACGCTTCTCTCGCCTGCTGAACTCAACACGAAGACTGGGGAGAAGTGGGAGGAGAAGGTTTTGCTCGTGGTCAGTCTAGTGCGGCAGTACTTTGGGAGCAAGTTCGCTGATGGTGTTTGCATGCCTAGACAAGGAAAGCGCTCTATATCGTGGTATGTTCATCCGATCTCCTCTCGATGGATTCGACCTGAGTGCAACACAGAGCTACGACTACAACTTGGAGAAGGTCCAGATGTATACTCGTGTTCCACTCGCTGATATCATCGAGATTCAGAAAGGTCAGTCTCACCCTATGTGACTGAAGAGTACGTTCTGATCCCGAGTTAGGCGCCTATATTCTATCTCCGCTTCAAGAAGCGTCAAGAGACCCGATACAGAATGCTGGCTTCATCGTACGCTGGCACACACCAGCCAGTACCACTCGTGTGACCTCTTACTCATTACGGAACTCCCTCGACACGCCTCCGCCGCCTTTATCTCCGAGCGTTCGTGACGCATTCCCGTCACCTCCGACCACACCCAAGGCTCGAATGTCCTTCGGCAGTCCGCCAACCTCGCCCTCTCCTCTCAATCCCGACTCCACACCCAAGAAGGAATCGACCTCTGAAGCCGACGAGTCCACATCGGCGGCAAAGCCTACGCTCGTGCGTGCATTATCACGCCGGTCCATGGCGCTAGGTATCGGGGCACCTCGTCTATCAAACCTCCTCGCCGGTGCGGCCCCCGCGCCGGACACGAAGACCACGTTTGCGGCTTTCAAGGCACTGCCTGTTGACCCCGCGCGATCGCGCCGTGGAAGCGCATTCAGCGAGCCTGCCGATGAGCTCGCGGGCGCGGCTACGTGCCAAGATGCGGTGGAGCTCATGGTCAACGTGATTCGCGGCGCGTGCGAAGACATAGGAGGCGGACGTTCGATTGAGGGGCGCACGGACGCGTTCGTCAAGGATGCTGACATCGTCGGGTGCGGTCTATTATATGTGCACGACTCGGAGCATTATGCTGATCCCATGCAGGTTGGCGGAAGCGCAGCGTATGACAACGGTGTACGCGAAGATGGAGTATGGATTGAAGCGACTATTGTGGCTCGGCGGATAACAGTCGACCCATACATGCTCATTTCATGACCCTCACGAACTTTCGTCCACTGTATTTCACTCCATCGTAGATTCACGAGATTGCTGTCACATTCAGAGCTTGCGTCGTGATGAGTCGTCCTACGTCTCTGCATTTTCACCGGCCTCTGAAGATGCGTGACCGCAATGAACACGTTCATCAATCACCACCTCGGCAATCCGTCGTACACTCTCCAGATCGAGTGACCGCAATTTCGTCGGCTCATTCCCCTCCCCCTCCTTCGACACGATGTGGCACAGATGGCCTTGCAACACGAGGCGCTGGATGGCACGACCTTCGGTCGCACGGCCTACGAGCATGGCGACAAACTCGGCCCACCAGGATTCGTCAACATGTTTGATCCCAACTTCGTCCCCATAAAATATTATATCGTGCGATGCAGGGTACCCGGTCACCCGGGAAACATGAAGATAGATGGTCTGCAACGCAGGAAATACGATCTCGGTTGAGGGTCCTCCGCCGTGCATGAGATCAGGGAGTCCGCCTGCAGCTGGTCCAAGATGAAGTTCGGTGACTAATCGGAATTGTCGCAGGGGGGCGCTCAGCCTCTCGCGGTCACCGGCTGGTGAATAACGTGTGGGCCTGAACATATCTTCACGTCTCGAGATGCCTCCCATGATGTAGATTGCGCGGACGCTGGAGGAGAAAAGCCTCGCTAGAGCGGCAAGAAACTCGGTCACACTGCGACTCGAGTCTTGCCAGTCCAATCTGGGGCGTGATTCAAAGATCACATAGCGAGAGGGGTGGTCTTCCTTCGTAGGATCCCATGAATCACTGAGTAGCACACGTACAAGAGCGAGCAGTCCCGCTACGGGTGCTATCTCTATGGGCAATGTGAGGGCGGCGGGGGCGGCGAAGTTAGGTGGCAACCGCGAGCGGAAGCAAGCGAGAGAGCCATATATATCGTCTTCCCCACTAGTCTTCTCAATCTGTATACGTGGAGGGAAGGTTGAATTCCAGCTAGCTGGGTCAAGCACGGGGAATGAGATGCACCGTGCCAGCGTGCGAAGGACGTGATATTGGCCACCGATGCCGAAAGACGCCAGTTTGGGCAATGATACTGGCTCAAGGGATTCCCGAGCGGGATCCAGTGCGCAGTCCGTGACCTGCAGCGATCTCAATCGTGGCATAGTTCTCAAAAGATCCACAAGCACTTCCGTATTTAGAGAGCGGCAATTTGCGAGGTGGAGGTGTTGAAGGGACGGGGCCGTGAACGGTATATACGTTCCATGAAGGTCGAGGCGCGTCAGATTTGGGGCCTTTATCGTGTTTAGGGGCTTGACAAAGCTACGCTTGTTGCCACCAAGATATATGCCACAAGCGTTGAGCAGATCATGATGGGACAGAGCGTCAACAAGTTGTGATGCCGCCTTTCGGGACTTGACTTCTGTCGCCTCAGAATGGCTATAAAAGGCCCCAGAGATGAACATTGCTCGTGGGACCATCTGATTCAAATTCCGCATGATCTGATCATGACAACTGCCGTCCAAATCGATATGCAAGTGTAGGCGTGCGGTTTGCGAACGGGCCAGGAAAACGTCGAAGGCCCTGGGGAAAACGTCGAAATCACGAGCCCAAAGGGTAGGGGTATTCAGACCAACGTCCCTCAAGTAGTGCCCAACTTGCGTAAGACGTATCCAGCCTAGATCAGAGCGGACTATAGGAGGATTGTCATTAGAACGCTCGAAAGACGGCCGGTCAAGTTCGACCAAAGCGTAGTAAACCTCGATGACGACATCGACCGGAAGGCTCGTAAGCGATATTGGTGCCATAGAAGTTTTAGTCGCGCCAATTGGTAAGAATGGACATGGACCAGGACAAGTGGTAGGCCCGTAGTCGGCTATCTCTCATCCAACGGTGATCGTGGTCAAGCGGCAACGGCGTCGACCTTGAATTTTAGTCTGAACCTCGCAAAGCGAACAAATCCCACGACTTTGATGCTCGTTACCCTTGCCCGCGTCGACTTCGACATTTACGTCTACTTCATACGCTGTCATCATCTCGGCAGTAGATACGTGCTGAGTTTTCACAGGAACATCCGATTGGCCATTGATGCCCATCGCAATACGGTCATACACTCGAGAACGAATCGTCGCAGTTGTGCATACAGTTACAGTCTGGCTTGCCTTGTACTTCCTAACTTAATCACGATCTTCCCGAATTGTGTTCCTTTCTTCATTATGTCGAAACCATCCTCAGCAGCACCTATCCCTTCAAGCACGTGAGACACGACTGGAACAATCCGGTGCGTTTCCATGAACGCCGTCGCGTCAAGGAGATCTTGGTGCGAGCCCATCATCGAGCCTACGTCGCCAGGTTAGGGCCAATTGCGTTCCATAATGTATAGTAGAAGAACATACCAAGTAACTGTATGTTACGCATCACATCGGGCATCCTGAACGTGATCTTCGGGACAGCGGTCATGCCGTAGCATACCACCTTCCCACCTGGTTTCAGTAGCCTCAAAGTTTGCCCCATGATATCACCCCCAGCAGAATCGATGACCGAATTTAAGAACGTCTTCCCGTCTCGTTTGAGTAACTGGGCTAACTGTTGAGGCCAGTCACCTAGAACACCAAAATGAGATGATCTGGTCGATACAGCCGCATGAAACAGACTCGGTGGCCTACCATCCTTGTATTTCACACCTCCTTTGGCACCAAGTGCAACCGCTTTCTCTATCTTCTCGTCTGTCCCGCTAGTGACATACGCGTTGGCGCCTTTCGCTACGCAAAGTTGCAAGGCGAGCAATGCCACACCGCCGCCTACGCCGGTGATCAGGACATTATGCCCTTTCTCAACACGCGCAAGAACCATCACGGCTCTATATAGATGTGAAAAGAGCGGCCGAAGGCAAAAGTCTGCAACAGCTTACCTCCAAGCGGTCAAACCACCAAGTGGCCAGGCTGCGGCCTGGACGTCATCAAGATGCCCAGGTGTTGGGATGACCTGGTCGCGTTCCACCACCACATATTCTGAGAACGTGCCGATAGGTGGGAGGTTTCCACCGCCCACGATGCCGAAGCTACCAGCCTATTGAGGCGCATTTTGGACCATCATATCATCTCGCAGACATACCGAGATTCTGGTGCCACAGGATCATTCTCCCAACCCCGAGCAGGTGTAAGAAAAACACGCTTATTCAAGAGTGGATCACCATCATCGTATGCCCCTACTACTACTCCTGTGTTAATGTCAGCACGGGGAATTGGCCAGCATTAGTAAGTAGAAGCGTACCTGCGCCGTCTGCACCAAAAGTTGCGCCCAATACGATACCCGGGTATAGGTTCATGCGTTGCCAGAGCTATTCAACCGCAATATCAGTGTGCATCCGATGATAAGCACGTAGGGGTGCGTGCTCACTTCTCTATGGTTGAAACCTGCGGCGTTGATCTTGACGAGTACTTCCTCCCGCTTCAGAGGTGGTATATCTTGCTCCACGACGACAGCATCGTGATACGTGCGCTCGCCCGGATCCTCAGCTTCACGAATGACAAGCGCGCGGGTCTTCGTTGGCAGAGGCATGGATAGGTAGCAGCGTATGTGTAGGTCTCGTGGTGGTCAATACGCAACTCGTCGCGCGGCGTTCACGTCTACCCCACAATCCGGAGGCCGGCATGACAATTACCGGACCGGCTTTGGTATGTACAAGGAGCACAGATTAGACCTTAGACCTTAAATCCTTAGACCCGGCCTCAGGACCTGCTTGGGTCATTGGTCGTTCGTCAGTTCGGGATACCGAACAATGGTGGTCGGGTCGAAGTCCGAGTCCACAAGACCGCGTGTTACCGACTGAACGCGATCAGGTGATGCTCCAGGTGAAGTAGACGCGCTTGTCTTCTCCGGCCATCTACCGTCGAATGGGTCGCTCACTACGTGCTCGGACAAATGTCACAAACTATGCAGCTCTACTAGACGTTGGAGATGATCACGACGACGCCCATTCTGGGCCCTCAAAACCGCCTCCTGATGACGACCCCGGAAGTGATTTTGCACCTGGCGGCGACGCGCCCTCGGATGCCGAACACGAAGAAGACTACACAGAGATGAAGCTCGCGTCAAGCCTCTCGAGTCCTATACCATCTACCAAGACGAAAGCGAAGGGGAAAGCGAAGGCTGAGAAAACACCGAAGGAGGCGCTTCCCGCTGATCCGGGACCCTTCGAGCGCCCGTTTAATAGGCAAATGTACACTCTTCCCCAGCCGAGTGTCAATCACAGACACAAAGCCGTCCCCGTATTTCGTCACGCTGCACCTATAGAGCGTCTCACATGTGCACCCCGACTATTTGGCGAAAATACTACTGTTCCGACGAACGCGTATACCTCGTCCCAACCTGTCACTGAGAGACTGAATCGCGCTCTTGGCTACAATATATCCGCTGGGCCGCTTTGGGAACTGATAGAGGATCGAGGCTGGTTTAAAGAGGGCAATTGGGCGAATGATCATCCAGGCACAGAGGCTAGCCGGCGACCAAGAGTGTATACCGGGATCACCATCTATGCTCAGTGGTCAACTTTGGCGGCGAGGTAAGCCTCCCCATCGCCGGACGATCTGGTCCTCAAGATATCCATATAGCCAGGCCATCCCATATCTGTCTACAGAGCCCTCGGAGGACAACGGTGTATCCAATACCTCACCTGTGACGTGCGATTTCGGCCCTTTCGATGAGCAAGAGTCCGTGACTCTTGAACCCCTCGAAACTGTCCATATGTGTGCGTGCAGCTGTGACTTATCCTTTGTACATGAACTCATCTCGTATAGCTCGCTTTTTTTCTTCGAGCAAGTCGCATGTGTTCAACGCAGGTGCACCCATCTGGGCTCTGGACTGGTGCCCCATATTCGCACAAGACAGATCAGGTCGGGGCCCTCATTCTGAAACAATGCCTTCGGGCTGAGGGTACATGTAGCGTTTTTTTACAGGCAATATCTTGCAGTCGCACCGCTGCGATCCACATCACACTCACCCGTCGTCGGAGTACAAGTCGACCGCCCAGCGACGGCGTGCATACAAGTGTGGACCCTGGGAGCCTCTGCGTCTAGCACTGCAAGTGGCGACGCCGGGGCTCTTTCCTGCGCCTTGATCCTTGGAATCGATAGTGGGGCAGCTCTCGATCTCAAGTGGTGCCCACTTCCATCTCATGACGTCGTACGTACTTGATGATCCCCACACAAATTTCGTGTCTGACTCTTGAGTATACAGCAAGACACTCCATCCTCGTCACTCAGGAGGTTGGGACTTCTCGCTGGAACCTTCGAAGATGGGACACTGTCCATCTACTCGGTACCTCATCCCGATGATGTTCAACGTGACGATTCGAAGCAACCTGCTTATGGTCAGTCCTACTCTTATTGTGGACTGCACCTTCTGAGGTCTGCATTGTCCAGTTCACCTTGGGGAGCCCGCCATCCGCATCGAGATCGAAGGTACCTCGTGCTGGAGCGTCGACTGGGCCAATAGCGAAGTCGTTGCTGTAGGCTGCACCAACGGTAAGCAGGCTATCATCCAGCGAAAACTTTGCCTGAAAGAGCTCAGGTGCCATCGCGGTGTACCATATCGCCGACGCGCTGAGATCAGGAAACCCAGTTTATGGTGCGTGATCTCGCTACCTCCTTTACATATGCCACGAGACTTATTGTGAAGAAGACCTGATCCCGTCACACTATCAGTACGTGCACCAGTCGGGCGTACGTGCCGTGTCATGGATCCGTGCTCCCCCAGCTTCGTCTTCCGGTGACTTCCGCACAGACTTGGACCCAACAGTGATCGCGAGCGGCGGGCACGACGGCACTGAATGCCTTTGGGATATCCGGGATCCGAGTGCTAATGTCATGAACCGAACTAGAGGTACGCCTCATCTTATACATACTGTGTGCCATTGACCAACCATCACGTTTAGATGTGATTCCATGTATGCCTTGGAGCCCTTATGCGGGGGGTCCCATCACAATCGATCATGAGAACGCTGTGAAGGCATACTCCGTATCCCCCAGCATGATGGGTCGCGGACATCTACTGCTGGAACCCGCCGGGCCTGTATGGGTAAGCTCAAGATCGTATCTTGCCAGGCTCCCCTGCTCATACGCATGATAGTCCGCTTCGGCCTCTGAGTATCACCCGCAACTTGCAGTCGGGTCCGCAGATGGGTCGTGTATCATCGCGAATATGCTCCGCTCATCACGGCGCGGCGGCATGGTCCCTTTCTTTCAGCACCGACTCTTCCAGCTGGACTACTCGCGCACAGATGGACGTCTTCGCATGCTCGACCAGCTCCTCCCCGGCGAGACGCCTGATCGCGCAAACCCAGCGCAGCGCGCTGTGCGTGCTCGTATACCTGCCGCACCTCCTCCTAGTGGTACAGGAGCATGGCCGTCAAACATCGCCGTAACGCGTGTCGCCTGGGGTGCCGGTAGCCTTGCGGCTGCGCCGTTGCTCGCGAGTGCTACCGCTTCGGGGCTGTGCCGCATTGACTGGTTGGAAGGCCGGTGGTTGCGCGATCGTGTCCCATATGGCGGCGTCGAGGGCATTCGTCTTGAGAGCGGTGGTCCCATAGATGTCGAGGACGAAGAGGAGTCGGATTGACATGTGGCCGCCAGCTGCGCTGGTGCCACAGCTCTCGTTCTTTAGCATCTCGACAATTGAGCGTGACTGTTTTGAATATAGTTCGGTGCCCACCTCGCAAGATAGCGTGCGGCCCTTTCCACCGGATTGTTCATACAGAACAGAACATTGGCGTCGCATCGTATATGCAAAGAAATAAACAGAGTTTGAACAGGAGTACTTATGACATTACTACCGGTATAGCGACGTTATGAAAGCAGCGAGAATAGCAAAGATAGCATGACGACAATATATAGATACCACTGTCACTGAGGGCACAGTCATGACGCGACATCGTGCTTGATCTTTTCTAGGAGTGCCGACATTCGCAGACGCATGTCGGGTTGACCCCCGCGGGCTCCTGACCCTTCGCCTCGTCCTCCACGCCCCGAATGGTTCCCTCGCCCACTATTGCCTCTCCCCCACCCAACCGATCCACGTCCTGCCCCTCGGACGTAGCCACGAGGACCCCGTTCACCCTTGGTGCCCCGTCCAGACTTATGGTGATGCAGGCTATCCCGCGAATATGCGCGCCGTTGCAATTCACGATACGATAGTTCTTCCTCTTCAGGCGCCACATCCTTTCCCCTTCTCCTCTTCGATTTGGTTGGCACAGGAGTGGGTTTGGGATCGGATTCCTCCGCAGAACTGACTTCCTGGTCTGGAGAATGCCGTTCTTCATCTTCATTCACATCCTCCGTCCTCTGTGTCACATCTACGCCCTTTGCCTCTACCTCCTCCCCATCCTTGGCCGTAGATGCAGACTTGCGAGAGTCCCTAAGTGTTACGATACCCTCCCGCTTTTTCTGCGCTTTCCATTTACTTTGGATCTTCTGTTTTTCAACCCATTCCTTTTTGAGCTTCTTCGCTAGATTTTCCGCATTAGTCCATCTGTTGCAGGAGTGCATATCAATACGCAGAGCGCACCTCGATGCTCGGGAAGATGCTGGAACGTCGGGGGTTTCTTCAGTTTCTTTTGGCCGTCGTGAGAAGCGGGGGCCATGATTCGAGCGTAACGAGGAGCGTAATGGTCAGAGTCAAGAGTCAAGTTCGTGCGAAAAAGCCGAGAGAGATCTATCTGTCCTTGTCTTCCGTTCCGCGACCCTACACCCGACCACCACCTTACCCCGTCCCCACCTCCTCCGTCCAGTCGTCACCGTTACATGAGCGTACAGAACTTGAACACTTTCGGTGCGCTTCACATCAAAATCTGTCTGTGGGCCCCAGGCTGACCGAACCACCCACTTTCAGATCCGTTCGCCGACGAGGCGGATCCTCTCGCGAACAACCAGGACGTCGGCGCGCAGACGAACTACATCCATATCCGTATCCAGCAACGGAACGGTCGTAAGACGCTCACGACGCTCCAGGGCTTGCCGCGGGGTAAGTGCAGCTCAATGGCGTAGTATCCGCCCGTTTAACACAATTTGTGCAGAGTACGATGCCAAGAAACTCCTCAAGGCCTTCAAGAAGGTATGTTCATATATCAAACTCAACTGATACATCTCACTGACGTTGCCGTAGGAGTTCGCATGCAACGGCACGCTTGTCGACGACGAGGAGATGGGTCAGGTCATCCAGCTTCAGGGCGACCAGCGCACGAAGATCTCCACTTTCCTTACCGATGAAGGCATCCCGCGCAACACTATCAAGCTGCACGGTTTCTGAGCAGCTCGCCCCGTCTTTACCATGACTCCCATTAGCGCTTTCTCTACCCCGTCTGCATTGCTTTCGTCGTGTATTTCCGCTTATACGCGCCAAAGTCCGGCGCCTGTAACATTTACTCCCTGTGAATGTATCGATTGTTTCTCTAGACGGAGGTTTGTTACCATATAAGACCCTCAGGATGTATGCTGTACAGTACGAGGGTGGGCGATCAGCGCTTAGCAACTACGTTCCTTTCGAATTGATCAATTACGTCGATGTCGGTTAGCTTACACCTTACACCAAGGACATCGCCGGCAATAAGGTGTCATGCGCGCTGCTACGGCCCGTGGATCCCATAATGGGTTTCATTGACCAGCGTAATTGGATTCAGATTTGGTACAGTAGGAAGGATGCGTCACCGGCGCGGCGACACCAACACCTCATCGCCACTTTGCTGTTGTCCTTGCCGCCACGGATTATCCACCCTTGCCGGACGGGCCGCTGTAGCGCCTTCCCCATCTTCGCTAGCCTCCTCATCAATATAGTATGTTGGCGCAGGAGCATACCCGTGAGTCGGGAGCAACGGCGGTTCTTGTGTGTCTTCTGTGCGAGGAGCGAAAGGCCGATGCGAATCCACTGAAGCGAGTGAAGGATAGTACTGTCGGTAGCAAAAGTAGGAGACGAGCAAGCCCAACGTCGAGCCAACCAGAACGTCCTGCCAGTGGTCTATAACAACGCAACGTCAGTATGGCCCAAGGCCAACTCAGGATGCTTAATACTGACGTCGGTTATCCATTGTGCGGGATATGGCTACCAGGGCAGCAGCTGAAAGAGGTGCGAGCGCCAGCCAGGCCTTGGGCTGGGAACAAACTGAGCAACATGTACATAGCAAGTCAAGGGGCTAAAGGAACATACAGCATGACCTCGCTGATCGAAGAGATGAAGCTTTCCCATGAGATAAAAGGTCAGAAAGCCCAGTCCGGCAAATGATACTGGAGTAACAGGAAATCAGTCAAGTGTCTTGCCTCTCAAACGACAAGATACCCACAACTGGAATGCCCACTAGGAAAACTGCGGAAGCCATCTTCGAAGAGGTGCCAATTCGATTGGTTGCATATACTCGCGTTGGAAAGTTTATGCGGAGGATCAGTGGCGTCTGACGGTATATTGCAGCGGTCCAGTATATCTGAGCTTTGTCAGTATCGCTCTCACTACGCTGCATACCACTACTCACCAGGTCGAGGCCTTCCAACGGTAAGCTTCACGAACTGCGTTATGGCGCCAGTGATGCCCAAGGAAAGGATAGCTAGTCGGGATTGAGTGAGATTGGTATACCCAGATAGCTCATGAAAACTCACTTCCGAGTGCACTACTGTGTGCATCCCACCAATAGCGAACAGTGAAGTAGTTGATGGTCCATGAGAGAACGAGAGGGGACACGAATGCGATGAAGTATAGCGCCCAGTTCTGCAGGCGCGCTCTCAGTACCACCAGTTGAAGTCAATCGCAAAAGGACGTACAGGCACACGCTCTTGTACAGCGAAGCTACGATCGGACCATGTCAGGACGGCCGGACACACTTCGATCAAACTCACGTGTAGCGTAGACTGGTATATATGTCAGAGGTGTTCATGATTATCATGAGTATAATCACTCACGAAGGGTCGTCCACTGAGAACTCTCGTTTGTGTCCGGATACGATATTCAACGCGAAGAATGCCGAACTATTCAGGGTAGTCAGCTTCGCTGACCCAGTTCGGCATATGTCGTACTTGCGCTAGTAGTATGGTCAGAGCCCTGTACGTGACGCAGTGTCAGCTCTCATATTTGGGGGTTAAGCGCAGCAAGCTCACCAGTCCTTGGAGTATGATGCGATGATCTCGCGTCGTTGTGAGCCACTACCAGAGCGCATGCGGCTGGAGAGGCGCATGGTATCGGAGAAAACGGTGTGCAACGAGAACGAGTCTTGTGCGTTCGAATTATTCATACGCAGCTCGCTTTAAGAGTCACAGACTAGTGTCATGTGTATCCTGAGTGCAGCGAATAGGATGCACAGGTGAGCGCAGGAGCAGAGGAGCGCCGTTAGGGGCTTTCGGAGTGGACGGAACGCATGTGCGCGTCGTGTGACCGCGCGCGTCGCGGTTCGTGTCGCGCATCGACGCGTTCTTCGGGTTGCCTCTCGCCACAACGCGCTTCAGTCGAGACACTGCCAAATGAATGACTTTGAATGGTTAGACGGTGCGCTAACATCCGATTGTGGATGACGCCTCTAACTGAGATCATGTCTAGAATATGATACGTTACTCGAGAAGATCGCGGAGACAGATGTGGTCGAGTAAGCGCAGACTTGCATGGGGAGTAAATGTATCTAAACATTTCTCTTAGGACCGAATGGCCGAAACTCAAGAATATCGTAAGACATAAAGTGGAGAAGGTATGGATATATAGCATGCCTACTAGCGCGTAACTAATTGCCGCAGAACATGGAAGCATACCTCGCAGATACGGAAGAGCTGCGCAAGGCCTACATAGTCCCGATGTCCTTTGCCAATGGTGGTATGCAGCCCAATGGAGGCCTTCGATTGCCGCCATTCCAGACGACACGTCGGGATGAGCCTGGGCCTATAGACCCACCAACGCACTTCCTCACCGCCGAGGAGGTAGCTTCAACGCGGAGCATGCTCTTCGAGCAGCTCGACACCTTTGATGGGTGAGTTACTCTCGATAAACACGCATACTGCACTACCGACATCCACCTAGAACTCCATTCACAATGCAGCGTATCGCTGAGCTCTGTCTGCGTCCACGCGCCAACTACTCTGCGCCGGGAAAATACCTACGTGCATTAGAGCGAGTCTTCTTCGTGACGTCCGCGCACTCTTCTTTCCCCCCATTGCCACCTGGCCCACCAACGGGGACAACTTCTCTTGGACCTATAGCGTTCAACAACGACTCGACACCCAGTACGCCTCTGTTCTCGCCGATCCCATTCTTACATCGCCCAACGAGTGCGCCACCATCACCGCTTGTACTCGGCGGCGATCCTGGATCCTCCGGCGCCATCCCACCTATCGATGTCGGCACGCCCGCCCTCGGACTCGTAGATGAGATGGACGATCCTGGCCCTGGACACTTAAGCGACCGACCAACAGCGTTGACCTCAACGACGAGTGTTTCTGACGAACCGGGACCAATGAGTCTTGAATCGCGCTTCGTTCGAGGGTCGGATGAGCTTGGAGAATCCGAGGGAGAGCCAGCGGCCAAGAAACCGCGCACGGGTGGCGAGCCGGAGACTCCTGAACCGGCAACAGATGCTGGGGCATCTGAAGAGCAGGATGGCGACAAGGAGAACAAGACCTGAACATCAGTTAGCAGTCACGAGGGCGCGGTGTCTGTCTATCGGGCAACCTGCTCAAAGAAATTTGTAGCTTCCCATGCTTGTTATCACTATTCCCCTTCAAGCACCGGGGATAATTGCTTCAACGGTTGAGCCAACACCGACCCTTCCTGTCACCCCTGCGCGCGAGTACTGCGGTTGTACTTTATAGCGCCGACGCGTGTTCAGAACGGAGTTCGCAGCGGCTTACCCGAATTCTTTTGATACAGCTGGAAGGGTCGCTGCGTTCACATGCCTGCATCGCTCTGCAGTACCTCCAATGATAATCCGACGAGTAATCTTATGCATATGCACTGAAGACGCCGATATTGTATCTCTAATGCCGTCTGTTCAATCCCATGCGCTCATGAGAACGTATAAACGTGTATGCCTCTCGGTTGGGGCTGTGGCGCGATCGTCAACCAGAGCGCGGCTGAGTCTTGTATTCTATCAGAAGTTGTGTATCTGACTGACTGGAATAGTCCTAGGGGTTACCCAAAAGACGGTGTATGAACGGGAAGAGGAGGAACTCAATCTCGACGCTACCCGTCGTCTAAGTTACTTGGGCTCTAGTTGACGTGTATGTGGAGCTAACCGGTCCGAAGACTTCGTGAATTGGGTGCAGTTGCATCTTGACAAAAGTGGAGTCGCTGAGCAAGCTCATTGTTCAACAGAGTCGTATTGTTATTCAATACAGAGGACACTGAGCACGTCCCCCGACCCTGTCGTGAGCCTAGAAACATGTTCTCAGATTGATCCTGTACTGACTGTTGCCCGGCAGCCTGAAGAACGTGTCCGGAGCGCGTGCTGAAGGCACATCATCAGCGCTAGACGGAGCATATGACAGTACTGGCGATCGAACCAACTGAATAGGTGGAGGTGTTCTCGGGTTTCGGGGTACTTCGTCTACGGTTGACAAAGTCTCCATGACACGAACGCCGCCAGCCCTGCGCAGGGACAAATTTCGACCCTCAGATACCAGATTCTGAATGTACTGTATATGCGTAGACGCTGCGTGGTGCCCATATAACGGTCAGGCCCATGTACTCCGGATGCCAGCGTCTGCCACTGCACAGAAGACCTTTAGATTCAGCAATGCCACAAGTCAGTGCTTCAATTAAAGCCAAGCTTCGCGTTGCCATCATGTACGTCGTCGACTGTCCTTTCATCTTCGAAGGATTACATCTGACAGTCGTCCTCACAGCGGCGCAGGTCCGGGTGGTCTGACGCTCGCAGTGGCACTCTCGAAGTTTAGCGACTCTCAATGCCCGGTCATAGTCGATTTATACGAGTCTCAACCACACATTGGGACCATCGGGGCTGGGCTCAGCGTTTGGCCGCGTACACGAACTCCGCTCACTGAGCTTGGGCTCATGCAACATCTGCAAGGGGAGCTCAATGCCGAAGCCGAAGAGGGGAGAGGTAACGGCTCTCAGTCCATGCTTCAGTGAACAGCACTGATTATGTCACAGCGCTGTTGTTCAGGAAGTCAGATGAAGCGCAAGGTTATCCTGTATTCCAGATGCAAGCAGACTGTCAGTCCTCAAGATGTGTCTCGATGGCCTCGCATCCCTACTGAAAGCATGACTAGGCAAGCCGCTGCTCGTCCATCGCTCGACGTTCATCCATGCCATCAAGAAAGAGCTACCCTCCGCGCCGCTCTGTGCCTTTCACCCAAGCAAACGGCTGTCTTCGCTCACCCAGAACGACGAGGACGGCGTTGTGAAGATGTACTTTGCCGACGGCAGCACCGCTGTTGCTGATGTCGTCATTGGTGCGGACGGGGTACGGTCTGCCGTGCGCACCAGCATGCTCTCCGAGGATGAGCGCGTTGAACCGAAATGGTCGGGGGTCATCGCGTATCGAGCATCTATAACGCGGGACATGCTAGTGGCCCATGGCATGAGAACACGTCAAGCTGAGCCTCATATGGTAGGTTGAATTGCCAATTCTTACTCGGAGATAACTGAACTGTCTCTCCTAGCACTGTGGTAAGGGAAGGCACATTGTGACTTACCCCATCTCTCGTGGCGAAAGTGTCAGCCTGGTCGCGTTCGTGACACGAGCGAACTATGGCAACTTCGAGGGGAGATGGAACCGCGATGTTCCGGTGGAGGAAGTACGCGAAGCTTTCGCCGGTTGGGAGCCGGAGGTCGAGACTTACATGCAGGTTCGAAGACCATATAATCTGAATACTACACGGTGTTGATGATGATGGCAGTGCATTGAAGAGTGCCAGGCATGGGCACTTCACGTTGTGGGCAATCTTCCACGCTGTGCGTCTGGCCGAGTGGCGATCCTTGGTGATGCGGTATGCACATTCCATGTTGCTAGGAAGGTGAAGCGGGCTTGACCAAGTCTAGATGCATGCGATGGAGACAAATATCGGCGCCGGCGCCGGGCAAGCCATAGAAGATGCATACGTCCTCGCACGTCTCTTGACGCACCCCTCGATATCGCGCTCGACTGTTCCTCAGGCTCTGCAAGCTTATAACGAATCGCGCCTGGAGTTGACGATGGAAGTTGTTCGGCAGACGCACTACGCTGGCAGGCTTTTCGAGTTCAACGAAGGCCCACTTCCTTTTATGCCCACCGACAGTGCATGGCAAGATAGATGGAGCGAGCAGGTGAGTCAGGTCTGGGACTTCCAGATGCGCACCAAAGGGGCAGAAGACTGTTGGAAGGAGGCCGAAGAGTACATGCACGAGAACTTGTCCAAGCTGGAGGAGAGTGACTAGTCCGAGCACGTTCACTAACGCTTGTGTCCGGTGGGGTCTTTGACGCGCAGATGTGTTGTTTTACGATGTCAGATTCTGATTAACGATTGATCGAGAATGGATTGAATATTGAATCGTCAAAAACGTAGGATATGAGAGGTAATTGCAGGTCATGTCGGAAGCAAGTCGGAAGAACATAGGCCACAGGCCCGTAAACATAGCGAATAAACATGAAAGTCATGAAGAATCAAGAGAAAACGAAGAGAGCCATTCAGGTACTATGCATGTCAATTTCCGTAACGTAGCGAAGAAGCCAGCCAGGGCTAATGGTTTGCAGCGCTGTCCTCGCTCTCATAGGCGCTCAAGAGGTCGTCGTAGCCCTCGTCGTCACCCATCTCTGCCCCGCTCTCGCTGGCGGCGGTAATGGTTCTCGCATCGCTGACCCTTCTCACGCGCGTGGTACTCTCTCCAGAGAGCTTCCGTCCTGGCGCGCTACGGCTGAGCGTCCCGCCCGAGATCTTCCTCGCTCGCCCATCAGACGACAGTTTCCTTACTCGCGGAGGCTCGCCGTCCGCTGAAACCTTCCTACGCCGGGGTGAACGAGGCGACGCCGCATCCTCATCACGATCACCGTTGCTTGGGAAGGCGGTCGCATTCGCGCGTGGAGTCGTAGCGGGTTCAGGGTCGTCCCACTGGGGCAACGCAAGCGTACTTGACGGGCTCTGTGTCCGCATGCGAACAGTGCCATCTTGAGGGCCATCCTTCTCGAGACGCAGATGTGCCGGACGTTTCCCTCGCGAGCGGGGACTGCGCGTTGGACTGGGCGCTTCGAATGTGCCGGCTTCGGAGTCGGATGTATCTCGTGCTACAGGCGGCGGCGTCTTCTTTCGCGCCAGTCGACGCGCTTGCGCAGGCGGTTCCAGGACACGCACATCGTTCGGTGCTTGGGCGCGTAGCACGACCGTGTCGTCATCGCGCACAGCGGCCTCATCCGAAAGATACGGTAAGCTCGGTGGTGTGGGTGGCGGCGGCGAGCTAGCCAGCGTCCCGGGTGAATCGGGCGGAGCGTACCATCCCCGCGAACTACCCCGAGAGAGGGCTGGAGATGGAACAGCGCCCGAGCTCGTCGGCGATATCGGATTTGTGTTCATCGATGCCATCCTAGCGTGCTTTGCCGCGAGTGCCATTGGCGACATGCTTTGACGGTTGAGACGCACAATGCGGCTGCCATTTGCACTTCCACCTGCGTCGCTATCTGCATCTGAGAGACGCGCACGCGAAGTTAAGCCGATCGCGTCGCCAATGGACGATATGCTCTGCATACTGTCTTGCCGCGCGTGCGGCGGCGCAGGAGGTCTAATATCGAACCGATCTCGACTGGGCGCTGGCGAACGTGACGGGGCTCGCGAAGGCGCTCGGGACGGTGTCCGCGACGGAGTTGGTGATGTACCAGTCAAGACGCTCGTGCCTGCACTTAGCAAAAGGGGGCGTGGACCGGACTTTGGGGTAGGGGGAGGCTTAACTGCGGCAGCCGCAGGTAAGAGAGCGCCGAGAGATGCAATCGACTCGCGTATTCCGACGCTGCGTCCGCGCGCATGCAAACTACCGTTGGCACTTCCTCCATCGCTGGCTTCTTCTGACATGACATCCGGAGTAGTTGGCGACGACAGCGGCGAACGTCTGGGCTGCGGCATCCAGCTATCGCGCGGGGGTTTGAAGTAAGCAGGACGAGGTGGAGGGGAGTACACCTCAGATGGATCACGAGCTGGTAAGCTTCCTCGTCGGAATGCATCCAGCGCGGAACGCTCATGCCCCTCCGGAGCGAAAGACTCGCTTCTCCGCCCTTTGGCAGGGACCTGCGGCGGACTCGTAGGTTCGGGCGTTGATGGGGTCGAGCGCGCGTTCCATGCGCTGAATGCTTTGACGCGCCAGTTCGTGCTGACTTTCGCCAATGACGCGGCCGTATCTGAGTCCCTCAACTTCTCCGCATAACTCCATAGTGAGGCGCCCTGAGCAGGCGGAGGCGCGAGAGTGGACGAAGACGCTTGAGGCGATGGCGGTACCATTCTTGGCGAGCCGGGTGGCAACAAAGGACTAGCGGGTGCTGGAGGTGAAGGCGATGGTTCCATTGCGCTCCGATTCGTGATACCCCTCCACAGTGAGTTCGCGATTCCCGAGTTCGCTATGCCAGCGCTCAACCTGGACGCAGCGGGCGCCGCGCGTTTTGATACAGGCTCCGTCATATTCCCCTCATCCTGCGTACTCTCTTCCTCCCCTTCCCCTTCTCCGTCGCTCTCCTCATCATCACTCGCATCGGGAGATGGCGCAGGCGAGTAACTCTGATTGGTGAAACCCCGCCAAACGGTGTCGCGCACGCGAGCCGCGAGTGTTGTCGGTTGCGCTTTCGCCGCACGGGCTTCGGCCTCACGGCGAGAGAAGAGGTCTGCAGCGGTTTGGAGGATGCTCTCGACTCCACCTGCTGCAGTCACCGGGTACATTTGCAGCAGCGCCATGCCTTCGATGAATGCATCATTGAGCTCCCAAGCGCGAGTTGGCGAAGGTGGTGGCTGAAACCCGCCCTCATCACCCCAGAGCCCGGGTGAACGTCGACCGGATTTCCCTAATCTATTCGCAATCATGAGATTGCGACCATATCATGGGAGAATGAGATACATACCGAGAAATTGGACCTCGTGCACGCAAGAGCATCGCCGTGCATACGTCGAGCAGGAAGTCGAGTTTGGGCGATGCATTCCTTGTCGTCTCAGGTCTTGAGAATAGCGCGTCCCACACGCTCAATACCGCGCTGAGCGGCAGCGTATGTGTGAGAAGTGGCGCCAGCCATCGATACGAATAATGCGGCAAGCTCGGGCTCAGACCCTTTGCCTGTAGATCACTCGCAAGTTCCGGGTCCGCCCAAGCGACGCGTTCCCCAAACTTCCCCATCCAAGCCGCCCCGCCCTCTTCATCCTCCAATTCCGCGAAATCGCCTACTACCGCTTCGAATGCCCAGAATGTATCGGCCTCGGCGTGGGCAAGATCAGACGGCTCTATCTCGCGTATCATGACAGCATAGAGCGGCAGGAGCACCGAAGCCAGATGTGGACTGCGCTTTGCAGGGTTGAGCGCGCTATGGACGTAGAGCAGCCGTACGAGCGCTGACGCATGAGTCGGGTGTGCGCCTCCCGTGCTGAAAGCGCGCGAAGTCGAGCTTCCCAAGCCATTGTCGCTGCTCTCCTCGCCTTCCTCGGTTGTCACGGAGATAGAAGGCGGTGCGTCGGCGGTCAACGGTCCACTTTTCGTCGCTTGCATCGCGTTGAGACGCGCATCAAGAATATTGGCAAAGGGGATGCGGCTATCCTCCGGCGCAGAATCATCCAGTGGACACGCGGGCGCTGGGTCCGGCGCGTCTCCGAGTCCTGCGAAGAGCTCGTGAGGGACACGGAAAAGATCCTTCACGGCGCCTGCTAGTGCCGCATCGAGAGGAGCGGGAGGCTCTGTGGGCGGACCAAGTTCGGTAAAGGGTTGAAGAAGGCGCTTGACGAGTTCCTTCAACATAAAGTGAGTTTTGCAGCGCTTGGCTATGAACTGAGAGACGCACATAGTAGTTTGCACGACTTTTGGTAGCCTCCTTTTCCCAAGCAGACTTGAGCACCGGCAGTGTTCCAAGTAGTATGCGCCACGTTCTTGGTCGTAACCAGGACGGATCGGGAGGAATGCCTTGACGTGCGCGTCAATGTCAGATCAAGAAGGGTCATGAATGGAAGTACGAACCATGGGCACATGTCCGCTGCAAACGCGGAAGATCGACCACCGGGGCTGTGTTCACGTCCAGGAGTTCTGATAACGTGCGCAAGCTGTATATTCGTCAAGTGAAGTCAAAGGAAGGGCCTAGATGTGTACGCACACGTCCTCCGAGCGCAGTTCAGGCTCCCATTGCACACCGTGCGTCCTCGCAATGTTCATGAGATACGCGTCAAGCTCCGCTGCGGACGGTGGGGGCGCAGATAGCGCACGAATGACCTGCTTGGATACGCATTGGTCTCGATTCGTAGATGCGGCGTGAAGGAATTCAGGGCCAAGGGAACCCGCAAGTAGGTCTCGTACGGCGGACAAGTCTAGCACAACTTCAGCGTCAGATCGAGATTATATTGTGTAGTAGGTGCACGCACCCTTTGAATCGATATATGGCTGTGCGTAAATGACGCTGGACGCCGCTTCGACGACCGCAGGACTCGGGCTCCGACTAAACGCATATGAGCATAGCACATAATATACTACGCAGCGACGTACCTGTCGATCTCCAGCAACCTCTCGCTCAATACTCCAAGCAGGTTCTCCAAATGTTCGAGCATGTCGGCCATAATCTCATCTTGAATGAGCTTCTGTGCTTTAGCGCGCGCAAGCAGTACAGAGCGCTGTGCGAGGAGTGTGGAAATATCCTTCGCGACGACCTGTCCCTGTGCGTCGGTGCGGTCGCGCATCTGTGCCAGACGCTGCGCCGCGAGCCGAAGCAGGCCCTGCTCCTTGTTAGGCGCCTGTCTGAACATGACGAGCGCGAGAGAAGACGTACCTTGGCCCGCGGTGCGTCTAAACTCGACATGTTTACGGTACGGGTCCCCCGACGGTTTCCTATCGCCGCCTCAGCTGCGGAACGCTCGTTCGGTTGGAACCCTCTTTAGCACACGCAGATGGGCGTCCAAAAGCAGTGCACAATATATTCTTAGCGGTGACCGCGACCCGCAAGCCACGCTTGCCCTTCTTTTGAACCAGATCAAGTTCTCACAGTGAACGTTGCCGTTCATCTGGCTACGCGAGGCTACGGAGATTTGATCCATTGACATGCGGGATGCTAAGTGAGTATGCTACATGTATGCAAACGATGAACGGGACAATGTGTATGTGTGTAAGAGGGCGTGAGCAGGTCCGTGAGCGGTAGTATGTATAGTCCGTAGATGAAGAGTGCCCCCGGCCACAGTCAATGTGGCACGCACAGTCCGGGATCGTCATTATTATTGTGGCCCAAGAATAGAGTTTCGCATTCTTCATGCCTCGCCACTATGCTCACAGAGCGATATCCGGTTGCTTTGTCAGCCGCTTGCCCCTGCCGGACTCCAGGTCGGTAGCGAGCAACTGAGCACTGGGCCGCCTGCTGGACACGCCACTTCCGCTTCCCGAAATTGTGCTCGTCGGCGAACGGGACGAGATCGAGTTAGAGTGAGAATGCAACCCGGGCTTCGCAGCAGGGATAGACCATCCCCATGTAGCGAATTGGTTCGCCGGGCTCGCACCAGTCGAGCCGGCGCTGATGGACGAACTTGCGCGATGTCCGCGGTTGGGGAGCGACCCGAATTGGCGCCCAGGGAGAGCATTCTCCGCGCTGAGAAGTTGAAGGTTCGAACTGGGCAGGCTTCCCTTGCGTGCCGCGATACCACCGGCGCTCTGACGCTTCTGCGCGGCAAGCTCTGCGCCGGTCTTGACTCGGTCACCGTCGTGCAACGCAAGAGGCGAAGGCATCGTTTGTCTCCTGACACGCGAAGTGGGCGGCTGACTACGCGGACGAACGGGCTTCTGTTGGGTGCGCGCTGTCGGAGGCTGGCTTTGCGGGCGCTTCGCCCTTGGAATGGAAGTCGTTGAAGATGAACGGCCGCGGGACGCGAATGGGCTGGGCCGGGGTGCAAAGGGCGAGCGACGGTCGTCGTAAGCAGTAGCACTTGCGGTCGCTGTCTGTTCCACTGAGGGTAGGGTGCGATTCACTGGTGGCGGAGGGATCGTGATAGTCAAAGAAGGCTTCGTAGGCGATGTGGCGCTGTATGGTCTCCAAGGCTGATAGGACTCGACTTTGCGCGCGCGGTCATTGAATGTCGAGATGGTTTCACGCTTTTCCTTGCTGCCGAAGTCCGAGGAGACGACGGTCTCATCATCCGAGTCCCGGTCGGTCTCGGCCGCCAAGAAGTTGCGGTTGCGGTGCGCGTACCAGGCAAGGATGGCACCGTAGATGGAGAGCAGAACGGGTATGACCCAACTTGCCATGAGAACAAGCACGTTGAAGATCTCGCAGACACCGGCTCCGTCCATAGACTTGTCGGTACAGGTGATTCCGTCGAACTGCGAAGCGAAAACGCCTGCGACGGCGTAATGGAAGATGACGAGTGATAAGAGGCGAGCCGCGTCGAGCCATGGGCGGAAGCGGACGAGTAGAAGAATGGGGAGTGCGAAGACGGTCATTAGGTCCAGAACGAGGAATGCGACGATGAATGCACCTGCGACCGTACGTTCAGTGAGTTACTTCCTGGCAAGAATAGAATAGAGAACGCACGGTCAGTCTTACTGGAGACAGTCCAGCGCAATGAGAGAAGAACGATGAGAAGTGCTGAGAGCACAAAGGCGAGGAATGCGATGCCGCCTGCAGGCGGTGGTCAGCGAACGATCAACTCAAAAGCATTCAAGGACGTACAGAATGCGATGGCCCGAGCCTTCATGAATGAACGAGATTGCTGCATAGCTGTTGACAGGATTATGTTTCGAGATTGATTAGGCTACAAGTCAGAACTGCGTGAAGCCAACCAGTGGCAAGGAAAGGGTGCAGTCGAGTGAAGGACAGGCAGACAGTCGTGGAGAGGTCGTCAAACAGTCCGAACCGCAAGCGGACACGGTGGTTCGAAAGAAAGCGATGTATTTCGAACCCGCGACTATATACATTCGAACAACGTGGACGGACGCGTAAAGTAAAAGCGTGTGGATGACCCGCAAGGAGAACAAGCGCCCCTCGACGCTATTGTCCAACTTGCGCTTTGTCCATGAGGTACACAGGCGCCGAGTTCGGCATATCCCGATTAACTCCCACGGTCGTCCTATGGACTGTCCCGATATTAAATTGGGTCAAAGCTGGTGGATATGATCACTTATGACAGCAGGATAGGTTTCTGAAGTAATGATTCACGTAAGAAACGTAGGAGGGCGTGCTTGCGTTGTCGAACGACTGGGAGTAGTCACTTGCTGTCGTTGCCAAACCCACTGGCAGCAGCAAGCAAGCAGCAAGCGCGCGTTAACTCGTCGCGTACCACAAACACCGCTTTGGAGGCGAGCATTGATTGAATTTAGGCGTTCTCAGTCCCAATTGATTTGTCATACGAATTCTGGGGTATAATCCATCATTAGCGCTAAGCTGCGCGTGGTGTAGAGATAATAGTCGGATACGCTCTAGTATGAGGGCGAGCGAATAATTTATGAACAAGATGCATCCAAGAAATGATGTGGATACGCGTAGAACGGTCCATAAGTGGCCAAGAACGCGAATAGTAGACGTGAATGAGTGCGGAATGTGCCATGAAGAAGGGTCACCGGGGTACCGGAGTGTGGATATCTCACATAAAGACGCTCTAGCGAAGGCTGGAAGGCGATCAAGATGATGACTTGTTGCTGCCAGGCTTCACCTGTAATATGGGTGAGACATCGTCGAATAGTCGAAGGGATAAGCGAGGGACGGACCTCGATGACAACCACAACCACGATGATGATGATGATCACGACCGCGATACCGAAGCAGATCCAGCGCTTTTTGCGTGCAGCACGAGCAGACACAACGGCCTTCTCGGTGTATCCCAAGCTGAACACACGTCCGTGAGTCATAGATCCTTGATACATTCAGGGTAGACGTACCCTGTCTCAACATCCGTCTCGACATTGGCTGCAGTCTGTTCGATAACATTGATCGTCTCGTCTTGTTGTTCGACAAGTATACTCATCTGGGAGTCAAATCGCGTTAGTCAAGAGGCCGTGACCCAGTTGAGAAGCGACCCACGTCGTTGAACAGCTGTGCGAGTTCTGCAATTGTCCTCTCGATACGCTTGATGTCTTCGTGACGCTCTTGAACCTCGCGATAAGCCGAGCGCGCTTCGCCATAACGGTTGGAGTTCATGAGCTAGATCAGCTCATGTCAGCCACCAGATACATGTATATCAGCAAAGAGTCCTACATACCGCTTGAGAGAATATCTGCCCGCCATTTTCGTCGTTTACGACGGCTTTAACTTCCTCCGGTGTTGCATTCGGGTTGACAATCTTGTATTGACGCTCAAGACGCTGCTTGTAGCGTTGGCGGTACTGCTGTTCCACCTGCTGGTAGTTTTGGATTGCCTCGACGAACTTGCTCTTCACAAGCGCGGTCTGCCACTGTGTCAGTCATCATCCTACGATGGTGCGAGAGTGAGACATACCTGCTGCTTGCGAATCTGGCCATCACGCCCGGCGCCTCCGCGGCGCTCAAGTGCCTTGATCGAGCGCTTGAGTACGTTTGATAAGTCACTAGTGTCGTTAACGAGGGCGTCCAGTTCCTGCTCGACCCGAGCGGCGGTTTGCTCGTCGGTATTGTTTAATGAGCGCGCATGCAAGTCACCAATCCGTTGAACATTCCCATTGAACTGTTTGATAGTATCCTGCAGTTGCGAGATCTAGGAGAACCGGATAAGCGCCAGACCCTTAGGCAGTCTGTTGGAGAGAAACCCGTACCTCCTCGTAGAACGCGGACATATCATCCCCACCAGCTCCCGCGGCCGGTTGTACGCCGGCGGTCAGGTTGGCACGCGAGTGTTGTACGTCAGCCATCTCGTAGTTGCCGCCCTGGTCGAAAGGGTTCTCGTCCTGTTGCGCGTAAGGGTTGGGCGCCCGACGGCCGTACCCTCCACCACCTCCATTGGATTGGTAGGGATCCTGGTCGTACGACGGCTGGGACGGATAAGACGGGCTTGAATACTGATAAGCAACCCGCAACAGTCCAGCAAGGTGATATACACGTACTTGCCAGTGTACGCGCTGCCGCCCTGTTGCTGGGCCTGTATGGTGGTCGTCGTCAGCGGTGATGAGCAGCGATAATACATTATAATGACGGACCCTCATCGCTGCAAGTCTGTCACGAGCCATGTTTGTCGAGGTATCTGGAGGGCTAGGGAGGGTATTGAAGACGGTGCCTGCACCGGGAGCTGGGAGTTGAAGTTAAGAAGAGGCTCCGGCGGTCGCAATGAGCGCGGAAGCACTGCCTGCCCGCAACCCCAAACACAGCTTTCACCCAAACGCCCACCACACACCACTATACCGCACCTCTCAGCATACGCCGTACTGGCCTATTTTACTGTGTGCCCGTCGGGCCGTCGCTTGCTTCCCGCCCGTCTGGTGCTCGGCGTGAATATACGCTCTTCTTGGAATATTCCGCATCCCGACGGCGCTCCAGCTGATGCGCCCATCCTCGGCTGACCCTGCCCACAAGCACAACACAGGCCAGTTGGCTGCCAAGACTCTCGAAGTTATGTCTGAATAACCATCCGCATGTACACTATCCCAGTGTTCAGTACAGAACATCGCAGGCCAATATTTCATCCGTCATTTCTGCGTGAGTCCCGTTCATCAGAAAGATATTGCTACCTCCATGGGCTCTACTTCGCTGCCAGCTCACCTCGTCAACATCGGGATCAGTATTCATCTACGATCTCACAATTCACCCCATCTTCACCGATCACAGCCTATGAACCAAACCTGCAAGAACCTTCGGCCGACGGATTATGAAGGCGACTGGTACAGGCATTGATGATAACAGTGGGAAGTGGGCAGGCCGTCCAGCATATCATTAACATTGGGCTCGCCATAACTATTTCTGGCGACCGCAGGGTCTAGCCAATGTGCCGTTTGTTGCTTGACAATGACAATATACCGAGTTACGGTTTTCTCTGTCCCATACACATGACGTATATGCCAGGCCAGGCATATCAAGGTTCTCCACATGACCAGACAGAAGAGGAAGAATACCGCTTTGGAGCGGCACGAGGTGAAGTTGCGCCACCCGTCACCAACGTTCACACCTCTTAAGCTAGAGTGGCTTCGTTCAAAAAAGGTCAGGTCACTTGCCTATTCCTGTCATGCAGTCCAACTCTCTATACGCTCATGTCGACAACGACGTCTGGATGTCGGACTGGTCGGGCCCTTCGATGACAGCCGACGCCAACGAGCGCTTCGAGCCATTCAATGATCAAACCGTGAACTCTGAGCATATCACGCCATCCATGCAGGACGGCTATCCGTACTACCAAAACGAGGTATGGGATACACCTCTGGCCGCCGACGAGCCAGAGTACCAAACGACCTCGTTCAGTTACTCGGCCGCCTTCAACAAGGACTTTGTTGATCCGGATGGCGATATACCCGATTTTGACCTCGTAGCCAGCGACGGCGTGCACTTCGCCGTGACAACGCCGAAACTCCGCTCAAGTTCTAGCAACGACTTTGCTGGATTGCTCGCATCATTCACTTCAAGTGCTATGATAGGTCTCCCATCTCCTGCGCTCAATCTGGTTCTCCACGGCATCTACGGCTTATCGCCGTCTATGTATGCACCTACAGCCGTCGACCTTGGTGCGTATCTATGGGCTCTAGCATCTCTACCCAACGCGCATACTACTAACTTTGTCTTGCAGCCATAGCAGTACAGTCGCTGGAGAGCTACGGGTTATCAAAGAGTGAGCTCGTAGCCGACAAAACGCCCCTGTTCCAGGCCATCCTCATGCGAGCGCCGGTGGAGCCACTTGCATGTTATACGCTCGCAGCTCGCGAAGAGCTCGACGAGCTTGCCGTCCTCATCTCGCCTTACACCCTCTGCCTCTCCCTGCCCGATATCTCGGACGAAGATGCCGCGCAAATGGGATCCCTTCATCTCCGCCGCCTATTCTTTCTTCATCTCGGGCGAGTCCAGGCGCTGAAACGTATCCTCTTCCCACCGCCCGATCTGCATCCGCCCACGGTCGAGTGTGAAGCGAAGGATCAACGTCCGGTTAGTAGAGCCTGGACAATGGCGGTCGCTGAGATGACGTGGGAACTGAACCCAAGTGAGTTGCAGTATCAGACGCTTGGCGCGTTATCTTGACGCCTGTAGATGTGTCTGGCAGCACACTCGAGGCATGTTTTCAAGCTAAAGAGGATGAATTGCAATGCCCCGAGTGCAAGAAATGCCTGAGCTTTCGCATCAAGCGGTTGCTTATTGACTGGTCTCTGATCAAGGTTCGTCGTTCGCGTCTTGCACGACCACTCAGACTAACATCAATACCTAGTCAACAATCTGAGCCGGAGATCGCCGTGTTCTGCGGCAATCCATGCTGATCATATACTCTGATTCAGGCGTGCTACTCTTTGAGTACAAGTTCACGATGTGATTGATGCGGTGCCACGTGTATAGTGTAATGATACCATATATACAAGTCGTTATGGTGTGGTACGGTACCTCCGTGAATTGGCACAGTATGATATAAGGGAGATCGGAAACTTCCGAGTGGTCGTCAATTGCGAAGGAGAAGGGGGCATACAGAATTCAATTATAAGTCTCCATTACAGAGAGAAAGGGCAAGAACCCGTGGGACGAGACGCGCACTGGAAGGTGCACTCTAGAACGTGTATATGTGGACGCGGTTCGGACGCGTCGCAATGAAATCCTATCGTAAGTTAGAGCGATTCGAACGAGCATCGTGATCCGCAGACGCACAGTACAGACGACGATGCTGTCGTCGTTGATGCCCAGCGTGACCATGCTGCCGCGATGATGTTGAATCTCCTCGGGAAGTGGTACCTCGATCTCGATGAAAGGAAGATGTGTCTCCAGCATATCGGAATGAAGCCAGTCGTCCGAGACATTCTCACCATCGACAACCCTCCAATGCCGACCGTCGAAGGACGGCTCTTTGCGGGCCAAAGCGACGCGCCGCGGATGATAGTCGTATATCTTGGCTACCAGCACACCGTCCTCGCGCTGCGTCGGATACATCCCTATCCGACGCATACCGAAGATGCAATGGGCCCGCCAGCCAACGATTGGAGGATACCGGAGTAACGGAGTCGCGTGAACATGCTGCGGCCCCCAGTTTGCCCATGGCGTGAACCGCCCGCGATTTTCGGGCGTCATAAGCGCCTGCAAAGCTCGCAAGGGCATGAAGAACTCGTACTGGCCCTGATCAGTTGGATGTGCGGATTCCACCGAGAGAAGCACATCGTCCGGATCCGAGTAGAAATCGCCGGCATCGAGGATGGTCGACATGGGAGGATATGAGGCATTGCGTCTGAGGCTGCAACATCTGGGTTCGCGAATGCGGTCTTGCGAATGGAGGGTTGGTAGACCGAAGGCATAGTGCGCTGGCTGCATCACGTTCGTGACCTCATTGTATATGATCAAGGGCAAACGATAGATGAGCAGGGCCAATCCAACACCCTGTGTCATGGCGGCGATTGCTAAATGATCTTGGTCGATAAATGCGACAGCATAGTAATGGCAACGGATGTTCTACACTCGACATGAGTTTCTCCGTTAACACGAGACAATTAGATCGAATGGATAAACGCACAGTAACCATTTCACCCGTCTTCCAATTCCAGAGAGTATGGAAGTCGCGAGTGCCAGGTACGAAGAGATACGGCCCAAACGTGGTTGTATCAAGACCAATGGTCTCACTCTCGAGGTAGGGATGGCTTGCTGCGGGGTGTTGAGCGCCAGAAGACATGGTCAATAGATGATGGCGCGACCTGTCGACGCTATGAGTAACTGCGCCAATCCGGACCTAAGCTTCAGCGACGTACTTGGGTACATCCATTGTCTGCAGTATGACAAGGTCTTCTGCGGGATTGAACGTGTACGTGTACACACTCGCAGGAGGCGCTTTAATGACCCAGTGCCGCTGAGGTGCACCACGAAGAGAAGAACCGGAGTAAATGAGCGATAGGGTACCCGGGTTCTTCAGGTCTCTGAATATGGCGAACGACGACGGATGATCTAGACGTTGGCCCTCAAACGTGAAGGTGAAGTGCGGAATCCATCGGATGTCGCGGAGGGCGCAGTTGAAAAGGTGTGCATACTGCAGCCTCTGCTTCACTGCAGTCACGCTGAACTCATTGTCGCATAAACCGTAGGAGGCCAGTACCAGCTTGTACTGAAGGAAGAGGACGTCACAGATCACTGCATTCAATGTACGACAGACCTGTGCTAACATTAATAGACAGCCGCCGCGATGATTTGGAGAATAACTTGCGCTTTTACACACGACAAGGTCCCTGAAACCGAGCGGACTGAGGACAAGAACCAGGATCTCGTTGGGAAGGTCAAGCAACATGAGGAGAATATGGTTCAGCACTCGCGGCCTGCAAGCGCGCGGTGGTAGATCTCAGAGAGTTGACGCGCCGCATGCTTATATTTCCGTGCAAGAAGGGCGATGATCATGGACGAGTGTAAGAAGTGGCGTGTTAGCCGCATGTGGCCTAGTCGCACGCCGTCGCACGCTTCATGTTTTGCGTCACATATCAGACCGACACTCCCACCACGAGCACGAATCCACGATGCCTCCGGAAGCGCAGAAACTATGGGGAGGCCGTTTCACGGGCAAGACTGACCCTTTGTATGGTCGCCATCTACCTGTATCTTGAAAGCGGCAAATTATGACGGCCCGCGATGCAGGATGCACGCCTTCAACCAGTCTTTGTCCTACGACCAGCGCATGCACAAGGCCGACATCCGTGGATCCATTTCCTACGCCAAAGCACTTGAGAAAGTCGGTATTCTCACCGCAGACGAGCGTCAAAATCTTGTCACCGGACTGGAGCAAGTGGGTCAGGAATGGATCGACGGCAAGGTTCGCGCTTCTCTCAAGGCTTTTGACCATGGCTCACCCGATAACGTAGTTCGAGATCAAGGAGGACGACGAGGATATCCATACTGCTAACGAACGCCGCCTGAGCGAGATCATTGGTTCCCTTGGCGGTAAACTGCACACCGGCCGCTCGCGCAATGACCAGGTCGCGACGGACATGCGCCTTTGGCTGCTGGACGAAGTCAAGGAGATCGAGGCCGGTCTCCGCGCACTTATCCGTGTCATGGTGGAGCGCGCCGACAAGGAGCGCGACTACCTCATGCCAGGCTATACCCATCTGCAGGTTGGTTGAACGAACATCTTCTATGACTCGAAGCCGGCTAATATTTTTCATAGCGCGGGCAGCCTATCCGGTGGTCGCACCTCCTGCTATCGCACGCGTTCTCGCTCAACTCCGACCTTGAGCGCCTGACACAGCTCGTACCGCGCATCTCGGTACTCCCTCTCGGATCGGGCGCTCTCGCCGGAAACCCGTTCGTCGTCGATCGCGAGTTCCTCAGGCAAGACCTCGGGTTCGCTTCAATTGCCGAGAATTCGTTGTATGGTGTGGGAGACCGCGACTTCATCATCGAGTTCATGATGTGGGCAAGTCTAGCCACAACGCATCTCAGTCGACTGTCCGAGGATCTCATCATCTACTCGACGGCGGAATTCGGCTTCGTCACTCTGAGCGACGCATACAGGTACGAGTCTGATCTCCAACTAAAGTCGTGTGGCTAATTCGTTCCTCATCTCAGCACTGGGTCCAGCATGATGCCCCAGAAGAAAAATCCTGATTCGCTCGAACTCCTCCGCGGCAAATCCGGACGCGTCTTCGGCAATGTATGCACACAACACTCAGTGCTCACTGAGAACGGCTAACTGACGTCTCGGGTAGGCTGCCGGCTTCTTGATGAGTTACAAGGGTCTTCCTTCGACGTACAACAAGGATCTGCAAGAGGATAAGGAGCCTCTCTTCGACACGGTCGACACCGTTTCCGCCTGCTTCCGCATCGCCGAAGGTGTTATCGGCACACTCGATGTGCACCCCGAACGCATGTTCAAGGCGCTCACCATGGACGTCTTGGCGACGGACCTGGCTGACTACCTTGTCCGCAAGGGCGTGCCCTTCCGGGAAACCCATCACGTCTCGGGCCGCGCTGTGGCTCTTGCGGAGGCGCGTGGGTGTCAGATCAACGAGCTCAGCCTCGAGGATTATCTGAGTTTACATCCAAAGTTTGAGGAGGATGTCAGCGCTGTGTTCGACTTTGAGGCCAGCGTCGAGCGTCGGCAAGCAATCGGCGGCCCTAGCCGCGTCATGATTGACCGGCAGGTTGCTGTCCTCCGCGCCGCCCTTGCTCAGTAAAAGAGCTTCTGTGCTCAAAGTACCTTATGATCGAAATAAATGTAGTCAATGTATAACACCAATATTGTCTATATACAGTGCCGTGTGGCTCGTGTGACTCCGAGATCCACGCGAGGCGCGAGTGTCAATGTGGCTTGATTAAACACCACCATCTCTGCAGCTCTAATCGCGCCCAACCGCTCCTAGAATGGATGCGATACGTGTATCAAAGGTAGTATACTCGTACTAGCGTATCCCAATACCGTTAGTTAACATATGTGTCCAGGTGCCCCACGTTACGCTCCAGAAGGGCGGCAAATCCTTCCTCGGTACACTCCATCTGACCGCACACCACCTTATCTTCTCCTTTGAGGATGCGTCTGCTCCTGAGATGTGGGCGAGTCTTCTTCATGATCATGGCTGTGCGCGATCTTGAACTGCCATGCGTCAGATCCCATATCCACTCATCAACCTCGTAACGCGCCTGCCGCAGAACCTGCGCGGAGAATGCCCTGTCAGTTTTCGATGTCGGACATTCGAGACATTCGCGCTTCATTTCGAAGGGGAGAGCACTGCGGTGGACGTGTTCGAGAGTGTGAAGGAACTGACGGTAGCAGGTGAGCGTCCTCGCCTGGGGTTGGCTTATTCGGCTGCATGCCTGTCTCGGAATCCACCATACTGAATATATCGCAGCGGACGTGAAACAGCTCTACGCGTTCTTCTACTCTCCGAATCCACCTCTGCCTACCAATGACGGATGGTCGATCTTCAACCCTCGAAAGGAATTCGGCCGCATGGGCGTCGGCACACGCTCAAAGGCGTGGCGCTTCACCGACATAAATAAGGACTATACGGTGCGTCTACTCGACATCACGCAGCCTGCCCATACATATGTAACGATCAGTGAATAGTTTTGTCCTACATATCCAGCACGCATGGTCGTTCCGACCCGCATCAGCGACGCTACATTGCAATACGCGGTGAAGTACCGCAGCAAGGGCCGAATACCAGCGCTCACCTACCTCCATTGGGCAAACTACGTGTGTCTGCCCTTCATTTGCTATGAGACAGCATGCTGAAATCGCAGTAGGGCAGTATTACGCGCTCCAGTCAGCCTCTAGTCGGTCTGACGAACGCAAGGTCCGTTCAGGATGAGAAGCTAGTCGAGGCGGTTTTCCAGTCACATCAAGCGCCCGAGTCCCGCGCAGGAACGGCGTCCCCGCCAGCCGCCATCTATGGTGCCACAGCTACGAACCTTATCATAGACGCACGGCCCACGACGAATGCGATGGCCAATACCGCGAAGGGCGCCGGGACCGAGAATATGGACTACTACAAGGAGTGCCGCAAGGCATACCTCGGAATCGACAACATTCACACGATGCGAGACTCGCTCAACAAGGTCGTCGAGGCACTGCGAGAGACTGAGATGCTTGCCACCAGTATGAATATCGGAGGGTCATCCATGCTTCCCGTGGATCGTCAAGCTCTGCGCCGCTCAGGCTGGCTCAGACATCTCGCGTCTATTGTTGAAGGCACCCTTGTCATTGTCCGCAACGTACACGTGAACTCCTCACATGTCCTCATTCACTGCTCCGACGGCTGGGACCGAACATCTCAGCTCTCTGCTTTGAGCCAAATCTGTCTCGACCCGTACTACCGGACTATGCGCGGCTTCCAGGTGCTGGTGGAGAAGGACTGGCTTGCTTTTGGGCATCGCTTCCTCGATCGTTGCGGGCACTTGTCTTCAGACAAGTTTTTCATCGCGCCAGCGGAAGGTACCACAGATGGCGCAGCCGGGGGAGCAGGTGCATTCTTCGCGAGTATGCAGAACCGCTTCGGCGGCAATCATCACATCAAGGAGACCAGCCCCGTATTCCATCAATTTCTCGAATCCGTGCGCAATGTACAACGCCAGTTTCCCGAACGCTTCGAATTCAACGAGCAATACCTTCGCGACTTATACTACCACCTATACTCGTGCCAGTTCGGCACATTCTTGCTCAACTCTGAAAAGGAACGCCGCGAGACGACTCTATACGAACGCACGGTGACCGTCTGGGATTACATGAACTCAAAACGCGAGTCATACATATACGCTGACTTCAACCCCGAGCTCGACGATCCTCAACGGCGCGAAGCTGGTGCGGACCAAGGTGTGCTTCTCCCGGACCCAAAAGACCTGCGGTTTTGGAACGAGCTGTACGGTCGTGGAGACGAAGAGATGAATGGACGCTTCGTGCAAGCGCAGGTGCTCGCAGCATCCGAACTTGCAGGGCCTATCGAGACGGCGGAAGAGGACCCGGCAATTCCCGGCCCGGGTGTCGGAGAGAGTCGTTCGCCGATCGCGGCACTGGCGTCTCTGCCGGTACCTCCTCCTCCTGTCAGTCCTGGGACCAGCAGTAGTATGCTTGAGCTCGGCTCCCCACCCCGTCACGAACCAGCAATGCCCATCAGTCGCTCGCAGACGCTATCGCCACCACGTCCGGCGCCATCTCCGAGTCGTCTGAGACCCGCTCCCGCAGCGGCGCCTACATCGGATCTCTTCTCTTCCGCTGGCGCTGGCGCCCGAAGCGTTTGGGGTCGACTATCTTCTAACGCCAGCACGGCGTTCACGTCGCTGCAAGGGGCGTACGATGGCCTTGCGAAAGACTTGCGTCAGATGAATGTAGCACCTCCCTCACCGGATCGTGCCGGATCGACCTCTGCTGGCACAGGAGGTGGTGAACTGAGGGGGCGCGATGAGTTGGGTGCGTGGGGAACTACTAGAACGGAACGGTTCGAGCCGCAGCGGGTTGAAGAGGCCGTGCGCCCTAGCACATTCTCCGCTGGATCTACCTTCAGCGGCAACCCATGGGCGACAACGAAGGAACCGGTTCCACCCTCGCCCTCAACCCAAGGGCCGTCTAGGCATCAGCCTCGCCTACCCTCAAGTCTATTCGATGACCCTTGGGGGAGTGTCGGCGCGCGGCCAGCGCCTACTCGACCGTCGGCGACGTCACCCTGGGAAAAGATGCACGACGATGCCCTACCCACGGACCCGACCGTGACCGTGGTGCAGCCAACACCTAGACGTGTGGCATCGAATACCGCCCCAGAGCCTGCTCAGAAAGTCGAGGCGCCCAGCGCGCAACAGCCGTCCGATCTGGATCTGGATCCATTAGGCGTATGGAAGACTTGAGCCGGTGTACTCATCCAGGCCCCGTCAATTGTTCTGCGTGTATTACTAGACTATCCCGTTCAAAACACGACCAAGACGATCAATTTGTATCTCGACCTGAACTATGTACTGAATGTGAGGGTGATCCTACGAATCTTTAGGCGCACGCTTCGCTCAGCGGTCCATTCGAAGCGGACAGCCGTGAGAGACTCCTCGGGTCCCATGTCCGCCGCCTCATCTCCCACTGTGTATGCGATATTCTTGAAGGGTTCAGATCCCGCATGACCTTGACGCGGAGGAGCACCCGGGTAGAAGAAGCTGGTGAGGCTTGTGCCAACCTTCCATACGAGCACGACTCCTTCGTCCACTGCTGTGGTGACGAGCCGTCGTCCGTCGGGGGAGAAACTGATGGATGAAGGGCGAGTTTTGTGACCCTCAAGCACGTATAGACGCGTGCCGGTCTTGAGATCGTACATCACGATGGCACCCTCGCTCGTGCCAACTGCAAGTTTTTGGGAAGCCATATGGAAGTCCACTGTCGGAAAGCTGTTACAGTCTAAATGAGCGAGCTGACCGTATGAGGATGATATATCAGGACATACGTTTGTACAATATGCCCGAGGATCTCAGTGGCTGAGTCCAGAACGGCTTCGCGATCGGAGTTATGATTCGGGTCGAGTGACTTGACCACCGCTTCTACCAGACGCGGAATGCTCGGGAAAATCAAGAGGGGCCGCTGCAATGATGCATAAGCTCGCGTACATGCAATCCTGTATACGTGACACTTGCCTTGCGAATGAGGAAAGCAACGAGTTGCATGACAGAGCGGCGTTGCTCAACATCTCGAGGGTTCATGATGTCGAGTGAGATCGTCGTCATGAATAGACCGGTATGGTGAGTGACGATGTTCAGCACAGCCTGGCGAGCCTGAGGGCCGACATTCGCCGTGATGTTCTCCTTACGCGTGCTCGTCGCTAGCGCTACTAATGAACGAAGCATAGTGGGGGCGTCGATATACTGCTGCCAAATGTGGAACCCGCGCGATGAAAGGTCTACTGCGGTAGCTTTCAAGCTGGCATCGTCATCGTGAAGGTACAACATGATGGACTTGGAGACGTCGTTGAGAGCACTGGTAAGGCATTGAGAACACATCTGAGGAGATGTAGAAGGTTACATACCCTGAGGAGAGGAGAACATACTTGTGTGCGGCTATGTATCCACACAGGAGTAAAGCTAGCGCGGCCGTTGGCGACTTCTTATCGACGTCCGGTTGAAGAGACGGCACTGTGGAAAGTTAGACTACGTTTGCACTCTAACTTTTGAGGCACATACGATGGTGCTGCCATGAATCCACCAGGGAGACGGTATCCTCCAGAGACAGGTTGTTGATTGCGGCGTCAAACAGGGCCCGAGCTGCCCCGCGAACGTCGACTATGATGTGTTTGAATGAGTCCATGCGGCTCGTAGATAGTGTCCAGTGCGTACCAGACCGGTTGAACCACCATCGTGCTAGGTATGCAAGGCTTGGAGGTTTGTAGCCAGTTCCTACTGCACTACCCACATGCAAAGTGTAGAAAGTGATTACTTTCGACATATCATCTACGTGTGGTATGAGCAGCGACATCGTGCTTGAATTATGCGCGACTCACTCTCGATATGACCCAGCGCACGAAGTAACGCCACGATAACCAAAGAGCGGACAGCGGACACTTCCTCCGACACACACCACGGTTCTCTGGCTCCATGTGCTGAGAGTAACGATGTCGAATGTTGACTAAGGCATATCAGCAGTCGTGACCAGGCTTCCTACATCCGACGCACCTGAAATGTCCTACTGTCACGCTTGTCGCTTCTATGTGTAGCTTGTCGCGACAAATGTGATCCACGTCTGCGTTAAGTCCAGGAGTGAGCACTGCAGCAAGAACATCGTGCAACTCCCCAACGCTCGCTTCGTTCAGGTTCGCTGAGCTATCCGTCGGACGAGTTGCTCGTAGACACATCGCTTCCACATCTAGCAAGATGGTAGTGGCTGGACAGGATTGGTCAGTTGCACGGCATCATGGTCTCGAGCGCTCTGTCAGTACCTGCATCCCGTGAACCCGCTCCGGCGGATTGGGGCCCATCAATCGTCTGCGCAGGTTCAGATACTAGCGGTCTAATGACGATTAGTTCTTAGAAAGTTGCAACATGTTCGATCGTACATTTGAATCCATCCCCCTTCGAGGAGAACCTCTTCAGCCTTGTCCACCATCAAAGCGCGCCGGAATTCTCGCGTCCTCGCATCCCAGAGTCGTGCATGCCCATTGCTGTAGATGACCAGCAGGCTGTCTCCCTTGAGACACATGCGCGACAAGGGTGTGAGGCCACCGGGTATCATGAAGAGACTACCGAGTTCTTTCAGCCACAGATTCTGACGAGGCACAGGGGAGCTCGGCGCTTACAATTGATGGTCGATCAAATCTAAAACCGCAATCGTCCCGTCCTGTGAGATGCACAATAGACACGCAGTGAAAGGATCGCCCTTCTCCCGTTGAAGTTTCACGACATCTTTCAAAGGAGTTGTGAATATTGTCCAGCGGTTCAGGAGCTTGAGGGTGCTACGGCGATTGTCAACATTGCACCGTAGTCATGCAACATTTCCCTCACTCAAATGACCACAATGCAACTGAACCATCGTCGGCACCCCCGACTATAATGCGCCCAGCAGAAGATTCGCCATCTACGACATGGAGACCAGTGATCTCGCCATCAAGAGAGGTGTCGCAAGTTGTATCGCAAACAAGTGAAGGAGACCGGGACATCTTGTGGTACGAAGTGATGCCGACTGTACCATCGCCTAGACGAATCAATCAGTAGAGTAGAAGCACTCCGAACAAACTCCAGCAAACGTACTGAATCCAAGCACGAATCTCTCCAGGTCGTAAGGAAGTATATAGGTGATACGTCTGTCTGACGCATGTCCTATCTGCTCGTCGTAGTTAGCCTTCCATATGGTTTCTGGACGTGGTTGCCGATGGCCTCGTTGATCTGCCGGTGAGTGATAGACTTCCAACTTGCGGCGCCCTTTGTCGCTGATCGGTGAAGAGATGATGGTGGTATCGGGTTTGATTGACATGACCTGGGCGTGATGTGCATCGACTCGCGCAAGCGACTGTAGCCTATGTAGTTGATCAGGATAGTTGTTCGCGTCAGGCAGCTATAACACTGACGACAGGATCCCAGGCTTGTGAAGTACTTCGACCCCGTCGGCGTCGAGGTGTGCGGCCTTGAAGTATTCTACGTGATCCTGTGCGTTTGGACTCATCATTATATGTGCCACAATATGGGAAGTGACACTACTTGCCGGATACATGCATGCCCAAAGCCCGCTAGACTCCATGAACACGGCATCCTCGAGGTCCTGGCAATCGCAAACCTTGTCAGACAAAGATACGGTTGTACCTTCGTGCTCGAAGCCCTGTGCTTATTCAGGACGTTGTGTAAAGTCATTAGGAATACGACTCACAAACAACTGGCCAGATGACCAGAAGAGACCTTGTATTTGTCCAGTCTGGACGCTCCGTAAGCGCATACCACCTATGTCCGGATGCCCCAGCGATCCAAGCAAGGCGGCAGCTTGCAATTGTATCCTACTCTCTGCGAGTACTGGCTCCGTCACATTGACGTTCTCGCTAGACGTTGACTTGAAAGGATTGAGCGACGAGATGTCCAAGTTGGACGACGTTGGTTTCGACTCGTTGACACCTTCCACAGGAAGTGGTAGAGGCAAGACACTGAGGGCATGTCTCACGATCTGACCATTAAAGTCGATATAATAGAAGCTGACAGCCCCTGCAGCCATAACCCGGTGGTCAGCACGAGGGTCGCTCTGGGACAACCCAGAAAGTGTGGACGAACCATCTTTATCGTGCACAAGATCCAAGGAATGCACATTTACGTCGAGGGACCACGCGCCTAGCAAGATGACAGGTTCAATGCCTTCGATCTGGTGCTTGGTAGAGTTATCTACGGAGAGGAGTGCAACCCTAGAGCATCGCGAGTCGTCATGGTCATTGCGCTCAAGAGATAACTGTGGTATAGTCATGAAATCGAAGGCTGCGCATGCAAAGACGTATGTACACTGCAACGAGCACGTTGCATCAGCGATACGTAATGTGGGAGGGGTCATCATAGACTCACGTCGTTCGCCTCAAAGACCCTCAGGCGTTCCCAGCGCCAGCAGACAGGGGGGTGATCGATCTCCTTCATGCCCTCCGGCGGACGGAGGTTGCTTTCATTGAGGTCTATGCGCGAGAAACATGTGCCATCTTCGTCAGAGATCAAGGACAAGGACCTAAAGACTTCCGTCAGGGTACTGTGCACGACGACGCAGGCAGACAGTTTACCCGTTCGCCTGCATCGCGAGTAATTGACCATGTCCAAGATGATGAAGTGCCGCCACAGTCGACTGTCCTTGACCGGCATCTCGTAGGAGAACGTGACTAGATAAGTGCATGTGGTAAGGTGAAGGAGGTGTAGGTGAGGTAGGCGACTGAGGCAGAGGGCTGTTCTGACTATGTGGTGTCGTCATAGTCGATTGGACCGCTGACAGTAGGGATGTGGCTTCCGTGGCACGGACGTTTGCCTGAGCACTTTCTGAGCTGGAACGATTCGGGTGTAACACCGGCCGCTCGCCCTTCTCAACAGATAGGCGTCGCTCTGTGAAAGACGGTATGAGACGGTCTCCCATAGTGACGTCTCGAACTCCGGAAGTACTGCTGGACTTCAGCATGTTCTTCAGCTTTCCTTCTTCTTCGTCAAAGTCGACATAGTTCTTCGGCGCCTGAGCCTGTTCGCTTGAGATGCCAGATACAATGCGCGAACGTGGCGCCACAGATAAAGACAGCGGCGAAAGAGCCGAAGATGGTGTCCCAGGCCGCGAATGCGAGCGGTGCGAGCGCTTGGTTCGCGGAGATGGACTGGAAGTCCGTGATGCTCCTGCTACGCTGACCGTGGATGAAGGTTCGTCGATGACAGGTGTGCGAAGACGAGAGTTGAACAAGAAGATCGAGCCATCTTGGCAACCCAGTGCCGCGCCACGTATGGAGGACGCCCCAGGATCCGTAGAATCAAAGTCCCAAGACGTTAAGCACGTCCCCGTTGCTTCAGAGCATGCATGCTCGAGAATATGTCCAGTTGAGGACGCGTGTGAGCCATGCTCATGTGCACTTCCGTTCGGGAGGAGTAATGGGACTATCAGCGGCTGGGCATTCATGGTCAGGCCCAAATCGAGCCGTAGAGCGATATCCAGCAGGCGGCTTCAATGTAGTCGACAAGATGGCGGTCAAGGTCTGAGGTCACTTTGACATCGGGCCGCAACTTCCGTAACCTTGCGAAGTCGACATGAAGCCATCCCACGTGGCGGATAGTTCGGATTGACGAACTGACCAATTCAAATATTAGGGATCGAAAAGACAGGCTTAGCGATACACCCCCTGCTTGGACAATCAATTAATATATATTAAGTACCGTATCCTCGTGTGTCTAATTCCTACAAGGTACTTCACGAACTATGGTAAGCGTGCATGGCCCATCAGACATCTATCAAACAGAAGATATGTTGTTCGCAACAAGTTCGCAAGAAAACAAGAGTGCAAAAAGACCTAGTCGGCAGAGCACTCGCCGAGTGGGCAGATAGTCAGGCAAGGGTCGCATCTACAAACCGAGCAACTCATGCTTCAGCGCCATCTCGTCCTTCAACATCGCAATGCGGCTCTCCAGCCGGGAGCTTAGATCAATCTCGCTCCCGGATAACGAGCTGGCTTGCGCGACGCGCTTCTCGGCCTTCTTGAGCGCAGTCGCCCAATGTTCCTTCGACTTCGGCCCCGTGGAGTCGTTGTGTGCCTCAGCGTCGTGGAGTTCGAGCACCGCGAGCTCAAAGCACGCCACACCGCCGATCCAAGTGTTCACGACGAGTGTCGACTGGCGAGCAAATGCTGCCTCTAGGTATGCGCGAGCAATTGGGAAGATACCAGCTGTTCGGTGGGTGATGCCAAGTAGAAGCTCTCGGAGAGCGAGTTCATCGGCCGTATCAAGGGGAGGAGGTTGAGTTGGGAAAGGTGGTTGTGGTGGGGCGGAGTTAGTTGCGTACGGCGTGGGGACAGTGGAGGCCGGGGTGAGTGCGAGGAACTCGTGGATGTGTGCTTCGGCGACGGTAGCAGGGATTCGTTGGTGGTTATTCCAGAAGATGCCCATTTCTACGCATCATAGCAAGTCAGCATGACATCGTACACAGGAAAGGTAAAACAGAGCGTACCTTCTGCGGGGTTGACTGAGATAGCCATAACATAATCATCCTCGCTGCCGGTGAGTCTCAGCTGCTTGGCCTTCCAAAACGCCAGCTTCTTCTTGATGAAGACCTCGAACGGCAAGTCCTTCCCGCCGATTTTGCGTTTGTCGATGGCTGCCGGGACAGCGTCTAGTAGACGTTGTGCTTCTTTATAATCTCCCACGCGCCAGTAGCAACCGGCGGCGAGGAAGAAGTATGTAGCATGACTCCAGGTGTTGATCTCCGTGATGTATAGGAATTGCTTTGCCGCCTCAATATATTCGCGGTGTGACAGCAGTATCCACGCGAGCTCGAAGACGAGCAACGACTCTGCTTGTTGGAAACTTTTTGAGCGATTGGGTCCCAGGCCATCTCGTAGTACCCGCATCGCCTCTTCTCCGTTTCCTTCCATTCGCAGAATTTTGGCCCGGTTCAGCATCCAGAGCGACCCGTTGGGGTAACGCTGCTCCAGCCTGGAAGACGAACAGTCAACCTGATTGCGTAGGCGAATGCAAAGAACAGGCGCTCACTTGTGACAGATAGAGCGATACTGTGTCAGAATATGCGCTTCGTCAGCTTGGAACCCGGCACTGAGTAGCACCACTCCGTGATAGGTCATTAAGGTGAGGCTGAATGGGGAAAATCTGGTGAGAACAGCGACCGGCGAGCCAATGATGGACGTCCTCACCCAGCAAATACCGCATGCACATCTGATTTGCTCGCAGAGATGGACAGAGCGCGTAGCGCTAGCTTGCGGTCATGCGAAAGGCCAAAGAAGCCAACTACGCGTCTGTGCGATCGTCAGTTGGCCGTGCTCGAGCACATGTAGACGCTCTTACTTCACTGCAGATGGTAACAGCGACAATACCAGTTGAAAAACGCCATAGCCTGAGATTCAGTCAGTACAAGCATCGCACTAGTAGTGTTCTCGCCCACCGAACGCAGTCCCCGAAACGATTAGCTCCTCGGTTGGGCCATCTTCCAATGATACAGGTGTCGTCGTCCCGCTACCTCGTGGAGAAGCGGTAAGGGTGCTCCATCCGCGGAAAAGCCCGCCTTTCTTCGGCGGCGCAGTGATCGGGCTAGGCATTGTCGCGGGTGGATGGCCATTCTTGCTGGCATCAGTACTATTTTGCGTCGCGAGCGAGGACTTGGAGCCCTTGCGCGATATGGCAGGTGTATGCAAGTCTGCGATACCGTTTGGGAACACGATCTTCCATAATCTTTGCCGGGGTGTCAGCGGACGCGCATTCTCGTAGCCCGATTATCCCCAATGGGCAACTCACTTTGCGAATTTGGAATGGGCGCTGCATAGCGCTGTGATCAGACGCGCGCGTGGCGGTCAAGCAAGTGAGCAAACGCACTTGTTCACCGCGTACCTGCAATTGATGAGTTGTGGCGTAAGCACTTGACAACGAGATGGGGCTCACAAGCATTGAACATAGCCCATGTACGATTCACTGGGGCGGATGTCGGTTCAGTGAGTGCCCGACATGTCAAGTTGATTGTTCCACACCTCAGCGCATGGGTCAGTCCGAGAAGGATCGTTGCGTCGGCATGCAAGAGCTCCCACTCTGTTCCGCCGGGGAAACGGCCGGTTGAAACGGAACCCTTGGTAGCTTTGGCCTGTTTGCGTGCAGCAGCCTCAGCATCAGCTAATAGCTTTATAGCATCGGCCATCCTGTCAGTCTGTTCCAAGCCTCGTCAATCGACCATGATCTAGGATCCAGTACAATGATGAGTACCTCGAACCCCAACGCGGCTTCTAGGAAGGAGAGTGCAGCAAAGCCGAGTTGGTGGAAGGGCGAGTCCTTCGCCTTGAATATTTCACGGGCAGCATCAATGGAGTCATTGAAGAGAGCGTCAAAGCCTTTGCTCGCGTCGGCCAAGTCGTCGGCCATGATGGATGGGTCCAAGTAACCTGTTGGCGCGCGCCGCCAGACGGCCGGAGACGTCACGAACAGAGAGGGGCACTCGGCCGGCAGCCGGGCCGAAGTTGCGGAAGATGCCGTGCGCTGTCCAGCAGAACGGCTGGACGCGGCGTCGCGTGCAGCTTCTTGCTCATCGACCACGACGACGAGTAGAGGGAGGGCGATGCTGCGCTCGCTGCTCCGACCACCAGCCGCGCCGTTGAGGGCGCGCACATATTCCGTATTTTCATCCTCCAACGGCGGCCGGTACTTCACCCCCTCAAAGAAGGTCGTCACTCCCGCCGCCAATGCGCCTGCCGCCGAACAGAAGCCCGAGGCTGCCGATACTAGTGGCCCGAGCGACGTACCGCAGCCGTCGACGTCAACGCCGACCCTGGCGCTCTTCACTTCGTCGCTGAACGCGCCAGCGTATCCGCCCTTATCTGCGGGAGACCTCCGCCTCCACCAGTTCTTCTCCTTGCACGCGCCCCTCCAACTCCAGACACCCACATCCTCGCTCTTCTCCCGCGCAGAGTCCGACGCCGCGTGGGCATCATGGACGGGTGCCGACGCCCTGCCGGACACGGAGGCGGACATGCCTTTCATGCTGGACAGCACTGCAGAGGCCAGCCCAGAGGCAGACGCGGACGCTGCGCGCCAGCTGGCACGTGCGGTAGCATTGCACCGAGCCGGTGCCGCCGCTTCTTGGAATGCGACACTCGAGCGCCTAGGATTGCCGACAGATGCCGATGAAGCCGTCATGAGCGCCTTTGAAGACGCGGTACAGATGGACTCGGTCAGGCGCAAGCGCAGGAAAAAGATGAAGAAGCATAAGTGCGTAGGACCTTCTTGCTCGTCTGACGCACACGTACTAACGCAGTCGCTACGCTTCGCAGGTTGAAGAAGCGCCGCCGGGTAAGCTACGATGCTCATGATCCGAGTATCTACGTACTCACGTGCCTTTATAGTTGCTTCGCATGCAGAAGGAGAGGATGCAGAAGTGATTGCCTTCTATCCAGGATTCGCCCTTCATCATCTGTGTTGTCACCTTGCATTACCCTCAGTCTGTTCTCTATATTACCAAACTGCATGAATGCAATCCCTGCTCTAATCTTAAACTGGTCGTGTGAAATCCATACTGTCGTTGATAATACTCCGGCTATACGTACGGCTCTGAGAATCATCTCGTCTTACTAGATCGGAGGCCAACTAGACGAACCAGTATGCTTAGCGATGTATAAGCTTGCCCGCACCAGCCGACGCTGTACGTCTGACTATGCAACTTAGCAGCTGGTTCAAAGGGGGTTCAAGAAGTGCATGTCTTGATTAGCTATTAATACGTCGTTCACGGGTACATGCAACACGAACAAGTACATCTAAGAAGGGTCGTCGAAAACATGTAGCAAAAGATCATATGAGGTACGTCACGTAGGGCAACCCGCCCATCCCCGCCTAACAAAACAGAACGAACAGGAAGATCGTACAACCAGATCTAAACGCCGAAAATGTAGTAGAACGCCTTGCGGGCCACGTTCATGGAGCTGGTGTCGACCTTCTTCTCCGCCTGGTCGTTACCAATAGCCTCCCCGTCCGGCCCGACGTTCATGACGGCATTGTGCTGTCCGCCGAGGAAGTAGTTCGTCTGGAAGCACGCCGCGCCGAGGGAGATGAAGGACAGGACGAGCGCGGGGACGAAGAAGCCCCAGAGCGTGTGGCGGTAGGCTTCGATGGCGCCCTGGCGAACGGGGTCGTTGAAGTCGTAGGCGCGGATGAGCGTAATGTCGTCGTAGAACTCTTGGACTTGAGTGTCGTTGACGGAGGCGGGAAGGAACTCGCGCAGGTTGCCCGGCATCCATTGGGCCCACATGATCGAGCCGATGGCGGAGCCGATCGACGAGCCAACGGAGGACCAGAGGGAGAGGAGGGCCATTACGAGCGTCATATCCTGGTGCGGAACGGACGCTTGGGCAGCGACCTGCGAGCCAATGACCGAGAACGCTCCACCTAATCCTGTGAGGACTTGGCTGGCAACGAGCAGACCGGTACTGGTGGTTGCAGTCTTGGAAGTCGGGGAAATGAGGAGGCCGTAGGCGATAATCTTGATGCACAGTCCGGAGACCTGGATCACCTTGTAGCGATGCGTGTAGCGCTGGAGAGCACCAGCCACGACACCGAAGCCACAGAGCGAAAGCGTCAGTGTGTTGCTATAGTACGTCCAGCCCTGAAGCGACCAGCTCGTGACGATGTACGTGTAGGAGCTCAGGTATAAGATCTCGAAGTACCCGGCGAGCTCGTACATGAAGTCAATCACGATACACACTGCACAAAAACAGATGCGTTGAGCGCAGGCGATCGGGACGAGAAGCAGCAGACACGCACTCATGAAGGTCTTGTTCCTTAGGATGCGACGCGGGAAGCTGGGAATAGGCGAAGCAAACCTCTCGAAGAGCACGTACGCGATGAGGCAAAGGATACCAACGATAACTATGTGATGTGTGAGTTGACCGTACGCGCACGAAAGGAGGCCAGATGCATACTCATGGCAATCATCGAAGGGTTGGACCATCCACCCTTGGCAGCGCTCTCGAGCGAGAACGGAAGGAGGAAGAGAGACCAGCCAAATCCAAGTAGGATAAGGCCGAAAGCGTCGAGCTCGTTGATGATGGCCATGGCTCGTTGGCCGAGCGACACTGTAGGCGCCTGGGAGACGCGCTCGGCGCCAGTCTCTGCAACGGCAGCCTGCTCGACAGCAGGGCGGATGCCTAGCTTCTTGGCGCGGAAATTAAGCCACATCAGGGCGCCGATGACCGGCAGCGTGCTAACGGGCACTGTCGAGAGCTGAGTATGATGATCTCGACGAAAAAGATAGATCCAGACTCACGAATGATGGCCCACATTGCATACCCCCATCCTAGATAACACCAGCGCGTCAGATAACGAGGTAGCGAGCAGAAAAGGAGGATACGAGACGATGAGGCAGGCGTGAGAAAGTCTGCCCTTTTTGGGACATGAACGCGCTGCGCCGAAGGCGCCAGCGATTGTTTGATGTTTGCACATTATTTGCCTCAATACGACCGCTCTGCTCCTCCCTAATGAGAGCATGTGTAAAGTGAAAAGACGTACGCCAATTGTTCGTAGTGCCTAACTGCTCGACGATGTTCGCAGTAAACCATGGCGTGATCAGGTAAGGTACGGAAAGCAGCGAGGTGTAGAACCCGCGCCACTGAAGATCCGTCAAGTCGGCGACAATGACAGAGTTCATGAAGTCGACGGTCGTGCCCCCAAGCGTCGCGAAGACGTTCCCGATGATGTACGCTGCGAGGGTCGGGGACTGGGAAATGATGACCTGGAGAACAGAAACAAATCGTGAGAAAGTCTGATCCAGAACACGTGACTAGAGACATACGAATCCCATGAGGTAGAGAAGCGTCCCCACGAAGTAAGTGCTCGTACGACCAAAGATGTCGGAGAACTTGGCGAGGAAAGGTTTGCAGACGGATCCGATGATGGACGTGGCGACGGTCAGTGCCGAAAGACCGGCCGAGTGGTTTTGGAAGCTGGAGGTGGCCCAGACAGAGTAGTTGTAGCTGTTGAGATGGGTGAGTTCTCTGTACAGTATATGTTGTCATTGAGAGCGGACGCTTACCTGGTGCTACCCTGGATTGCGTATGCGAAGGCGGCAATCCAGACGCAGATGCCGATCACCACCAGCATTCGCTTCCCCGCTGCGGATGTTTTCGCCGCGGCGCGAAGCGCCTCGACTTTGCTGACACCCCTGGACTGGACATACTTGTCACCGAAGTGGTCCGTTGTGAGCGTCGGGATGTCGTGCACGGGCTCCTTCTCGGAATGCACGCTGGCCTTCTCGTCGTAAGAGTTTTGGGACATGGTTTATGGCTGCTATTATCAACACATGTAAGCTGGTGATTCAGTATATGAAATCAGAGAGACAACACCCACTTTTTTGACTACGATGGGAGAAACGCAGAAAACAGTCGTTGTATCTCAACTCAAGATCTATGAATAGTTTGAGCCCGGCGTCAGAGAGAGGGTCCATGGAAGCGCACCTTGACCAAAGACCGGGAGGAGATGTACGATGGCGGGGAACAAGCCAACCAGCACTGATTCAAAGAACTCTGTCAGCGAACCTTCAAGAGCACATAGAGAGACGCTGAGCACCTCGCACGCTTGGTGAAAAGAGCGAACGGGTAGAGAGGATGTGATGACCCCGGCGTGTTTAAGTACATCTAGCTGGGAGCCATGCGCATGCCGGAACGGGGTATCAGATTAGATTTTTCGCCCTGCGGAGCCACCAACCCCCTGACCCAGGCCGTGAGCGGAAGTTTTATCCGTCGGAAGCGGAGAAAGGCGGGTCGAGGAGGACCTGCGCGGACGGCGGGAAGTGGAGGGCATTGTCGTCGGCATCAAGTCCTCGTTACTGACCTTCGCAAAGAGCGGGCCGGTAAGTAGACATCATACATTCTAGCAGTAGTGAGCAGGCGCGAGAGGATAAAGATAGCTTCGGATCCGCGAAGTAGAAGGCACAAGAAGAGAGATTGCGTGCTCACGAAGATCGGAGGGCACGCGCTCGGCGCGCGATGATCGAATCAAGCTCGCATATCTGATAAAGGTTCAGGCACTCCCTAATGTCAAGGAATCCGTCTGGTAAGTGGCTGCGCTTCGAAATCACAGCGTTGGCCGGCAAGTAAGTATACGCTACGCTTTCCTGTGTATCAACCGTCTCTCTCCGGGGAAGTACGGCGGTGAATGGACTCGCCTATTTTCCAACAATCCACTCGCAATGCCTAGCATTCGCAGTTCAACGTTAAGGGCTCGTTGACCAACTTGAAGAGGGCAGGGCCACACGGAAGCCAAGAGCACCAACTTTATTGAGAGGTACGTTGTCCAACTCGGAGCCGCTCAGTGCGCGAACAGCGGACTTGCATCGGGAGACGATGGCCCGAATTTCACCAATGCCGTTCGAAGAGTCGGACCATGCACTCCAGCGACTACGCAGCCCTCTGGCTGGCGCGACTGCCATATAGCCTAAGATGGGGCGCACTAGACTGAGGAGCTGAGGAGCGATTTCGAGGAATACACCAGTCAGGAAGACGAAGGCGCGAGTAGACGTCATGACAGTACAGACTCAAAAGTGTATATTTCGGGAAAAGTTACAGAAGTAGACACAACCTGCGTGCAGACACCGAAGAGGCATCAAATCCAAGTCCAAGAGAAAGAGATTCGTACACTGGCGATGCCGTGCATGGAATGGATAGGGCCGAGAGACTTATTTCCCTTTCCCAGCAGCACCAGCCATAGAGCGCGTCACCCGCTGGCTAGTAGGCTTCTCCGCCTGGGCGCGGGTACTGGTCCTAGACTTACGCGGGGAAGACGCTGGTTTGGGGAACACGGGTTCTCCTGCATCCGTCTTCGCCGACTTGGGAAAGCGTACGCCGGAGGTCTTGGTAGGGGAACTTGAAGACTCCGTGATGCGCTTGATGGGCGAAGCGGGGCGCATGTCAACATCGCTGTTGTCGCCATCCTGGTCCGTGCAGATATGTTAGTCAAGAGGACGACGTGAAAGTCATAGACCACATACCGCGCAGTCAGCAGGTGCGGAGTCCTTCATCGGGGACGCAGGGCGCATGTCGATGTCGTCCTCTTCGTTGGACACCTCACGCCGCTTGCCTTTCGAACGGGCAGAGCGGCCAGCACCGTCGAGCCAAGGGTGATCAAGCGCTTCGTTCATCGACATGCGTTTGCCGGCCCTATGTTCCAAAAGCCTCTCGATGAAGTCCAGAGCCTCGGCACTGCGAGTACGCAGAGCAGCCTTTAGGTTCTTAGCGACACGCGCAGCAATGCGCGCCTGGGCCGTGGGCGGTGCCGGAGTCTTGTTGACGTATGGAAGAGTCCCAGTGAGCAACTCAAAAGCAAGGACGCCTACGCTGTAGTTGTCGATGAAGTGGTCAACCGTCGCCGGGTGCGCCATCTCCGGCGCCATGTACGCCTCAGCGCCGCGGACGTCGTTCAGCGTCTCGCCGGCGAATATGACCGCATTGAAGTCGGCAACCTTGACCGTAGACACATCGTCCATGAGCAGAATGTTCTCAGGCTTCAAATCGGCGTGTGCTACGGCGCCTAGGAGTGCACGTGGGGTACCCGGCAGACGTCTGTTGGGATCATGGAGATGTTGGATGGCCTTGCATATCTGGAGGACAATGTGCTGAACCTCCACCTCAGCTAAAGTCTATTAGTTTCATATTACTGCTGTACTGGACAGAAAACATACATATAGGAGCGTTCTTGTGCTCATTCATGAACTTGCGCAAGTTCATGCCGTTGACGTACTCGAATACCAGATCTGGGCGGCAACATTGAGAGAACTGTGGAGCAAGACAAAGAAGAAGCGACTTACACCCGACCTTGCTCTCGGGCGCGTCCACCGATGAAGCCTTGTACGCACATAGGTTTTCGTGTCCCGGAAGGTGCTGCAGCAACGTGCGCTCCCTGTCCATGGCCTCCCTCTGAAAGTTCTTGCCACGCTGGTAGAGCTTGATGGCAACGCACTCGTTACTGGCGCGTTCGACGGCGAGTAACACTTGGCAGATACTGCCGGACCCGATCCGCTCTAAGACGTCATAGTCCTTGTTCAGTTCAGGGATACGGGAACCGCTGAGGCTTGGGGGAGGAGCAAAAGTATCGTTGAGCCGGAAAATGAACCGGAAGTCCCGGTTCTCGTCGTTGTGTTCGTAGAGCTGCCCGAAGTGGACAGCAGCACCGTCCTTCAACAGGGTACGGGTTTCCTTAGGAATACGTTGCCCGTTAATCTGCGCTTCGATTTAGTAACGCGTGCACGAGAAGAAAGGCAATCTACTTACCCAGATGCCATTCGTGGATACATCCTCGATGTACATGAGTGCAGCGCCCTTCATATCCGCCTCACATATGACGTTCGCATGCGTGAGACCTGAAGGCAAGGGTCAATATCTCATTAGCATAAGGCGGGCGAAGAACTTACTGATAGCAGTCGAAGGGAGTACAGCAGCGTTGAACTCGCCACGCCCGATAGTCCAGGTCTTGCGATTGGACTCCTTGGCAAAGACGATTGCATCGACCTTGCTTGAGCGCGGAATGAGGCAGCCGTAGTATTCTTCTATGCCTAGAGAAGAGTTCGAGGGCGAAGTGGAGGTGGACATGTTTGGTGAGGGCGGAAGGCGACGAAGAAAGAACGATTCACGCGTTACTGAGCACTTATAGTTTCTTAGTGGTGGTCCATGCTGCATCAATTGCACTTGGACCAAAGGGCGGAACAAAAGCGCGATCTTTGTGCCTGTGGTTCGATGTGGTTGTGCACTCCGACAGACAATGGCGCCGAGCAGAGGGTGGCGCAGCACAATGAATAGTATTTTCGTCAGCCGGTGGCTATGACCGAGCCGCGAGCGCGGCTGAGGATATTATTGTGGTCGCAATAAGCTTAAACCACGTTCAGATACTGATGTAGGTCATGCAAGACGGGCCGCAAAACCGCGTAGCGTGGCAGGATATTCTGGGAGCTGCTGTCAGAGTCGTTTCGCTTGCAAGTGATCTTGGAGATGTACCTCGTATGCCACATGCAGGCGAATCTCTCTGCCTTCTGTCCTATACAGTGCCGCCATGTAGTAGCGCACATTCCAGCCGTATAGAGCCTCATTCAGGATGAGATCATCCAGCTCGGCCAAGGACACGAATGTTCGTTTCACAGACCACGTAAATAGCGAGGTCCCTCTATGGGTCTCAAACTGCACGCCTAGTGATGGGATGGCTATGATTGACTCTGTATGCTGAGTATGAGCGTACCGTCTTTCACCGGGGGACTAACTACCAGGCGTACCATACAAAACTCGCGTACATCTCGCGTACAGATAGCTTATCGCGCCAATAACAATGAGAGCTCGACAATAGGGATGTGCTTGGATCTAAGCTCAAGTTAGCGCCTGTCCAGACTGGCAATAACGTGCCACGCACCATGGGCCACAGGACTCCGACGAACAATGCAACGCATGCGTCGCCGATGGGCGGCCTGGGTATTCTGCCGACGACACCGCCCGTCCTTTGCAATGTTATCCGACGGCTTTCAATGCGGTATTCTCGACATATATCTGGAGTATCGATGACGACAAGTTCTGGGTTATCGGGCAACGGCCGCAAAGCACGCATTCCCAGCGCGCCGTCCAGGTAGCGTCACGCCTCAGCAACAACGACAGTGAATATAAACGAGTGTATGCCCAGAGAGCGAAAGCATGCGGAGAACCCGCTGGCCCAGCCAGAGTGGTCGAGGTTGATGGCAAGCTGCGAGCCGAATTCCACGCCTGATCGACGCGACGCGCGCCCAAAGACATCTCGGCTATAGAGGTACAATGTCTTCACTGCTTCAACATTGCAATTCGTTGCACCATATGCTAGGAAGAGTAGATGTCGTACGATACGTGATAGCGAACATGTTTGAGTTGATAGACTCAGTATTCAACATATATAAGTCACGTTCTCAGGATGTTGTTACAAAGGGAAAGCTCTACGAGGGCGATCTTCCGTTCTACCAACCAGGGGTTTCTCGTGCATGATATGCGCCTACCAGAGTACGCACTCGTAGCGCCGACTACAAGTGGTGTCGCAATGTGACTGTCGCACTGTGTAACAAGCAATGTGCTGACCCGGGAGCTTCGGATTCAAGCAACGGCTGACTTCGGTTTTCGCCGTAACTTACGGTGCAATCATCTAATTATAAATGACCCGGATGCGACTTGACCCCGGCCTTGTCCCGGAACACACTCGTCCGGGCCAAACTGTAGGAGCGCACACAAAGCAGTGTCAGCTGTTACGGGCGGGGCAACCAGTACACTGTTACGCGGGGTGTCAAAATAGAACCGGAGAGAGGAGCAATCCAGCGCTGCGCATATGCGTATATGAGACAGAGCGACTACTTACTCAACTCGGTGCACCAGAGAATCATTGGCGCAGATTACGCGGACGATCTTTCGGCAGAGATGCAAAAAAGTTATCTCGAACTGACATAGGCAGGCGCCATGAATTCACACTAGCTCATTGAGGAACAGGTGCAATGTCTATAGGAGAGATATGCATGAGCCGGACTCGAAGTGGGAGGGGCAGAGCCTGTTTGATTTCGACACAGGTCTTCGGCCGTTGCCGAGGGTTGCAAGTTTCAACTTTTCCTACGGCCGCGTGACCGCGCCGATCTGCCGGTCCGCGACGCGGGTGCCGGCTTCGAGCCCACCGACGACGCCCAGCAGGCCATAATTCACGATGGAGAACGACCAGGTGCGCCAACACACAATATTGCTGCAGGCGGAGTGCTGACATCTTGAAAGGGTGTCCTTGTTGACCTTTACGTCCCCCGCAAGTGCGCGGCGACCAGTGCGTATTCGCAGAATTTGGTTGTGACAAGCCATGCTAATATATTCCACAGACCGCCTCATCACCTCCAAGGACCACGCCTCGGTCCAGATCGTCATTGGCGATGTCGACGCCAACGGCCGTCTCCTGAACACCAACACGACCTTCGCGCTCTGCGGCCCCGTCCGCGCCATGGGCGAGTCGGACGACTCCATCAACCGCCTTGCGACCAAGGCTGGCCGTGCGTAGTCTTCCATGTCATGAAATATCACTTTACTGACTATACTCGCAGTTCTGCGCAATGTCTGGTCCTACCAAAAGTAGAGCATCGTTTGGGATGTTGTAGCTTGTCGTCTTTGTAGCATCAGTTTTCCATCTCCTGCTTTCCGTGGCAATTACCATCCGCACTGCCAGAAACTCCTCGTCTGATGCCTCTGAGCAATGACGCAAGGACATTGTGGCATAGTGTTCCGCTAAGGACATGTAGGCATTGAGAAGTCCTACTTCGGGAATCAGGATCTCTCTTTCAGCGCAACGAACTTCTCGTACGTGATCAGTGCGTTGGTACTTGCAACGCAAACGCTGTACCGGTCTTCCGGGCTGTCATCAATAGTAGGAGAGACGTGGGAGTATGGCTGATGGATTGTTACTCGGGTTGTGACTGGTGTTTTAGAGCTTGCGGCTTTAATACGCACAGTAAACGATGGCTTCGGGGTACGCAGACCCTCTGCCGATGCGTGAAGCAACTCTGCCAGCTTGAGTTTTGGCGATGTTCAGCACCCACATGCTCACAGTTGATCAAGCGTTCAAATGTTGACCTCCAGGCTTGTCATCGAGGCGCGCTTCGGCGAATGTGAGTCTGTGCCTTGGGCAGGCGTGGTATGAATCTCCTACGCATAAGCTCAGCTCAGCTATGCCGCAAGCTTCAGTAGCTCGAGCATATCAACATAAAATGGCAGCCCGCATACCGCGCTGTGAGACGCGGGTCACAATATACGTGACATGCACCTCGTCTCATTTTCAGGCAGATCGAGCTCTGACGGTCGATTCCAGCATGATCATACCATCCCCCAGCTCGTGAATCAAACGTTGAATACGAGATATACAATGTCACATTCTGCCCAAATGAAAGATAGTGTACATAGGGTTACTTATGCAGAAAGGTTTTCGAAAACCTCTTCCAGGTGCCTCGCAGCCTTGTCACAGTCTTCAGAGGTATTATAGAGTGCCGTGGGTGCAAGGCGAATGACATCGGGCTTGCGCTCGTCCCCAATGACGCCGTGAGCCTTCAATCCATCGAAGATCTTCAGCATCACCCCCGTGCCGAGCGGCAAGAATGCAAGCGAGAGCTGCGTGCCTCGTGAGTCTGGATCTAGAGGGGTGATGATGGTGAACGCTGGCGATGTATTCGAGCCGTCTTCAGGGTATCGCGAAGCAATCTCCTCGACCGGAACATAGAATCTCGATCGAACCAGCTTCGACTGAAGATAGCCCGTTAATCTGACAGATCGTGCACGCAGAGCTGGCATCATCCCAGCCTCTTTGAAGATCTGTAGGGAGCCGAGAAGCGACACGACGCAGAGGACTGGAGGATTGGATTGTTGGAAGCCACCGGCGCCCCGTATTGGCTGGAACTTGGGCGGCATAGCGAAGCGCGTTGATAGATCATGTCCCCACCAACCGGCATAACTTCATTGGTGCATCAGAGGAGATCGGCCGATCAGGGAAGGGTATGCTTACTTGGTAATAAGACGGTCGTCCCAGCTCTCATGAACAAACAATCCAGCAATGCCTCCTGGCCCTGAGTTTAGGTACTTGTAGCTGCACCACACAGCCCAGTCGACACCCCAATCATGAAGTGAGAGGGGAACATTCCCAACTGCGTGAGCCAGATCCCAGCCGCAGATGCAACCCTACACCACTAGTCAGATGTGATCACCAAACGCAGGTGCTCCTTCAACTCACTTGCGCTTTGGCCGCCTTCGTAATGCGTTCCATGGGGAACCATTGGCCGGTGTAATATTGAACACCACTGAAGATCACCAGAGCGATGGTTGAACCCTGTTCAGCGATAACCTTGAGAATATCCTCTTCGCGAAGCGTGTGCTCCCCTGGACGAGGGAATAGTTCGAGAACTGCGTCACTCGGCTCATAGCCGTGCAGGTTTGCTTGCGAAGCAAATGCGTACTACGAATCTTCAATACTACGCACAGACCTATCCGTAGAAGATACGTACCTGGTCTGACGGGAATGCCTTTCCTTCGCAGAGGATCTTGTAGCGGTTTCCGGAGGGCTTGTAGAATGTGTTCATCATAAGATGCAGATTCGCCGTGAGCGTCCCCATACATGCGACCTCGGAGGTCTTTGCGCCTGTGAGGCTCGTCAGATGTATACATGTAAAGGCAAAAAAGTACACACCGACGATCTCTGCAAGTAATGGCGTGCACGTATCTGCGATAGACACCCAATCGCGTCCGTGCGGGTGATCAAAATGGCCTTCGACACCTCTGAGAATGGTGTCAGCAGGCTGTTCTGTAAAGCATGCGCCTCGGAGTGTACCTTGAACCCCAGATGGCAAACTCCTCCTGGACAAGGGCTTGCGAACGCTTCGGAAGCAAACCAAGAGAGTTGCCACAAAGGTATGTACAAGTGCCGTCGCCTGAGTATTCAGGTACCTGTCAGCACGTGTCTGAATACGCTAGGTGCATAAGGAATAACCTTCTGCGGCGGGCCGCCCGATCGAAGGAATAACAAACTCAGCGCGGAAAGGCGCGTTCGCGATATCAGAGTCCATGGCTATCGCGAGATCCAGTTGTGCGATTCGACTTGTAGGTCAGATGATGATGAGCACCCGGCGTCGATAACTAGTCCAGATGCGAGAGAGAGAAGATGACGAGGCAGGAGATGGAGGGGAAGGGCAGGAAACGCGAGCAGCTATATCGCAGAACGCCGTCGTCGCTGGACAGCTTTCTCAACACCCATCATCATGATCACCCTCGAGAGATGGCCGCCAATAAATCACTATGCATTCAAGGCTGTCCAGATCTGCAGATCGTTGACAACACCGCTGGCCCGGACGAATAGGCGCGCTTGGCACCGTTGTGCTGTCTGCTGATGATCACCGTCGTGTCCAGGCAGTGCCTCGAACGCGCGCATAAACGACCCGATGAGCTCCCGGGCGCGCTCTCCATCTTGCCTTCTTCCACTTCCCAGTCTTCAGTTGTTCTCCTGTTCGTCTCTATCGTTAACGTCTAGACTCTTATCTATATATCATAATGGACTCTAAACCTACGACCCGCCATGCTATCGTTGTTGGAGCTGGTCCTGTGGGCTGTCTGGCGGCCATGGCGCTCGCCAAGCAGGGTTGGGCGGTAGATGTGTACGAAGGGCGACCTGGTGTGTAGAAGAATTAATCACAATGAAGTGCACATGCTCACGCACACTATTAGACATGCGCTTGCCTTCTTCGAAAGCAGCCGCCCAGCAGCGTTCAATTAACCTCGCTATCTCGTCCCGCGGCATTGCTGCGCTGAAGGCGATTAACCCAGCAGCGTCCGACCGTTTCCTGAAGACTGTAATCCCTATGCGCGGGCGCATGATTCATGACGCGCAGGGGAACGAAAACAGTCAGCTCTATGACCGGGACGGACAGGTTTGTGGCCAGTTGATAGCAGGTCAGACTTCGATACGGTATGCTGACGTCGATGTAGTGCATCAATTCCATCGACCGTGCTCTCTTGAACGAGGACTTGCTTGGAGAAGCTCTGGCAACTTCCAACGTCCGCGTCTTCTTCCGCCACAAAATTCAATCCATAGACTTTGACCGCCGCACAATCAGCATCAACGACGCGGAAGGAGGCAGGACGTTTCAGGAGAACTTCGATCTTTGCATCGGTGCCGACGGCAGTTACTCCATCGTCAGAAGACAGCTCATGCGTGTTGTGCGGTATGTGGACGCGGTGACCACGCGTGAGCACGGCTGAATGGACCCGCCCAGAATGGACTTCGAGCAGCAGTATATCCCACATGAATATATCGAACTCAAGATGCAGCCAGGCCGCGACGCACAAGGTAATGCGACCTTCCGCATTGACCCCAATCACCTACACATCTGGCCGCGGCATTCGTTCATGTTCATCGCGCTACCTAATCAGGTCAGTAGCCGCATTGCCTTATTTCCGCCGAGAATCTCACAGACTTCCTCATCTACAGGACAAATCCTTCACCTGCACATTGTTTGCGCCTACGTCGGAATTCGACAAGTTGAATAGTCCAGACGCTATTATACCGTGGTTCAAGCAGTACTTCCCCGACGCTCTGCGGCTCATCGGCGAGGAATCAGTCCTCGAGTCGTTCGCCAGGAACCCACGCAGCCCTCTGATCACGATTAAGGTTGGCTCCTGCCTGTAAGGTGTGAGATATAGGCATTGACTTCCCTTCGACAGGCAAACCCCTATCACTACAAGGATCGTGGCATAATTCTCGGCGATGCGGCACACTCCATGGTGCCCTTCTATGGACAGGGGCTCAATTGCGGTCTGGAAGATGTTCGTGTGCTACACGTTTTGTTTCAAGAAGCTGGCGTCGACCCCTCGTTGGCCGATGATGAGTTTCACGCTCGACTCGAGAAGGCCCTCTCACTTTATTCCGAGACGAGGCACGAAGATCTTGTCGCCATCCAGAAACTCGCCATGGACAACTAGTGAGCATTTTCTGACCTCGTACCCTGTAATGAAATCTTAATATCCGTGTGCAGCGTCGAGATGCGCCATGCGGTGGCGACGACCTCTTACCTGTTGCGACGCGCAGTTGATAAATTCCTTTACACGATTAGCTCCCCGAAACCCGTTTTCCTCGACAGTTTGGCGCCGACGCTCGCAAAGATTCCGTTCCCTACGCGTCGACCGACCGGTTGGTTGCCATTGTACACCATGGTCACCTTCCGGCCAGATATCGGTTACGCGTCGGTGACCAAGAAGATGCAGCAGCAGTCGCAGGTTATCTCGAATTTGGGATATGTTGCCACTGGCTTGCTGGGGGCTGCAGGCGCGGGTTTGGCTTGGTTGGCGTATGTTCATCGGATACACAAGCTCCTGTCCCGGTAGTTCGGTTGATAGTCCGCATTTCTGATATTCCATTTGTCGTTACGCCGTCGCGCCGTCGCGATATTCTCGCGCGGCCGCGGTAACATTCTATCCACGTTTATATATCACGGCTTCACGATGTGCCTCTCGCAGTGAGAGAAAAAATGATGGATCAGACAGTAGCGAGGGCCCAGAACGGTGTACACAGCACACCCGGGGAAATAATCGGCGGAGAATATAGAGGGTAAGGGAGTGGGTGACAGGAAGCAGACATTGGTAGACGCGACATTCAGTTGGATATAGTACACAGAGAGTCCTTGTAGCGGTACACTTTCAGCCGACGCAACAGGCGCCGAGCGTACAATGAACCGGCAGATACCGCGAGAAGCAATCGTCCTGTCGTGTGCGGAACGATGATCATCGAGTAAAGCGAGATGGAAAGCAGCAATTCAAGTACAGTCGAGGTTGAGACATCATGCGAGAGCGTTTAGACCGCGGACGACGCAGACTTCGGCGGCCGGCCGCGCTTCTTCTTCTCGGGCTCAGCAGCCTCGTCGCCGCCCTCCTCAGCGTCCTCGGGCTTTGTCTTGGGGGGACGACCGCGTTTCTTCTTGGGAGCGGGCTCGCCATCGTCCGTCTTTACCTGCAAGGACGCGGATCTGGGTTAGAGGCCTAGAACGGGAAGGTATGACGCGTTGAATAACGCGTACCTTGGGCGGACGGCCGCGCTTCTTCGGGGCAGAAGTAGCTTGTTCTGCAGCAGCGATAGCAGCAGGATCGCCAGAAGCGATAGCGGCAGCTTGCGCGGCCTCCTTCTCGAGCGTCTTCTTGTTCTTGCTTCCCTTCGGACGCCCGCGAGGCCGCTTGACGGGTGCGCCGCCGGCAACGGGCGCTGGGGCGGGAGGGATGGCAGATTCGCCGACGCCTAGACGCGCGCGGGCAGAAGTGAGCACAAGCGCGTAAGATCACGGGAGGGCGTGGACGGGGCAAGGGCGTGTTTGAGGGCGTGGTACATGGGTGTGTTCGTTGAACACGCGCGTGGCGGAAGGAACGGCGTACCTTCTTCCAGTTGGTCGACCGCCTGTGCGCTTTCCTCAACTTCGTCCGAGGAGGGTGAGGGGGACATTGTGGGCGGCTGGCAGGCGAGGACGGGCGCGGACGGGTGGTGGTAGGGAGCGGGGGAGGAAAGGGGAGGAAATAGGGCACAGTTCCTAATTAATGCGTCGCTCGCAGGATATGATCTGTCAGTGCCCCTGCTTAGGTAATTGTTCAATGGAATTCGGCAAGGAATATCCACCCACGCTCCCGGCGCTTATATTTTGCGGCAAAAAGAGGCAGTTCCGCAGCCGATAGAGGGATGGGGGGACAAATAAGCGAGAGAAACCCCGGCATAGATAAATCCTAGACGTCAACATAAGAGGGGCACTCGTCGACGAACCGAACGGAAGGATGAGTATCGCGTGGGGCGTCGTCTCGTTCCCAAGGCCCAAGCAAGCCCGCATCTTCGCGCGGGCCAGAACTAGGACCGAAAGTTGCCAAATTCTGGATATTAATACCGCCGGTGCGACCTCAGTGACATGGCCGCGTCCCGAATTGCCCCGTTTTTTCTATACCCGAACCGTTGTTGGCACCAGCATCAGTGTGATCGAGCGACTGCGTTTACAGTAGCATCAGCGCCTTTTGGCAGCGTGAGGCGGCCGACAGCAGGGAGAGAAAGCGATAGCGATATGCTTCTTGCTACGGCCGGGATGGCAGATGCGTTCGTGATGATATCAGCCGTTTTTGTCGGCGCAAGCCTGCCACGCGTCACGCCATCAGCCAACGTGTGCAGTGGCACTGGCACACGCATCTCACTTTGTCCTGCACATCCAGCGGCATGTACTCTCGTATCTGGTGGTTCACAGTCTTGGCGGCACATCTGGCTTGCGGCAAGAGACAGCTTCTGCCGGAGGACCCTGACGCATTTCCCAAGTACTCTGTCTTGTTCCACAATGGGTATCCGGTTTTGAATGATACGGCTCAGAAATGGCTTCACGAAGGCTTGCGAGGCGGTGAATACGAGTTTCTCGGCCAGCCATGGGCCGACCCAGGCGTGTCACAGAGGCCGGAAATAGGTGACGGCCAAGCTGATGTTGGTTCTGCGCCTTTGCTGCGGTAAGAATATACGCTCACGTACATGGCAATTTCCTTAGCTAGGCGCCATTTCTCCTGCACCTGCAGGCTATAAGCTCGAGCTCATGCGACTGGGCTCCAAGGACAGTTATCTGTGCCTGATTCCACCTCCTCCGGAATATCAATCAACTCCGCCGCAAGAGGAAGAGCCTACGGAATTAACCGCTCTTCACAGCTGGTCATTACTTCAACCGCTGGCCGGCTCCTGTATCTACGTATGCCGCTGTACTGGCTCCAGTGACACCTATCTAATGGTCATACTCTTCTGTAGCATCGACAAGGCTGGTTTACCTACGCATATTGTCACAACTCACATGTCCGGCAATTCCATGAGACGAGACAGCCGCGTCCGAATATGGCTGGTGCGTTTCCCTGACTTCTGGTAGGCTTGACAGAGTTTAACGGATTCATTATCTTTTCGATCCCCGCTTTCTCATACCATCGCGTCTTTGACCTTTCTTTCCAGGCGGCTACCAAATTGAAGAGGATACGGAAGTGCGCCTATCTTTTCCTCGATCATCTGAACGAAACTCCTGACCGCTACGTATTGACGGCAGTGGGAGGCGTACGATCTCGGGCGCGCTCCAGTGCCCACCAGCAACACTGACGACGTAGCCGTCGTTGAGCAGGCTGCTCTTGCTGCCAACGTTGAGCTCGCGCGCGGTGGCGCCGGCTCCAGATACCTCGTACAACGGTGGCGCGACGGCACTACTTGTGATAAGACCGGCCGAGGGCGGGAAATTGAAGTACAGGTGAGCTTAAGATGAAAGCTGGGCTTGCGCCCTCTCCTCCCCATGATGCCACGGACGCGGAACATTCTCTCCAACAGTACAATGCTTCTTGCTTGAATTGAGACGATCGGCGCGCATCTGCCGAACGCTCTCCTCTCCATGGCCGGCCTTTTGCCGCGTTTGAATGTTCTCAGCCCCTACGCAATTTCATTCTATCTCCTTCCACGGTAGTCGACTTCTGACGAGAATATCCTTTCCAGTTTCACTGCTCGATGACGATGACAGATACAATTCTGTTCGTCAAGGAGACCAAGACCTGCTCGTACGTGCTCGTAATAAACACCCCACGACTCTGTGGCGAGCCTGGTTTCAAGTCGAGACTCGACCAACGCGAAGAGACGCCCATCCGATGCCGTCACGTCGTCGACGAGACCGGTTTCAAGACCGCGGATCCCAGTTTGCCCGTCTCCGACAGCCCGTTCGCCATCCCGCGACCCCGCGCGCCGATCATCGAGCCCCCGCCTGTTCTGAATGTTGACCCAGAAGTCGAGTCAGCCACTGCAGCATTGACGAAGGCCGTGCAGCTCGCGTTAGACCGCATGATTCACAAGGCTGGCTTCGAAACCGCCAATGAGCTGCCTGGGACGGTGCTCATCGAGGATGCGGGGGATGGAGAAATGCTCATCGAGTTTCTTGCCGCAGCAGACCTCAAAGGACCGCTCGAGCTCGACTTTGACATTGAATACGACGGAGTCGAGCGCGAAAACGGCGAGGCTGTCTTACCTGACAGTGAGCGCCTCGCGGCCGCTCTGCGGGCGGCTGGATACAGCGTGCAAAACGTGAACGAGCAGGGCGAATATGAAGAGGAATATGAGAACGAGCAAGCCTCGGAAGGGAAGACAAATGGCCGATCTATCCGGGACGAGCTGTGATCGAGGGTACGAGTTTGCCTGTATGTGTGCCTCGAGGATGCTGGTTGCCCATAGTGTCGACCCTTTCTATTTTAGTTGTGGGAGATCACACTTCGACTAGCGCAGCGCCTACGCCCAGGGCCCTGCGCCACTCGTCGTAGAACCGTGCGAGCGCTTATGACGCCGTCAGTTGTACCACGGCTGCCATCTGATCGGGTAAAGACTGCCCGTAGGGTCTGCTACGTCGGAATTATTATGATTTAGCGTGCGACCAAGCTCCTAGCTGCGGGTTTCCATGTCATTGGTCCGCTGGTGGCTGCAGGTCTAGGCTAGCCCTTTACATGATCTTCGTCTGTTTACTGATCTGTAGTGGCATTTTGGAATAGGTTGCATTGCAGCCGTACAGCTACGCTCCCAATGGACAGCCGTGAGTGTTCTCGAGTTTTCTCCGGAAAGAAGAATGGCGTCAAAAGTCGGCGCCCGATAATGTCTTTGCTCTCATCTTTCACGCGACGTATGGCTTGTTCTTGTGAAAAAATCAGCGATGATTGGACAGTTGTTTAAGGCAGTGCACCGTACATTCTCTGTCGCTATCGTCGGGGCGCCCAACCGTTCTTGGCGACGTGAGACGACGGCGGGCCTCTTCGATTCAGATGTGCCTCAGCACGCTCGGCTGGAGTCTGACGCTGATATGCAGCATACTTAACCCTGCGCTGAAACCTGTAGCAGTCGGGCTGATGGCCGCGACTTGACGCCTCTTGGTGAAGTCACGGAATACGGCGGCACCGTAAGCTTCGTGGACACATGCTCATCTACGGTCATCCACGGCAAGGAAACGCTGAAGGCATACCAGCACGGCCCACAGAGCACGATGGAACTCCGGCGACCCTGACTAGGCCCTAATTCCAGAGCCCGAAGAACGAACGCGAAGCGAGGACGCGGGAAGAGTTGGACGAAAGGATGTACGATTACATGCGTTATAGATGGAAGCAGACATTTCGGGTGGACAACCTTACCGGCCGAGCGGGCGCGAGAATAGAGGGCACGAATGAGCGGTGAGCTGATATCATCAAGGCGCAAGAAAAGCAATCAATACGCTAGGACGAAAGTCACTTGACTATCTGCCGAGAGTCGGGTATTATTCCACATCCCCCTCAGACCCACCCACTCCCTGCGTTACACCTTCACGTACGCTTGGCTAGCTGCGACGACTCCCCGAATATCCTAACGGGAAGAGTTTGCCATCTTGTCAAGACAGATGTCTTGGGGAGTTACCCCGCCGCTACTTTCACTCTCGTAGCCCGCCTGGGACATTCGCGAGACATCAGGACCGCACCCGGCAGCAGCAGTATCTAAACCCTTACGGACAATAACGCTATACCATTGGTCCGCCGTAGGCATTTGACGCGCCTACGCAGGCCGTGATAGGAAGTTATCGGTGTGAAAACGCCGTGAGTCAACGGTGACTGAGATACTAGGATGGCCCCATCC